CGCGTCCGTCGGTGTTGGAGGATAGGCCGCGGACTCGGGGTGCTGGAGGGAAAAGCAATCAATCTTTGAGAGGCAGATGAGTGCAGGAACCTAAAATATAGGGCAACACAAATTTAGTCTGGCTGCCGGTCCACGTCCACGTGTCGACGTGAATGCGCAACCGCCCGGGTTTGTAATCGATATTGCCGACAAGGCACCACGCCCTGCACCTGCGAGATGTGCGGGATATGCAATGGTACCGAACGCTCCGGGATCCGCGTCCCTCTCGCTCTTCTCCTCCTCCACCACCTGCTCCTCCTCCTCCTCCTCCTCCTTCTCTGTCTCCCTTCCTGGTTTCAACCCCTCTTCAACTTCGTTCTCTACCCTCTTGTGTCTATACGCTTCTCCCCCTCGCCCCTCTTTTCTTTCCATCCAGCTAGCCCACCCAGTACCCGTCTCTCTCTCTCTTTCTTTCTCTTTCTCTCCTTCCCTCTCGGCCTAGTTATCCGCCTCTTCTTCTCCTTCTCCGTCCATCTACTTATCTATTTATCTATCTTTGTCGCCGGAGCAACTCCGATTATCTGCTCGGTTCTGCGCGAACCCGGAACGCTCGTCTGGGGATTTTGCAGCTTCTGCGTTGGCACCACTGCGGGAGAACGCGGGACCGTGCGTACACACGCTCGGACAGAGAGAGATTGATACGTCGAAACGGCTATGCGGTTCCTCGTCCACGAAACGCGATCCCGAAACCAGATTCGTGACAGCTACGTTACCGTACTATGGTAATGCAGAGAGAGTGAGATAAAGGGAGAGGGAGAGGAGGGGGAAGAGGAGGAGGAGCAGAAGGTAATGGGCCGATATTTTATTTCGCGTTTCCGATCTCGCATTCACCGCGAGATCGGATGAAAATTTAATAAGGGTCAACGAGAACGCGAAAATATCAGTACGCCCCATTTACGCCGTGCTCCCGGTGTAATCGGGGGACGGGCGCGTTTAACGGAAAATTGCACGCCGCTTTAAAAATACACGGCGACGACGCGCTCGCGATTTCCCGCGCAATCGAATTACACGTCCGAGCTATTTTCGGCTAATGGAAATAAATTATAGACTCCCGACCACTTTTGCCGCTTTATAATGCACCGATTCTGGCTACCCCCTCCTATCTGATCGCACCATCCGCCACCCTCGAACCCCTCGCGTATAAATAGTTTCAACTCGTATTCGATAATGCTAAATCGAATGAGATCCCGCCCAACACCTGGCACACGGAATAAATGTTTCACCAATCACTCCCGCCGGTCTTTTCAAGTCCAACGGTCGTTTCCGAAATTTTGGTTGAAAATGTAGGAGAGCGTTATAATATATTCGTGGACCATCTTTGGAAGATCGATTCTAGACGAGCAAAAATCAAATTTGACAGGTTACTTTATACGTGAGAATAAAAAGATTAGTTTTTTAATTCAAAATATGCAAATTCTTTTCTGAAAATATGATTTTTCATTGTATTTAAATTTTATTGTTATATCTTCGTTAGAGTTAGATTCGAGTTAGATTTTCATATAAAATCATCTTCTTCTTTTTATCGTTATGATAATTACACGGATACATTATAGAAGGTGTTAATATAATATAATATTTGTAGCATACTTTTAAATTTTATTATATTAAATTTATATTATATTAAATTCGCTTTAAAAATGGCTCACGTTATCATTTCACAGATTCATTTAACGTAAATTTAAATTATTTATAATATATATAAATAATAAATAAATCTGAACTAATATTTTTGTACGGTGATAATTCTATTAATTGATACATTATAAAATATTTCATTTCTATTGCTTTGTATAATATAAAAGTAAAATACATCATATTTATATAGTCAAAATAAAAATTTTTAATATCTTTTATATAAAAATAAGTTAGAGATTTTCATTTATATTCTCTATATATATTTTATTTGTCTTAACTTTTAAAATCGATCCTGCAAAAGGAATAAATTAACACCTTATATAGGACTTTTCACAAAGCGACTGGTCGACAAAATTGAACAGGAGAAGGATATTATACGATGCACCAGAAAGGATGAACTGCGGCCATTTTAGAAGCAGCCCATAAAGAGTTCGTTCTAGTTTCTTCGAACGGGTCATCGAAGTTTTCCCCGATCGGTAACGCCCTTGTCTGAACCGGACAGCGAATAGGTCGAGAGAGTTACGTCAATGGGCGATGTACGTTGAAAAATATTCGATGTCTCGGCCTGTGCGCGACTATCAAATGGATTGGATTGATCTTTGCTCGTTCTCACGCTCGTAAATCCTTCCTGTCCACCCCTGACTACCATCAATTACGCGTATCTATAGTTTATAAGTTAATACGAACCGCTGTTCGTTGCACGCTAAACTCGAATTGGTTCTAATATGCATTCAACTTTGCATTTGACAACCGTTCGGTAACATTCGGGATCGGCGGGGATAGCGTTCGGATACATGGCTACGATTGGTCCCGAAGAGCGCCGAGTAGTGCCGAATGTTACCGAACGATATGTTACCGAGAAATATATTTCAGCTCGCTTTAACGTGCATGCGTTATAAAAATATATAGAAGTTGTATTTCTCTTGTTTTTATAATAATAAAAACATCGGTGAGAATAACTGATGATCATATATTTGGATAGTACTGTAATTATTTATATTTATTATGCGAATGCGATCGTTGAAAAAAACTGATTAAACACGTTTTGCGCAAACATAAAGAAAAGGGAGAATGAAAAAGAAAGAGGAGTGTAGAAACTGTAAGATCGTTAATTCCAAAAAGACAGTCACAAGCGGAACGCGGCACGTTTGCATAAGCAGCTTATGACTCGTAATAATGCAAAAAGCATTAGAGCTTCGTAAGAAAAGCTTTCTTCCGTTGGAAGTGTGCGAAGCGAGGATGGAATTAGAAGAAGAAAAAAAAAAAGAAGAGAAGAAAAATCATCGTTGGCGTTGTTTCGTTTCGATTCGATTACACGGGGTCACAACCATAGAGTTTTCCTGGGATCGTTAGGAACGTGAGGCCGTTTAACGTTTCAATTTTCCGCGTTTGGATGGGGAGGGGTTGGTCGTTTTTACGTCGTGTACACGTTGTCCTATGGGACACGAGCGTAAAACAGAGTCGTTTGTTAAGCCGTTTTAAGCCACGAGCAGAGATACGAGCTAGTTAGGAAAACAAAGTGGTATAAACACGTTGAGTAGCCGTGGCCTCGTGGTTTACGAGACACGCGATTCCGATGTTTCACTCGATACCATCGAGAATTTAATATACATACCGGGATCGATTCGAGCGTTACAAGCGCGACGACAAATATCCCCTTCCCTCTGGTCGAGACATCGATTCCTCCCTATCATCGCGTTCGTTAAAATCGAAAGCTAACACCACCGTGCAACGAGAATTGTTCCTACTCTTCGTTCCGGTGTTTATTTGCACACGGATTAAGGGTACGGATAAAAATCCGATCCGGTGAACAAGTGTAAAAAGAGAACGAATACATATGTGGAGTGGGAAAAGATATAGGGAATTTCTTTTTAGGTTTACCTAATTTGTAACTCAAACGTTTCTCGCGTCTGTATTCATCGATTCGAAGACGGAATATTCCCGGATATGAGGACTATATGGAAATAAGCATGTACAAGGGAACGGGTGCGTATAATGCCAACTGTGCCGCATCAAAGTACCCCGTGGGATATACATGTAAATAAGTGAATATTTCAGAAACCGCACAAGGCGGAGACCTACGAAATATAACGGAATTCTGGGTCGTAAACGCTTGGAACAGATCGTGGCCATATATCCGAAAGATATATCCTCGCGAATTGGTCGATAAGAGTGAAAAATAGAGAATTTTGACGATGAAAGTAAAACATGCGAAAAAAAATTATTTTTCTCACAGTTATTGGTAAAATTTTTTTTGGAATAAAAAATTCAAATTTTATATATGCGAATTTATAACTAGTTTTATATTAGATGATATGCTGACATAGCTAATAGTACCTAAGAAGTAATGTAAGTGTAAATGGTGGTCATATAAGAGGATCAGCGCTTCGTTTCTTAACAAGTATCACGCTGCTCTATTCCACGATGCTAAAGTGCCAATTATTTTTACCTCGATTTTACCGCGACCTCGATAATCGTGATGTGGCATGGACGCAATTAGCGAATCGAATAGAGTTCGGATCGAATAGGATCGAATCGAATCCTACTCGATGATTTCCACTTTTGCGAAAACATTCCATCGTAGTCCGCGTATCAAAGGCATCGACTAATTACGAGATATTCGAGTACTAGATATCGTAAGGGCCGTTGTCGTTGAGCTCCTTCCTTTATACCGAACTGGACGATGCAACCGATTCGCTTTGATCTCGGATGGTTCCCCGTTTATTTCGAAAACTTTTCGTCCATCGGGAATACGAACTGGAATTCAACGATTTGCAGGAGAATCGAGCAAAAGCTATGCGCCTGTCGAGCGAAAAATTTAATTATTCTCGAAACAGAGCCAGAGAGGACTCTGATAAATTTTATTTCACCGTTACACTCGTCGACGGTCTGTGGGTCAAGCACAAAAACTCGCTATTTAATTATACGAGAGAGAAAGATGAATTTATAAAGAGTAAGTTTCCTAATAGTGTAAAAACATAAATAAATCATCATTTACTTGTATAAAAAAATGTTTTAAATAAAATTTACATTATATAGCTAATAATTTAACGTTACATTAATAATTATCTTAACATCGAGACACAATTTTATAGTGGTATAGATATTGTTTCACGTTATATCTATTTATTCTAAATACTCTTTATATATATTTATATAAGATATATTTGGAATTAACTCGAAACCTCGATGTGTTTATTGACATTTGACTTTGTCGATTATTCACTTTCGTATATTTTCTGTAACTTTACTGTCATAATGTGATTTTTGTTTAAAATATTTTCTTATGCGAATTATTTAAAATTATGTATATCAGAGAAACTCACCCTATGCAACGATGTTGACTCTTAGTTCCTTTGTTTGTAGCGATGCACAAAGAATTTCATTCGAGGTAATTAAAACAGAAGACACGAATTCGTTGATCGACCGATACGAAAAAAAGCCGTTGGGTATCTCGCGTCGCAAATATTTGAATGTTTCTTCTCATTTTTCACAACACTGTTATATATAGTGATTACAATTAATATTCACATTTCAACACATATATATCTGAATTCACTTTTTTAATTCCAACAAGACAAAAGAACGCAAATTATTTTGTTTTTTGTAACATTCACGCGAGAAAATCAAGTGGATTTCGATGATTCGCCATGTTTCTTATTTTCTTTACCGATTCGTTGCGCCTTCTCTCGTTATAATCGAGAACTATAAATAATTTTCTCGACCAATCATCTTTCTTCTTTTTATCTTTACTCTTAGAAGAAAAGAGCTACGTCTTGTCCTAGTTTTCTCTCTTTCTCTATGCACATTGTTCGAGTTTGTTGAAAAAAGAAAGAAAGAAATAGAAAAAGAGAATTGACGAATGTCTGAGAAGCGCGTTCTTCTCGAGCAATTTCGTCTCAAAGGGAGCAGAAACAAATATGCGTACACATACGAGCATTATTATTCGGGCCACTTGTTCCACGAATTCCAAGCTCAGACTGTCTGCCACGTGAAATCCTGGATCTCCGTTACCTTGTTATTCCGTTACCAGATTCACACTGCATCATCAATGGCTTGTATAATGGATTATACGAAACCGCAAACCGTTTAATTCCACCATAGGCGTAACGTTCGCGATTATCGTGTAACACACACTGGCTGTTATCGCGTGTCCGTTGGAGAATTTTAGTCCAAAGCTTGGGGAATCTTCGTCATGAAGCGTCGAGCTTCGCATTCGAGAGAGAAAGAGAGGAAGAGAAAGAGAAAAGTCTGGGCGCGAAATCGTTAAAAGGCCCGAGGCGAAAAGAAACGAGCAGAGTTCATCGGCTGCGACGCCCACTTTTTTTTTCCCGCGGTGAGGCCAATTTTTCCTCGAGTTAATCGCCCGATGGCACGCAGTGTTTTCAGGAAACGTTCGTCAGTCACCCGATATTATTTTTTTTCACCGAAATGCGCTACACTATTTTCGTAAAATATATTTTAAATAACGAACAATTTTATCTTTTTTTTTTTAATAGAATGCAATTAATTTTGATCTCATGTGAAAAATATTAAAAAATGATTAAAATTGTAGAAAACTAGGAACCATTATGAAAAAGCAAAGTTTCTATGAATTTCAGAGTAAGAAATTCAACTTTCGTAAATCTTTCAACATTCTCCCATTAACCCCACTACTGAGAAGGTTTACGTGGCAGATTACAGAAGTTTCTGAACCGTTTAATTTCACTGTGCGAACATTATGCCATGGTCCTGTTAGTCAACAACATAATACGTTCTAAACGTGTTTCGCTCCAACAGCCAACGAAGTTTGCCAACGTCATTAAGAAAAGCCTGGCCCGGTCAATGAAACTGATTATAGAACAATTGTAACGCGACTACTGTTCGAAATCGTAAATGGAACAGGTCAAATAATGGTCGAATATCGGTAGTGGAATGAGATTTTCTAGGGGCGCGAAATGAGAAATATTCACAAGCGTTTACATTTATATTCGTTGTCAGCAATATTTTAGACAGTGGCGAGACACCGAAGAATTCAATTCCACTAGTCTACGATTTTCCATTGTACACTAGCTCGACAGAATTAAGATTTAATTTACTCGAAGAGAAAGTCAATTGAGTACAGCTTTAACAGAAATCATTACCTTTGCAAATTTCCGATTCGATACGAATTCGATTGATGCTTCCGTTTGTAACAATTATCCGGATAACCGAACGCATTCTCTATCGTTTAATAGTTAAAATGTTGTTTCGACGAAAATCGAGAAGGATATTTTGAAACTTGCAATTTCTTGCATTCCAAAATCTAATATAAATATAAACTAAGTACATGAAACTGAATTGACTAACTTCGGATTTATTCGACAATAATCGGACACAATCGGCTAAAGGATCGAACACGAATTGAACCGATCATGTCCGATTATTGCCGAATCGATACGAAGCTGCACCTCGAAAAATTCTTCGAATCCCAAGCAATACGAGAGTATTAAAATTTCGCTCCATCCCATTCAAATTTTTCCAACATATTTCAAAGAGCTAGTTTCTATTAACGCACGTTTCTACTAACATACGACCACAGTTACGAGTATCGAATACGAGTCGGTCCAGAGACATATCATTATAGTCACAAACTGGGAATATTTGTCAGGAAAAGAGAGATGCGCGCACTGAGGGGAATGTACGATAACTGAACGATTAGTTATTAAAGAAGGGTGAAGACAGGAAACAGAAGTAATTTCAAGCGTGTCGATTACCCCCGGCAGAATTTCTCTACCCGCATACCTACCTGAAAGTCTCGCCACGGGCAAGTCCCTATAGAAATACCGTCATTGACTATCATCTATTCGAGGCCCTCTTCGCCTCGGGGTTATTTTTCGTATACTACGAGGAACTAGGCCACTGGAAACCGAGTCTTTTTATCTGCACGCCGTCCATTTTATGAATTTTATGAAACCTCGGGATGGGTACGGAGATGAAAAAGTTTCGCGGGCTTTAATGAAACTTCGGAGAAAAGTTTCGTCCCTACCTCCCCTCTCCATTCCCTATCCTGACTCGTATATCTTTCCACTAGATACAGACACGTGTATTCGCCACGATTTCTCCGCGCCTTTTGCGTTCTCTTGCGTTTCCTCGATCCACCCACCTCCATTTCCTTCTTTCCTAACCTCAACTTCGCTTCTTTCTTCATAGTGATTTCTTCTCTGATTCTGCCCGGTTCGATCGTCAACGATGGTCGGATAAAAGGTTAAGGAGCACAAAAATCGAGTCTTCGTGATGAAACGAGTCGAGAAATAGCCGAGATTATCAGAGGATAGGAATCTATCGTCGTAACGGTTCACGGGCTCGTTTACCGACAAGGATCCGCGCAACGTTTCGCAGACATGGCGGACTCATCGAATGTGTTAAACGCGGACTGGTGGTGAATAGTTATACGGAAAGAGAGAGAGAAAGAGAAAATCGACGAGGCGTGACCGTCACTGATTGCTAGGTGCAGCGGAACGTGACGGTTTATGAGAAGAGAGGGAACCAACTTGGAAAATGGCGTTCACGAAATGGTTTGCGATGCTGCGTTCAGCATCATTCCATTCTGTCGAGATTTAAACCGAGATTTAGAATTGTTTTCGGATTTCGATCGATTTTAGTATCCTCATCAAAAAATATTCTTTCAATGGAATTATTCTTTTTTCCTAAATAGAATTCGAGAATAAAAATTTCTCCCTTTTCGATTCTGCCGTGTTTGGCAAAAAGCAAGATAGAACACGGGTGTGAAAAATCTGATAGCTCGTAAAAAAGATACACAACGAAATATATAAATATTGGAATATACGATCGAACAAATCCATGGCCGATAGGATGTTTACACGGCTCGATTGGAAATAGGTATTAACGTTCGATAATGCCGTAGGTATCGAAGTTTCGTTTTATATCATTCGGTTGGGTAAAAAGATTAAGAAGTTTTCCGATAAAATGGAACGATTTCGGAATGGCATCGCCGCTTTTTGCTTACGACCGATTTACCAAACTGTTGAACTCACTGCAACCTCCTGAACTAATGGTACCGTTGTCCTTTATATCGTGCATGCTTTTCACTTGTTTTTGCAGCTATATCGAGACTTCTTGTTCCATCTATAAAAGATCAAATATCTCATAGATTCGAATACGAATATGCAGTTTTATTTTATATGCGAATAACATTTATACATTTTAGAAAACTAAATCAATGACTTTGCTATGTAAAATTTATTAATTTACAGTTTTAAATGTAGCAAAGAGCATTGAAATAAAAATATTGAAACAGAAAAAAAATATTTCAATATTTGATTGTTAAAATTATAATATGTCATGTATATATATGTTAAATTTTAGGTTATTAATTATTATTAGGTTTATTATTATTAGGATTTGGAACTCATTTTAAATTATAAATCTATAACTATAAATTATGTATAATTAATTTCTTATAATGAAATGTCATTATTTTTAATATCCAATTGAAGTATTATATAATTTTGAAAGCTACCATCGTAAATTTTATTTATATTGATTTTGATTTATATTTATATTGATAATTTTGACTGATTCGTACATGAAATTTTTTTAGTTTAAACTCCTTAAAGTCTCTTGATTAAATTGTGAAACAAGGGATTAATAAGAAACAATAACAAAAATTTACAAATAGAATCAACGTTTGTGCAAAATTAATTCAAATCAGAAGATTCAAAGTATAATTTTTGATAATTATCGACGATGATTAAGTCGACTTGACTAATAAAAAATAATCTAACTCATCAGAGAGCGAAAAATAATAATAAAACATTGTAACTGAGACATAAAATGAGCGTTTCTCGATAATACAAGTCTCGATAGCCTCACAATTTTTGTAGCAATGTTCACCACTGTGTTCCTTCTCCCTCATGTAATCTCGAAACTTTTGGAAAAGTTTGCTCCCTCGTGGAAAATTCTCCTGGCAACCCGTCCAAAATTCCTTTGGGGCACAACTTGGTTTCGTTACAGTGCTTCCCATAGGAATTCTCCTTTCGAATTTAGAAATGTGAAACGAATGTACCAATTTCATTCTCATCCTTATTTCTATTTTGCAAATTCAAATATTTGCACGATATTTATGTATTACGTGTATTTGTATATAAATTAATAGGTTTTTTTTTTCTTTTGTTACAGAAGCAGACTACACTTTAGATGATTCCTTCTGGAACGAAGAAACTTCCGTTGGTAAGTGTTTGAACGAAAACTCGAATGTTCCTTCGATAATTCGGATTATTTAAAAATGATACGTTTATTTATTTAAATTTTTAAATTTTAATATTTAATTAATAATAATATTTAAATTTTCTTTTTTTTGAATCATTCCTATTGAGACGAAAAAAACATATGAAGTTATTGGACAATTTAAATTTTTGCTCTATATTATAGTTTATATTTTAAAGTACTCAAAAATCAAGATTGCAAAACTGTTTAATGAAATCGTCGAAATTTTTCATAATCCTCGTGAAATTTTTTGAGAAACTCACCAAACTGACTATAATTTTACATAATATTCTCCACAATTTTCTCTTGAATTGACGTTATTATCGAGGTAAATTATTAATAGATATCATTAATAGATAAAAAAAATTACAATTTTAGGGAAAACTTCTTCAAATTAGGTGTATAAGAATACACCTAATTTTTTTTATAAATCCAATATATGAAAATTTTAAGTTATCAATCATTGAATTACTCGTAATTCGTGTATTTAATTCGATAACAATCGATGATGTCACGTTAATCTCGTGCAAGAGATTACTCGTAATTCGTGTATTTAACTCGATAACAATCGATGGTGTCACGTTAATCTCGTGCAAGAGGCAAGATCGCCGATAATTAGAAAGGCCTGATCGATGACGTCTTCTTCCATTCTTCCGTGTTGCGTTCCCCTTTACCGCAGATTACAAAGGTGGCACGTCAAAGTTACGAGACGATCGCGTAAATACACAATGCATAGGAAGTCGTAGTCAAAGTCGGTTGTTCCCTTCAAAGGGAACAAGCGCACGCCTCGCCGGCGTAGAAAATTCAACGCGTGTCCCGAATAAGAGGCGAGATATTAATCGCGCAACGAACAGGATATTCGAATCAATGTTATCGCGGCGAGAGGAGAAACGCGTCAACGTATCTCTCGACTCTGTCCCCGGTTAACTTTATCACGAGGCAAAGCGTTATCAGTCACGCGAATTCGCTCGCGTTTCATTAATCCATCCTTCCTCGACAGATGAATTTTATCCGTCTGGATTTCAGGAAGAAAGAAATTTATTATTAACTTGGTTCGAAATTTCGAAATCTCGACTAATTTTTCGAAATGCAGGGTTTTTTGTGATTTGAAACTAATTTTTTTAAATTCTTTAATTTTTTCTTTTTTTTTTTTTTAGAAATTTGCCTTTGGATTCCTAAGAAAAAAAAAAAAAGGGGACGAGATACTCGAAACTTCGAAATTTCAAAATCCTTCGAAACGCTGGGGAAATTTTGAAATTCGATTTTTTTGCTAATTTCGAAATTCAGTGAAATGTTTTTTCAATAAATTAGAGTTTAGAAAAAAAGAAGGGGGAAGAAAGGGATGAGATATTCGAAATTTCGAAACTTTTAAATTCTTTAAAACTCAGGAAATTTCTAATCCAAATTTTTTTAAAGATTTTTATTTAAAGATTATTTATTTAAAGATTTTTTATTTAAAGAAACTCTCAAATACGGTAAATAATAATTAGTATAAATAAATGAGTTTTTCACTTAGACTTTGGACATATTCAGGGTACATTTAAGAGTAAAACTCGGGAGAATTGCTTTCGAAAGTTATTTCTCATTAATGGGAAACTCAGAATGAAAGTTTGCAATCTCTTAACTCCATATTTTGCAAAACAAAAACAATTGAAAAAATTTTATTCCGAAATATAGCCTTACGATACTTTACGACAAAACAAAATTTTAATAAAATAACTATATATTATTATATATAAACCTAAATTTGAACAATTTCACAAATCAAAATTTCTCAATCTCCTTAAACGAAATAATAAAAAAGAGAGAAAAAAATATTTCACGTTTCAAAAATTTCGATTCGACTTTTTGCGAAATCAGATTTCACAATGAATCTTTTTCTAAAAAAAAAAAAAAAAAAAGTGGTCCAATAGAAAGTTCGTATCGAAGAACCGGGAACCGGGAACAATGAACGCACAGATTTCCTTCGAATCACAGATAAAATGTACGCAAAGGAACAGCGGGGGTAGACCGCATTGCAGCACTTCCCTTGGAAACTCGATCTGCGGTTACATCCAGTTTCTCCGGACGCGTGGAATGGTTTATTGTTAAGTCAACAGCGGTGATTGGCTGGGAACACGAAACTTAAATTGGGTTAAATTTTAGACGAGGGGACAATGCATCGAAGTATAAAATGGCCGCGACCGAGAGGTATATAAATCGTCTCCCGATCATGCAACCGTGAAAATCTCTTAAATCTCGGGAATCGAGAAGAGGAGAATTCCGTATCCGTTTGTATTTCCGCGCGGATTTCTTTCGTTTAACGAGGCGACGCGTTTCCTTTCGTTTCACCAGTGTTCGTGTTCCCTGGAACGTTCCAGGTGGAAAAAAAATACCGAGATCTGAATTACAAAGCGTGACGCGCACATACACCACAGGGAGGGAAATTAATATTCATACTAGTGTTTAATTACACGTGTATCTGACCGAGTATAGATAGTCAGATGTTCCAGGTCGAAAAGTAAATCCACTGTGAATTTCGTCACCGGCGCACAACCGGCATGTAATAACCTGTCATGTCGTTCGAATTAACCGCAATTCGTGCCTCTGAGTACAGCGCCCTCTCTGCACTAGACGCCAGGACACGACGAGGACTTTAAATTACGGCATCGAGTAAATTGACGCACGGACACCGGCTCACCGGGATCTTGGAACGGTATTTATATAGTTTTCTGGGGATTGAACCTCTCTAGGGACGATTTTGCACGAACAGAGTAATAATTATTACGGTGGCGTTTTTAAAAAAGTAAGTAAATTGCTTTAAATGTGGTGATAAATTTAATTTTAAAGGTATATTATATTTGGGGAATTACGAGTCTTGTTCAATGTAAAATTATTAATTTGTGAGAGAAAATTTTGTAACTTATTATAAATTGATTAGATTGATAATATTGTTAGTTGTAAATTGTTGGACGAGAATTGTTTCAATGTTTCTTGTTATCAATAGGAATAATGAAACTTAACCTAAGTCACTTAACCTTTTTTACGGTATGAGGTTATCTCTCGTGAGAAATTATATTTCTTTAGAACTTTCGAATGTTATGATATATCGTGTAATTAATTGAAATCGAAACTAAAAAAAAATAAAATCAGATTTATTTAAGTTTCATAATATTTCTCGAAATATAGACGAATCATTAAACTCTGTGTTAAAAATTTTCATTTTATTCTATTTTATATCATAAATTATACCAAGTAGTCAATTTTCAGTTTATTTTTGCACAAATTGCATTGCTAAATCGACAATACGAAAATGTTATACACGAACTATACAAGTAATTGTTACACACGAAATTTCTAGGGAAACCGACACAATAAACGACCTGTCAACGTGACACTCGACAAACCCATGAACGTAGCCAACTTAATCGGTCGGTAATCTCAGCTGAACGGACCATTTCTGGAAATTCAATTTACGAATCTGCTCCCTTGGCTTTGTCGCGACTATCGTCCGATTCGTCAACCCTTTCAAACTTTCTGGCAACCGTTCTTTAAAAAAAAAAATAAATAAATAAATAAAATAGAACAAAAGTACCTTAAATACACGACCAACCTGTTTTCACTAGAAAACTTTTCGACCATCGAGAGATCTATTCAGAATATACGTTCATTTATATATACTTCTATCTCTAACTTAAACTTTCTATCTATTATTTTTATTTTTTTTATTTCTAATTTTTTACTTTTTTCTATCTCTTATTTTGACGGTGTAATAAAATGAAAAATAAAATCTATAGAATAGGCAATTTTTTCACCAGATTTTTTTTTCACAATTTTTCATAAAAATTCAAAATAGGCGTCAATTCAAATTTTTCGTCAGGATTCTTAAAACTATCGACAATCTATCAACATAGGAATTATATAGTTTTAACAATCGATAAATTTTAATAATCGTACGATTGAACCACGGTAACTCGGATATCGAAGTTAAAAAGGGGAGGGAGGTAAAATCCTCGAGTTATAGAGGTTTCGTCTTGTCGAAGTAAGTTCGAGTAAGAGGGATTTAACGAACGAAACTTAGACGTAGAGAGATTGGGTATAAGGACTTAAGTATTTTTGTAGAACTATGTTTGACAGTTTGCACTCTCAAAATATACGTATGGTTCCTTCGATTTCCTTCTGAAAACCGCAGTAAATAGAGATCGAAAATTGTGTAGAGGATTCATGCTCGTAAATACCGGTTCTAAAAAAAAAATACAGCATATATCTCGTCTTTAACCCACCTTTAATTGAACTTTACAGTGGAAAGCTGTACATGACCTCTCGTTTACAAGATTTTATACGCGCATAGTTAGTTCTGGATATTTTTGGTTTCTTGCAGTAGATAAATTTTTTTTAACTAAAACATACAAATTATTAATGAATAATTATAAAAATTTTAATATAAAATTAATAAATGTTGCGATATAAAAATGTTGGATGCATCGTTGATATAATTGAAATTTTTTCCAATTTATATTTTTCTATTTTTTCGTATCGAAGTTATATAAAATTTATTTCGAATTTAGACTAAGACACATTTGAGATTTTCTCTATTTGGAATTATTTTTAAAAATTGAGAATAATTTCTCGACAGTTTCATTCTCAAATGTATTTTTATAGAACATTTCGTTCCATATATTTATTTCGTTATTATAAATATCTAGCATATTTTTTTACTATGTTTTTTATTATTCAAACAAATTTATAATAACTTCCAACATTTTATATCAAGAATAATATTTCTACATCTCGATTAAAATCTATTTGTCAATTCACAATTTTAAATATAATCTCCACATTTACGTCAATATTATCCATTACCAGTGTTCCCAATTTACGGTATGTATTCGAAACGGAAAATAAGCAGGGTGGGTGGTTTCGCATCCATATTCATATAATAAGTTTAATTGAATTTTATCAGAGACAATGGGGCTTTTCCTGGGGCTGCATTTGCAAGGAACATTACGCGGCTTTACGGGTCAACCAGTCAAGATTAGCATAACTGTTATCGCCACAGTTATCTCCTCTTCTCGGACGGCGTTCATTCAGGTCGTAAGTTTCGTTTAAACGCGACGTATTTTCACAACGCTTACATTTTATGTCACGTGTATCATACGTGTAATTCGTAAATATCGATTTATCGCACTAATTCTAATGATCCAATGGTTCGACCCAGTCATCTTACCTAATTTAACTTAGTTAACTAGTTTGATATTTGCTAATTAAAACGTGTGTATTTGAACCTGTTAAATAACGAAAATTAAAAATTTTGAACCTTCGAGTCATTTTTGATTCGAGATATTACTTCAAACACGTTACAAAGTCTGGCAGAAAAGATGAAAGTATTCAAACGTATATACATTTACGCGAGATCGTAAAATTGATCGAACCGTTAAGATTCACAATCGAAATATGTAAGATGAAATATTTTAAGACTGTTCAGAATTAATTCAATCAATTCAGAATTAGACTTTCGGAATTATTATATTATGGATATATAAAATTATAAATATTAAAATGTTAATTGATATAATTCAAAGGATACTTGTCTTCGAATATATAAATTTTAAATGTGTAATCGATTTTACGATTTCACTATATCGCTTCCATCGACTATGAATTTCACAAATCAATCAGTGTCAGTCACGCATTTTAAAAATACGAAATACGAAATATTTGCTACTTAATTGACATTAATTAAATTTAAAATATTAGAAATTTTTGAATTACGTATCAAATCAATTTCAGAAAATGAAACTTTCACTGATTGACTTCTGAACCTTTCTATATCGCTTCCACCTGTAGCACGAACGATATACATGCTTATCTGTAAAGCCTGAACCGAAGCGTCTAATTCGCACGTTATACAAATATATATATTACACATTAAACAATAAAACATCCGTTTTGCAAACTCGACATTCCGGCATTTTAGATAAAAAAATATTTCCCTCTTCGATATTTTTGAATTTTTCCACGAAATGATGGTCAATGACCCGCACATTGAAAACAAATCAATCGATATACGAATATCACAATGAATCGAAACAAATAATAATTTTCTTATACACATCGATTGTAAACAAACATTTGCAGAATTCCAAGTTCCGCCATTTTTATGCACACGCCACCTGTCATACATTACTTATACCAAAATATTTCGCGATAGAACAAATCGAAAGAAGGATCAGCTTTTATTCAATCCATCGTACAATAGTGACTGCGAAAAAGTAGACGATCGCCGAATAATTCTAATGGTTCGAATGAAAAAAAAATCCAATAGGTGCAATCGAGTTCCCCTCGATTCGAGTGGCATGGTAATTAGTTGCTCTGTCGGTAATCGCGCGACAGCGCGCGTAATAATTCATTAGAACGACGTCTACGTGTTCAAAAGGGTGGGGGAAAGGAGAGGGGGGAAGCGTGACAAGTAATTATCCATACACTTCATTTTGAATGGGTCGGGTTAAATCGGGCAAAGCCCCGGACAGTCGATAAGAGGGTAAACTAGATACTACATGCTTCGAGGAGGCCCTCCACTGATTATCTCGACTCATTCGTATAGCACTGCCGCGCAACAGTTTACGACACGGTGAAAAGAGAGAACGAAGGAGAACACGCTCGGTTTAATCAGACACCGCTAATTACGCCCGGTTCTCGATTTCGACGAGGGTTAACTCGCGATGGAATCTCGCTTATTCACTTCGTGCAAAGACAGGCATGTTGCATGCTAAACGATTTTCAAAGAGAGGATTTTTTTTTTTTTAAAATCGAGAGATTCGCGTTTGTTAGATTTTTTCGCGTAGGGGGCTTGTGAGTAATTGGGTCAAGTCGTAAGGATTTTTTGGAAAAAAATTAAATAGCGTAAGAGATGAAAGTATTTTTATAATTATATAGAATCGGGAAGAATGAATAATCGGAAAATTTTATTTTACGAACGGAAATAAGTGAAAGATATAATTCTTTGATAATTATGTAGAAAAAAACTTCGATCACCGATTTCAATGATTTTTAAATATTATGGAAAATGAGATTATGCTATATCGACATGTTATTTTATTTCAAAAAAAATTTTCGTTTTTGTTAATATTTTATCCTTTATTAACGTATATAAAAATCATCGAAATCAATGAAGTATATCCTTTTTTATATAATTATTTCTTTATTCGAAAAATATATAGCATTTAATTTATAAATGATTTCAAAATATCATATCGCTTTCATCGTATTTATCATCTTAATTTTTTCTTACGAAAACACAGACGAAACACAGACGACAATGAGTCAAGACGGAGATAAAATTAAAAAGAATTGAACTGGGATGTTCGATTGAAACTGGAGGGATAATTGATTCCAGGTGAGGCCGAACGATTACTACAAGAGTATCGACAAAACCAAGAGCTAGTACAAAATATCGGGGCCCATTACTATCAGATCATCTATCCAGTACAGTTACGGCATCACGAGAAAATGGGGATATCCACAAGAGAAGTGAGCGTATCCAAGGTAATTAAACTTTTCCTCCGAACGATCGAAAGTCTATCGAAAATTGATATATTTTATGATGTCGAAACTTTGTTACTTTCTCACGATCGAAAGCCTATCGAATATTTTTTTTTATCGAGAATCGATAAACTTTACAACATCGAAACTTTGCCACTTTTTGACGATTCGAAGATTTTGTTATGAACTTTGTTACTTTTTGACAATCGAAAGCCTATCGAATTTTCTTTATAGAATCGATATATCGATCGATATATTTTGTAATAGAGAAACTTTGCAACGATTGAAAGCTTATCGAATTTTGTTTTTATCGAGAATCGATAAAATTTATAACATTGAAATTTTGACAAATTCATCACCTTTGACAAACCTTATTCTTTATAGAATCGATATATCGATCGATATATTTTGTAATAGAGAAACTTTGCAACGATTGAAACGATTGAAAGCCTATCGAATTTTTTTTTATCGAGAATCGATAAAATTTATAACATTGAAATTCTATCACCTTTTGACAAACCATATCGAACATTCTTTATAGAATCGATATCGATCGATATATTTTTATAACGAAATTTTGTAACGATCCGAAACCATCCGAAAAACCGAATTTTTTTTTATAGATATTTTATAAATAGAGATTGATATATTTTATTTGAAACTTTTTGAAGGCCTATCGAATTCTTTTATAGAATCGATATCGATCGATAGTCTCTTTTCGACGAAGACCTGTCGAACTTTTTTATCGAGAATCGATATCGATCGATATTTCATTATTTTATTATAACATCGAAACTTTGTCACTTTTCAGTTTCCTCAAAGAGGATACGGAGAGGGTGGATATCAGAATGTTAAAGGCAGAATGAGAGTAAGTGTACGGAAGTTCGTAAGAAAGCGATTAACAAGGCAAGTTTTCGATACGTTTAACGAGACAAGTTTTCTTTGATTTTCAGACGGGGAGACATTTTCATCGGACGTCCCTCTTGATCAAGGCCTTTAATCATAAATTTCGCCTAGATTTAGAATTAAATACGTAAGTGTGTATACACCTTCAGTCTTCCAATCGAATTTCATCAACGAAACGAGACAAATAAATAGTACAAAGAGTATCGTTGCGCGTGTTGCAGGCAACTTTTAGCTCCGAATCTTGTGCAAAAAGACTTTTTAACCGTCGGTGCGGAACAAACTTCTAAACAGGTGACATAAACTTTTCTACACTCTATTTCCTTAAATTCACTATATTATAATGGAATATTTGAATAATGGATATCGCGTGCGTGTATTTTTTTCTTTGAAAATTTTTCCATTGCATCGATTGAATAAACAAAACTGACTGAATTTCCCGATTGAATGATTTACAGGAGATAGAGCACTGTTACTATCACGGTACCGTGAGGGATTATCCAGGAGCTAGCGCTGCTTTTCACACGTGTAACGGTGTCAGCGGTGTCATTCATTTAGGCAACGAGACATTTGTCATTCATCCATTTTACGGCGGCGATTTGTCGGTCAGTTTAATTATTTAAAGATTATCTATCGATACTTTGTAACCGTATTCTTTCAATAATCCCGTAATTTTTCTTTGAAAAGTAATTTAAAAACTAATCTCAAATTGATCCGTCCATTGAAACTATTTTCGCTATTTTATCGGGTCGAAACGAAATAACCGTTGAAACAACGTTAACGATAAAACGATACTAAAAAAAAACGATTTAAAAATCAAAAAGTTAATATTCTAACCTCAAAACGTTTCATTCTTTGAGACCAGAATTGAGCATTAACCTTAAATTCAAACTAGTTAAAAATTTCGAATAAAGTTACTTTAAGTTATTTCAAATACAATTACTTATTAAAATGCTTGAATAACATTTACTCCACTGTTCGCATAAGCTCGACCATTCACCATTTATCTCCGATTATTCGATGCCTCGAGTAATAAATTATTCGAGCAACTTATCGAAGTAACTTTATTCTTGACTTCAACCGTTAAAATTTTCCCCATCTCTGAAACTCTGAATCGTGCCGAAATAAAATAGAATAAAATTGCCAAAATTAAAATTAAAAAAAAAAGATGAACTTGAAGGAGTATGTAAGTAGGGTTTGACCAAATTTGCTTCATAGAGGGATGTGGACAGAGAGGGTGTTTGACCGGGTCCAGCCGGTGTTTCAGGGACGGCAAACATGGCCGGCCATTCGATCCAGTTTCGTTAGCGGGGCAGACGAAGCGAGAGAGGATCGAGTTAAGCCGCTATCAACCCGGCTCGACTCGTAAACGGGTAATCGGTTGGCCCCTCTAAATTCCGTCTCTGCGTTGTTCCGCGCAGATGTTTCTACGTTTATCTAATGCCGATCCGAGGAAAATGGATTCGAAAGTTTTCCGCGAAATCGATCAGCCACGGGCAAATTTCCAACGAATTTCCAACAGTTTTCCATTAAGCTCCTGCTTCGGATTTCGAACGACGAGAAATAGATAGGCCGAGTCGGTTGATGGTTAAATAGACGTGATCGTCTTAATCGTTCTCTTTTTTCGTACGTAGTTAAATTGTTTTGTGCGAGGAATTTAATTCGTTTGTGACTCGTGATCCGATTGAGATAAATACAAAGATTGATATGCAAAAATGTTAAATCGAAGCTTAATTAATTGTTTATGGATAATAATTTGCTTATAATTTAGTAATTAAGTCTGGACCAATTTTTGAATAATTTTGAAAAGTCTTATATCAAAAAGAATTTTGATCGTTTCACAAACAATAGAGACGGTCCATTCTGTAAATTAAAAATTCTGACGTAAAAAAAAAAAAAAGGAATAGCTATCCAAAAAAAATGAATTGCTTCGTTTATACGAAAATTTCGCAAGGTAGAGAATGAAACGACAGGGACAACCTATATATGCTCGTCCGACACGAGTAAGGAAGAGGGATCTTATATGCACGAGTTGTGCCTTCATTATTATTCATGAAGGGATCTCGAAGTAACAACGTGGCGAAAAAAAAAAAGCAAAAATACAATTTCTCGTTGTGCGCGTTTCGCGAGAAAATCAGGATGCGCGAACATCACCTCCTAAAAAATTCAATTGTCGGGTGAATTTCGTGAACTCTCTCTGTCTCTCTCAACTTTTACGCGGTTGCCTCCATCGATGAATAATACTCGAAAGCGAATCAAGAAAGAGGATCCAGATCGGATGGACGGATTCGGGACGCGGCAAGGTTCGGTGGATTCTTTCAAATGGCGCTACGTAACAATTAACCGAGAAAAAGTTGGACGAAGCCGATAGTAGGTCATGATCCTCGCGCAGATGCGGGAACAAAAAGCCCGCGGCCCTACTGGTTATAAGCCATAATCGAATAGAGGAACGGGCGTTAAAAGGCGGGCGGCGGGCTGCTCGGAGAATGTTAACTATATGCAGACCTCTCTTTTAGCAGAAACATCCTCACGTTATATTTGAAGCTCGAACAAAGGCTAACAAAGGCTGCGCTAACTCGGGAAATCTTGAGTGGCGTGTAAAGAACCGCCGGCAGAAGCATGTTCTGGGGCTATCGGAGACCACTTCCGATCGATACAAGAGAGACGTCCGTGAAACAACCAAATACATCGAAACTGCCATCATTATCGATAAGGCTATGGTATTGAAACTTTATACTATTTCTTCTTTGTGTTTTATGTCTTAAGGATTGTGCGCGATGGTCACGTGATTGAGAAACTAGAACTTCGGGACTGATCGGAAAAATTCGGTCATGATCGGGCGGGATCCCGAATCTATTGGATTCCAATCGACTCGGCAATGATCGGGCATGATCGGCTAAAAAAAATTTAACGATTCGAACCGATTTATATTGGAGCTTTCAAGATGAGTATCACGATCTTATCCGAATTTTTCCGATTTATTCCGAGTAAGTAATTTTAAAATATCGAACACTTGTAATATTTCCACTATTTGTAGTACTTTATTCGATTACTTTTGATGGTTATTGGACGGCAAAGTGCGCGAAACGTGTCCTCAAAAGCAATGAGAGTTAAGAGAGTGCCAATTACGGTTGTAATCGTTAAAGGAAAGCGCGACGACGTCATTGAAGCAAGTTTCGAAGAACTGGTTCTAAATTCACTTCATCCTTCCCGACGTGCTCGCGTAATTCAACAATAATAGTTATCGAATATCGGAAACGTAAAACGAATCGATACTATTGACTTTAACGATATCAATTGTCGTAAATAAAAACGTAAAATCGATATTAGATAGATATCTTACTATCCTTTACAAACCTCACAAAAATATTTTCTTTTCCTGATTTTTTAGTTCGAGAAGAGGAACGGTAGCACCAGAGCGGAGGTTGTTCACGATGCCATCCAAGTCGCTAATATCGCGGATATGGTGAGTGTAATAGGTTAGAAATCAAGATGAAACGAAAATTATCTTTTATAATTTTCAACGTATATTTTTCCGATGTTTCAATGAAAAATTTAGAAAATAGTAAAGGAGTTTTGATTTTTTTCGTTCAATCTTTACTTTTATAACAATAATAATCGCGAATAAAGAATTTCAATTAATTTCAATTTTCTTTTTCACAGTATTTCCGCACGTTAAATACTAGAGTCTCCGTCATATACATCGAAACCTGGCAGGGCATAAACCAGGCGGAAATCGCGACGGGCATGGATATCGATCTCGCTTTGCTCAATTTAAACGATTACATGATGCGAACGATGTTCCGTGTTCCTCGTGATACCACTCAATTACTCACGTAAGTATTCATCGAATGAATTTCATTTAATCTATTCTGAGACTGACTCGAGATTGAAATTCGAATCGTACACAGGGGTGAAACGTTCGCCGGTGGAGAATCAGGGGTTGCCATACCTTCGACTATCTGCAAACAAAAATCCGTAGGAATCAGCGTCGATTTGAATACATACGAGCCTCATCTTTTAGCCGGTACTATGGCTCACATGATCGGCCACAATATAGGAATGAGCCACGACGATGGAAGTTAGTTTCTACTCTTACAAATATAGTTTCTTTAATAAATTAACGTTCTGACGAATAAGTCTGAAATTCAGTAGTACCTGAATTCGGTAAAATATTTGAAGAACCTAGAAAACATTCTATCTGTAACCATTCTTATATATAAATGTTTAGACATTTATGCAAAATTTGAATGTACAAAATTTTACAAAATGATATGTAATAACACACAAAATGTCTCAATTTTCATTATAATGCTTAAACGAAACGAATCTTTATTTAAGTTCCATTTCTTTAAAGATTTGATTTCGCATAAACATTTGCAATTTATTCATAAGAATTTATTTATTTATCTGATTCTTTCAACCTATTTGTCAGAACGATTAATTCGTGAATAAAAAATTCATCCATTCCAATCATAGTTTAAGACAAGTTTTTCATTAAAATGTAATTTTCTCCAGGGAGCGAATGTATCTGCCGCGAATGGCACGGATGCATCATGGCTCAATCGATCGTTGGATTGGAGAACGTACAGCCGTACACGTTTTCCGAATGTAGTAAAACAGATTACATAGAGGTGTTAAGAAGCGGAAACGGCTTTTGTCTTTTAAATAAACCAAACGAGGTAAAAGGATTGAACAAATAAATCTACGGTTTGAAACGAAACGAGCCCATCGAACCCAATTTTACGAGCGCACGATAACAAATCACGAGGGTGCTTGAAAGTTTCAAATAAGTATTTCCTATCGATTTCTAATCTTAAATGTAAAGTTTTTTTTATCTTCGACTCGTTTCATTTCAAGCCAGCTTTTAAATCTATTCCATGACGAGATTTGTTGGATTTATTTCGAATTTCTGTCCTCTGTACACGATGTCAATATATTTGAAGAACAATTTTTGATTGTAGAGGCCAAAACAAATATAAAAATTCTTAATTAAGACTTCTTTATTGAATTATAAGCAATTGAAGTTTGTATTAGATGAAGCGAGGATAAAGTTGTAAGCTTCAATTACTCATCGACATTTTTATATAACAATTGTTAATAATTAGCCAAGAGATTTCACAAATCTCACAAGAAATTATACAAAAGAGCCTCTCATCAATAAGAGCCTTTAAAACTTTTTTCACGCGATAATATTTGTATAATACTTATCATATATAGAAACTCAATCTTTGGATCAATAATCTATCAATCTATCAATCATATAGCAAATATTGTCATGTAAAGAAAACCTTAAACATTTTCACATTACTCAATTTTTATTGCCCATAATTTTTCACTTTACTATTCCATTTCTTTTTTTAACTATATTTTTTATGGACCACGCGTGATCGATGGACGTAAATTCATCTTCGATCAGAATCTCGACGAAATGAAACGAAAAGCCTGTTGAAGTTGAAAATTGTCTCAAGGAAACGCAAAGCTCATTTTTCATCGTACGTTTCAGGTCGAAGTAAGGAGATCTTGCGGAAACAGGGTAATCGACGAGGGAGAGCAATGTGATTGCGGATCGATCGAGGAGTGTCACGAGTACGACCCCTGCTGCGATCCGATCACCTGCAGACTCACCTCCGAAGCGCAATGCGCGACCGGCCCTTGCTGCAGCGATTGTAAGGTAAAACATTTCTCCTGCATTCCACTTCCTCCCACCCCTCTCTTCTCCTCGCCTCTCCTCACTCACTCCGCAATTCTCCAATTTCTATCGCGGATCAACATCTTGGATACGTTCCACGTCAAACATTCCGCCTCCATCCTCTCCCCCTCTCTGCCTAAAGATGTACGTGCCCGATAGCCACGAGTACAATAAACGCGTCGATAAATGGAAGCGGACAGAAGGTGTGTAGAGGCTCGAGGAGGGTAAATAGATAGGGAGATCAAGATCTCTTTCTCTCTTCTCTACACTACGGAATCACTGCTTTGGACTGCTCGAACCTCGGCTGAGATCTAATCTCGAGCGATTTTGAAAATGCAGCTGCTCGCGCGTGGCGTCGTGTGCCGGGAATCGACCAACGAATGCGATCTTCCGGAAGTGTGCACAGGCGAGACCGGCCAATGCCCGACGGACGTCTACAAGAAGAACGGAAATCCTTGCTCCAACAACGATGGATATTGTTATAACGGTGTCTGCCCGGCGTTGAATCTTCAATGCGAGCAGATATGGGGATACGGTGGCGTTGCCGCGGACCAACAGTGCTTCGAGCAATTCAATTCCAAGGGATCGCTGAGCGGACACTGTGGCACTGACTCCTCCGGTCATTACATCAAATGCGAGCTAGAGTAAGATAGAGTAATGATATATGCGTTTTTAATTTGATTTTTGATGTATCGTGGATGAACAGTTTTGGCATGGTTGTAATTTTACTTTTTTTTTCTTTTTTCATGTTTGGAAGAGGTAGATATTCACGTTTTCTGATCCCAAGAGTTTGGTAAACAAAAGACGTTGGAATGTAAGGAATGGCTTGGAAAGGATAGATTCACGTTTACTGATTCTAATACTTGGAAATCAAAAGATTCGTGTTTCCTGCCCCCTAAGAATTGTTAAACAAAAGACGTTGGAACGTAAGCACGTTGTGAAGAAAATTCGTATCTTCTTTTTTCAATGGTTGACAAGATCGAAAGATGTAGATTCGTGTAGATTCTGCCTCCAAGAATTGTTAAACAAAAGACGTTGGAACGTAAGCACGTTGTGAGGAAAATTCGTATCTTCTTTTTTCAATGGTTGACAAAATCGAAAGATGTAGATTCGTGTAGATTCTGCCTCCAAGAATTGTTAAACAAAGGACGTTGGAACATAAGCATCTTGTGAGGAAGATTCATGATTTCCAACGCTTGGAAATCGAAAGATTCGCGTTTTTTGTCCCCCAAAAGTTGCCAAACAAAAGACGTGAATCGATTCGCGTCTTCCGCAGCTTGGAAATCAAAAGACGTAGATTCTTTCGTTCCCAACAGTTAAGAAACAAAAAAAACCTAGATTCTTTCATCTCCAATGCTTGGAAATCAAAAGACGTAGATTCTTTCGTCTTCTGTCCCCAACGATTGAGAAACAAAAAATCTAGATTCGCGTCCTTTGTCCCCAACGCTTGGAAATCGAAATATATAGATCCACGTCTTTCATCTCCAACGCTTGGAAATTGAAACAGGAAGATTTACGTCTTTTATCCCCAACGGTTGAAAATCAAAAGACGTGGGGATACAAGACATGGATTCAAGTTTTTTGTCCCCAACGCTTGGAAATCAAAAAACGTAGATTCATATCTTTCCATCTTTTGAAAATCGAAAAACGTCGATTCGCATCTTTCATTCACGATATGTTAATTTTCAATAATTTTCATAAAATCAAATTTTTCAACAACGAAACTAAAAACAAATTATCCTATTTTTAATTTTCGTTCTATCTTCGCTCGAAAAATCATTCCTTAAATTTTAGATAATAAAAAAAACGTGTAACACGTAATACAACATAAAAATTAATCCTAAGAAAAATTATAAAGCATTTGTATAATTTCCCTAGGAACGTTCGTTGCGGATCGTTACAGTGTCAACAAGGTAGAAAACTGCCAACGATAACGGGAATAGATCATTCTAGAACTATAATCTCGATAAAAGGCGAGGAATACGAATGCAAGTAAGCGCTTTATATTTTTTTTTATTTCTTTTTTCCTTATCCTTCAAATATTCTAAATAACATTTACATTTTTCATAAAGATCCACGACTGGAAAGGTGGAAGGATCCGAAATGCCAGGCATGGGATTGGTTCGCGATGGAACATCCTGCGGAGACAACTTGGTAAGGCCGAACTTCGTATTAAACTTAAACTTGTTAATACGGTATTCTATTCTATGGTAATCATCCTTGTTATTAATCCGATTATGCAAAATCACGGAATAGAAAGGAAACAAAGCTGTTTGCTTTCGATCTACATGTTAACTCTGTCAAAACGAGAACGAGTAGGATGGAAGAAAGCTTGTAAATTATTGCACGTGACACGTGGCTTAACTCTTGTTTGTTTCAGATTTGCGTGAACCAAACGTGCATGAGCCTTTATCCGCTCATAGGCAACGAACGGTGTCCTAGCAATCACAACAATCACGAGTGTTCGGGAAATGGAGTAAGTAAGACTTTAAGAAAACTTTATTATATTAAAAAGCATAAAAATAAATTTAAAATGAAACGAAATAAATATATTTGCTCTCGCAAAGGTGTGCACGAATTTGAACAATTGCTATTGCAACCTTGGATGGAGTGGACCAGATTGCTCCATAGAGCAGGATATCCCGACTCATCCACCGATAACGTCTAGCACCGAAGCGGCCGGTAAAAATGGTACAGATACTAAATTAGTGAAAAAAGAGACCCCCTACGGTAAGTTGCGATTATGTAAATAATCGTTAGAAATCGATCGATTTTATTAAGGAAATTTACATGCGGAATGAGAAATTGAAGCGAGATTGTTAGCTGGAATTTTAGCTTCAATTTCTTATTAACTCTAGTTTATAACCTATTTAAGAAGGAATAAAGAAACATCATAGAATAAGAATAAACGAATAAGCAAGTGATTACTGGATACGGTGAATATTTGAGATCGACAAACTTTTTCTCCTTGTCCAAAAAAGGACGATAGATTAGAATTCTAGAAGATATCCAAAAATTCTACCGTATCTAATGATCCAAAAAAAAAAAAAAAAAAAGAGATCTTTCACATTTTTCGATCGTCTGTATGTGCGTTTAATTCACGATAAGACGAAGACTCGTCCCTTATCCCGTTTAGCCGCCATTGATTATTTGGGGCCATACCATCAGCTGTGCACATAAAAATTCGACACGTATACATGTATATGCGTACATATACAGAATACGGGGTAGATAAGCTTACTCGATTACACTTATCCACTTTTGATTATCTACTGAAACTCCTCTCTCTCTCTCTCTCGAGGAAGAGAGAGGGAGAAGAATGATCGCACGTTGCAGGTAAAATTGCTCAACCAACGATTTTAACCACGTTTCTCACATGGCGATTTTTAGCAAGACCCCTTATCGATGAGCCTTCATTGGATATTGTTCGAGATTATTTTTCCTTCAGTGAAATGGATTACGAATTGTGTATACACTCCAATTGAATCGAATTCAAGGAAAATTGTGTATTATTACACATGATAGATATTGTAATCCAGCTCACTTGCGATGCATAATTTTTGATCTCCTTTCTTCGACTAAGTTTGTGCAGATTGGTATTATTAGAATTATTTGTAATGAAAAATCGATTATTTTATTTGTTGTCCTAAAATATAAAGAAGATCAATGAAAAGTTAGACATTGGAAGGAAAAAGGAATATTAAGTGTTTTGTCTTGTGAGTTTGAGCTATGATTCCCTTCCTATTATAATTTATAGAAATTAAGATAAAGACGATTAGTCAAACATATACAAGAATTAACGAAATGTTTAGCAATTATTGAGTATCATTTTGATGTACAATTAAAAATCTATGGAGAAAAAAAATTCCAATCTGCATAACCTTGGCCTCAGTTGCGTTTCAGGAACGATGTTGGAATAATTTTTCGTAGGGTTACGTGTCCATAGAAGCAAATCTCTTCTCAGGAATGATCGCAGATCCTCCTCACAACGTTTATATAATTTTCATGAGAGAATAAATTGTGCGTAGCGTTGCCTTAGAAAAGCTAGATAAAATGGAAGAGGATCTCCATTTTACCGAGATCCAACATCCACCGATCTGGCACACTGGTAGATTACAAAATGTAATGGTCATTTCAGAAACAACTAACAACACTCTTAGCACCGGGACGATGGTATTAATCCTGGTGGGTGTGGTCAAAGGAGTCTTCATTTGTTTTGCACTAATGGCTGTTTGCTACAGGTACAGTAGCAAAAAAATAAAATTCTTGAGTGGGTTCGACCAACGCCTGTCATTGTCAAGTAATTCGTGGCTAGCTGGATGATGAGGCATCGCACGCGGCCATCAAATTGCTCTCATAATATTGACTCATCTTAGCCTTACTTAATCGATGTGTTTTACTCGTATATGTATATACATATATAAATAATATACATATTATATATATTTATATATATATATATATATTATCGTACTGTTTCTCTTCGATGGTGTGCTCTGAATGTGCTCGTGCTCGCATAGCGCGTTTGAATGATCACGATGAGATCGTGACTATGCTGCACGAGCGAGGGATCTCACATTTCCACTCGATGATCTCGCATACCAAGGGACGAAAGATGAAGATATATACTGTACACTGCCTATATCGTTGAAGGAAAGAAGATGAGATATAATTAATTTTCGTCCCTTAGAGTGCGATATCTCATACACGATCCACTACAACGCCAATGTGCCAGCTGCTTGTATGCCCTATAAAAGCATGAAAGGCTGATTAGCGAAGAAACGAACGTCGTCCCCTACGGATCGTCGGTCTCTGATCGAAAGAATCGTTGTGTTGAAGAATAAACATAACCTTTAATATACCTATAACGGATCGATTTGATCGCGTCGAATTCCCCGATTCGTGTCTTCGTCGATGTCAATCTGAGAAAAGTAGTTGGCAAAGGGTCTTTCGACTCGCTAAACACGACGAGAATATCTAACCTCTCTCTCTCTAACGTCGATAATCGAAGACTCGATCGAAGCGAAGAAAGAGAATAGGGAAAATTGGTTGTCACATAGAATGAAAAAAATAATTCACACCCATCGTATCGAGGAATATATATATATGTATACGATATATTTTTGGCGTGATGAGTCGAAAGTATCCGGATATCGCGTCGATACGATCAATGGTGTGTACTTGTATAACAAACTACGTCTATATGTATTATGTATATGTGCTGATTCTGGCTTCTTTGTTTCTTATCTGTTTCTGTCTGTCACTGCCATCTCTGTCTGTCTGCATGCTGTGGGACGCTCGGATACCAAAATATACCATCCGTATATACTCGCATCTACGTGAACAATGGTATACTCGTTTTTGATTATCTTGATTCTTGATTTTTGTTGTTATTATTATTATTATTATTATCATTATTGTTATTATTATTATCATTGGATCTCTCGTATCCCGACGTACCTCTTTGACACGTGACGGTCTCAAAAAACTGCAATAATTAACGATGTAACTAACCAACGTTTGATCGTCACAGAGAACTACCACGGCTCTAACACTGTATTTTTAGTTGGTGTGCTCATGTCGGTGGTAGGGGGTGTTTTCATAGTATTTGCTCTGATGGCTCTCTGCTACAGGTCAGTCGTAGTACATAAAAACTACTCCCTCTGTCTCAGGTTAGTGTGCAGAAACATACACGTAGAAAATTCTTTTGTATGCGTATATATATATGTATATATATGCACATATATATGTATGTGTTTTTTATTATTTTTTTTTTACGATCTACATACGTCGTACATATATATTTACATGTATATCTTTTAGAGTCCGTACTATTACTGTCTATTTCTCTTTTACGCTTATATATTGTTCTTTTCGTATTTTCTCTACTTTTTTTTTCTTTTTTTTTTTAAATAATTTTTCTATTGTTTCTCTCTCTCTCTCTTTCTATTTCTCTTTCTCTTTCTGTGTATCTCTTTGTCCTATCGATAAAGCGCTCTCTGCATTATCCGCGCAGCAATAAGTCGCAATATCTCTAGCTTATGCGACCGCGCGAAAATTCAAACTCGTCGCAACGAACAGATATCGCGTTTCAAACGTTTCTCCACGCGATTGTCTCTAAATACGCTCATTCGAAAATGTATGTATGCACTGATCGTTGCCACGATTACGCTGTATAAGCTGCTTAAGCGATTGTCGCTGCGAACCATCATCAGGTTCATTTGAATCGCTTTCGCAAAAATTGGCTCACTCGACGTGTATTACTCGTCTGCAAATGATTCAAAGCTTTTTGTGTATCGTAACCGTTAACTGATATCGATTAATTAGAACGGTCCAATATTTTTTTATTTTCTTTTTTTAACGAGAAACAATAAAAAAAAAAAAAAGAAAAATTAACTTTGCCAAAGAAAAATTTCCGATCTGAACCGTGTTGGTATCGGTTAAAGGTTGCACCCGCGTTACAGCAGGGTGATCGCGTTTAATAATCCCGTTGATGAGAATGATTTGACAATTTTCAACTATCTATTCAATTCCAACTAAATCTAAAAAAAAAAAAAAAAAACATATTCTCTTCACCCCCATGGAACGCACGCGCGTCAAGCTTCACGATTCTTCAAGGCACTTTTTTGCCCGTCTCTACGTCTTTGTCGTTTGATTTTGAGTATTTGAGTTGATGGGTACTGCAGCGGAGGACGATCTCACACGAGTGGCTCTAAGACCAGCTGCGGGTGTACCATTCGACTGGTTATCTATCTTTTGTTCTTACGCATGCGATCACCGCTCCCTCTGTAAAAAAACCTTCCTTCCCCCCCTCTCTCTCCCGTAGACGCGCTCGCTTCGCTAGCCAACCACCATTTCATTATAATGATTCAGACGTAAAAAATGTCCGGATTAAACGTATATCTTTCTATTCAAAAAATCGAACAATATATATGTGTGTGTGATATGTGCCATATTTTTCTCAGAATTTTAATTAATAATTATCGACAACTAAAAATTAAATTACACAAATTGACATTTTTTTTTTCTGTCATTCTATTCAACTGATTAATTCTTCAATTTTTCACGAACGAAAATTAACGAATACATTCATATATATATATATACGTTTAAGCCCGACGTATGTAATTACTATAGAGTATCTCTTATGGAGCACGCAATATTTCACACGATTATTATTAAACCTTTTCGAAGGGAGTCGACTTGCAAAATTCCTTTTCGTTCAAAATTTCGAGATCAATTTTGAGAAAGTTTATTATACACAGTTAGCCGAGGACGAGCGAAAGGAAAGAAAGACGAGCGAAACATGGAGATTCGCTCGAACGTGTCCCTCCCTCCCTCGCTCCCTCGTAGATATATATTATTTATTTAGCATGCGCTTTCCTTGATCGTTCTTTTCTGTCGGTCTTTCACCGTGACCGCGGCCCCCCCGCATCCTCGTAATCGGCGAATTTCTCGCAGAAGGAAGAGCACCGTCCAGAAGTACGACCAGCCGTACGTGAAGAAACCACCGCAGAGGGGTTACAGCGGCGTATCCGGGAACCATCACCCGGGACACGCCGTACTGGACAACGTGAACAACAAGATCCTCACTTTCAGCAGTATGCCTAATTGCAGGTACGACCGATCGTTTCGTTCCTCCCTCCTCCTGCCCTCCAAGTAAACAACAGATCAGGCTAGACACTGTTATATTTTTTTTTTTTTTCGAGAAAACAATTCCTCCCCTCCCCACCTATTAACCACCTCGGTTAATTAGACACGCAGATTAGATACGATTCATCGCGATATTAGATTTTTTTCGATCTGATCTATATATATATAGCGATTTTTCGATCTTTCGAACGAAAAAAAGAAAAAAAGAAAAATTGTGCATCAAATCTCTGGAGCGCAAGCTGCAAACCTGTTTCTTGGTTCCTCTTAATTAAAGAAAGGAGATCAATTTTTTCGAACGTTGTGAACTTTCGAAATTGGAAAAAAGTGAAAAAAAATTGAAATTATTGTTTATCCTCAAGGGATCATCAATTGTATAAAAAATTGTAATGAAAGTGGTTTTTTTTTTCTTTCTCTTTTTAAGAATATATTTTTTTTAGGGGAAACGAGAAACGAGGTTCTTGAAATGATCCTTAAGCTGACACTTGAGTTGAAAGTTTATGGAAAATTATATGAGGATTATTACGTGTTGAAAGAAATACGCTTTTTTGAAAGATAATCTAGGGAAGACCCCTGCAATTAGTGTTGAAAAAAAAAAAAGAAAAAAAAAGAAAAAAGGATCCATCAACGATCGCCAAAGACACATCTCGCTTCTATATACTTTATACATTGGTTTTCCATTCGATGTTTGCGTCACACGAATTCATGTCACACGGCATTCATTCGACATAAACAAGATTATTCATTTATTCGACGGAATTTCAGCCCGCGTTGCTTTTTATTATACGTGGAAAAAATTTTTCAAAATCAAATTCACCGACGACCACGACGACGATGACGACTGCTTGGGGTGAAACGAAATATTTAAGAATTGTAAAATCTTGGAATATCGATTTTTTTGTATCTGAAAAAAAAAAATAATAATAATAATCGTACAATTTCGAATCTTTTCGTTTCATCCTGGCTCACCGAATTTATAACGGTAACGATATGCGTAATTCTCGTGACGAGCCATCTTCCCTCGTCGTTCGATCTTTTTCTTGAAAAAAAAAAAAAAATTCCTCCAATATTATAGCTCGAAGAAAATTTTAAAAATTATTGATAAGGAAAGAAATACTCGAGCGATTCTTTTCATCATTCTCGTATCTTCTATGTATTTTTGCTATCTGTGCACTGTGTCGTATTATTCGAGAGAAAAAGAGGAAGACGACTCGTCGACGAGATAAGAGAATCTGAGAATACCGACACCGTCCACTGCGCGTTTGCTAGACACCTTTAACCTTCAACCAGTGACGTGAAAGGATTAAGGATAGATACCGAATATTCTTTTCTCAATTCTATCTTATATTGTTTAATTCAATAGTAAAGAATTAATAAAAAAGAAGATAGTCAAGAATTAGTTTATCATTTTTGAAGAATTCGCGGGAACAAAATCTGCATCGAATTGTAATTTTATTTTCTACTGATATTGACGAACATTAAAGTGAGAGAAATAAAATTACGTAATAAAAAGATAATTAAATAAATGGGATAGATTTTTCAAATATCGAAAATATTAATCGCTCACGTCATCGGTTGAAAGGTTAACCCTTTGTGGTCGTGGATAATTTTTGAGAAATCAATAGTTATATCTTTCTTCCTTCTCTTAAACTTACGCTTATAATTCGTGAAATACTATATCCAACAATACGCGTGATCCGATCCTATTTTTATCTACTATTAGAGCTTCTCTTCTTGTACACGTATTAATGGAAACGAGGAATACGCTCGTTCGGCCAGGCAAAATTTCATCGCGTGGAATCCGACCACAAGGGGTTAAACTCGTGGTGAAATACCCGCGGCATGCCTATATTAGTATATTTCTAGCCGCGGCGAGACCCAGCGCGTGGTGTTTCGACCCCCGAATAACGTCGCCACCGCAGACGGGCCAAGAGTCAAGTAAGTCTCATGTGTCTCGCCGTTATGTCACCATTATAGTTGATCGATGATCTCAAGACTCGAACACAACAATAGTTCCAAGCGGGGCAGGCCAGCCAATCTTCGAAAAAATCGATTCGAAAAATCTTGGATGGGGAACGCGTCTCAATTTTTCGAATACTTTAAAATATAATTTTAAACTAAGCACTCGCGATATCGATCGAAAAATCTATTGGCTATGTGATGTATAAGAAGCAAGAAGTACGTTGTAAAGTTGTGATTATTAAAATATTGCGTGTATTGCATCATTGGAAAATGATAAACTTGCCAAATCACGTGAAATTGTTACCTCATTGAGATCTCCTAGCGATGTAACTCGTCTGCATCGAATTCGATTCGAGAATCGTTAAGAAGAAATTAATCGAGACGTTTGTAAATTTGGAAAAGCTGTCCTGCCTTGTTTTCACACTTTGTCGAAGCGGTCAGAGATGCTCTCCGCTCGTGGAATGAGTCACGAATGTTGTCGTATCAGCATGGAAGAAAGATTATCACTTACGGGCGTTTCGCTTATTTGGATATCTTGTTCTTCCGTGCAGCGATAAATTTACACACATTACACACATATGTACACATGCGTGCAAATATACACTGTGATAAGACACATTTTTACCTACGTAAAGTCAATTTGTGAACATTGTGTAACTGCACTGATTTTTAGGAATGCAGCAGTAGCGATACATTTTGTACAATTGTTATAAAAGCAAACACAAAGAGACGATGAAGGAATAATCCTTTCGTTTGTCGCTAAATATTTTTTCGTTCTCCCTTCTTCTGTGGATTTTCAGTTGAAAAAAATGAAAATGTTCAAGATAATATTGCATAACGGCACGATGCATTTGGCCCAAATTTTTTTTTACAACAGAGTGGACATCTTTCGATTTCATTCAAACGACATTTCTAATAGATTCGGAACGGATCGGAAAAATTCGGATGAGATCGGGAAAAATCTCGATATATATTCATATACCTTCTATAGATTTCGGATCACTTCGGCAATAATCGTTCGTAATCGGCTAAACACCTTATTAATTGGATTTCGGGCTCTCGAGCCGATCATACCCGATTAATGCCGAACTAATCCGAAATCAACTCGTGCTTATATCTCAAATATTTTGCGAAAATCGAGATTTCACCCGATTTCTTCTGAATTATTCCGATCTATTCCGAAGTTCAAATATTTCTGAATCACAAAATAATCTCGCACAATTTTACAATCCCATATATACGTTCACCCATCCATTCAACATAGGAATTATCAGACTAATTCATTTTCTGCAAGTTAAGTTTTATATTTTTCAGATTCTTGTTTATACTTGCAAAAATCTAATCGAAAGTCGAACGTGATTATTAATTTTCACGCGCGTACATCGCACATACGCCCACACGCTGCAACACGCTTCTGATTTCAGCAAATCTGATTCATCGTACTCTATCATTTCGACACGCACGCTATAGTCCAAGTAGAAGAAATTAAATTGCATGCATAAAATATTTTACACGCCACATCTTCTCACCTTGGCACTGCATGTTTTTCCTTTCGAATGCGCCGCACCAATCATCGGATCTCATGATTAGAACGAATACGTATTATATCACTTTATAAACGATATAATGAAGGATTTATCAAGCATGCCTCGTATGCTACTTACAGCACACGCATCCGTAGAAAAACCCCGATTGCAGCTGTTTAATTGTTTCGAAAAAAAAGAAAAAAAAAAAAAAAGAAAAGAAAAGAGAAATACTATCATATATTTTGCAAGCAAAGGATCAAACATAAAATTCCAATATATCGTTGTTCACTTGCTAATTATATATACTCAACGATCGAGCATGTTTGGATTCGATGAATCACCATGAAATTATTACATCGCGATCTTTAAAGCGCACGAATTCATGAAAAAAAAAAGAAAGAAAAACACGTGTGCATCTTATCAAAATTCTCCGCGTTTAACCAGAGTCAAAGGAAAAGATACGAACTATTGTCGTGTTCGCGTTCGTGTCACGTTTTAATTGATAATTTCGATTGGAAATGAGGCACGAACACGAACGTGACTATAACTACGAGACTGTACCGGTTTAAAGAGAGCCTTTCCCGAGTACGAGGGAAAAAAAAAAAAAAAAAAATGGGTATTTTTACAAAGGCAAAACGTGCAACGTATAATATGATCAATTATGGCAAAGGCTTAACGTTCAAAGGTGATGGTATCGCGATAAGAGATTGACGATTGACTCGATCGATAAGTAAGGAAAAAGGGATATCTTTTGAACGTTTCGTCTATGAATTAAATCAAATTGGATTTATCAGGTTTGACAGGGAGACCAAATGTTGTTTTACATTGAAATTTTCAGGGAGCATAAGTCGCAGGTGAAGAGGCCAGGTATGAGCGAGGAAGATGGAGATACAGGAGCGGACGAGGTTGTCTCTTTCATCGATTTGCCGAACAACCTCACAAAGTTGCCCGAGAAAGGAATTTTAAAGAAACACGGTGGTTATGGTATTGTAATGGTTGATGAACCTATACGAATAAGTGGGGCAATAACTCACTCGTAAAGGGGAATGCAACGAGCTCGAATTTCTCGCTTATTTCTAGAATTAATTTCTAGGATTCTGAATCTAATCGATTAATGCAACTGAATATTTTTGTCAATGAAATTGTAAAAAGAAATTGATTTAGTATTTCTCAATCTATTATGAATAATTCTATTTTTTATGTATAATATAGTAATTTTAATCTATCAAATTTCTTTCGTTATAAACATTTAGATCGCGATACCAATATAAATTTATTCGATCATGTGATAAAAAGAGAAAAATTTATCGATCGAGTACAAAATTATTTTTATCAAATCTTCCAAAATTTCGCCCTATCGTTACAAACTAATATGTTGGAATAAAAAAACCAATCTATAGATCAAAATCGACTTTAACCTCAAATATTGCAAAATTTTTTCATTGTGAACATTTAATTTATCGTGTACATGTCGAATGACAAAGAATCGAGAAATGCTAATTTATCGATTGAGTAAATCGTATCTGTCAAATCTTCCAAAATTTTTTGCTATCGTTACAAAAAAAAGAATCGAAAAAAAAAATACAAAATTTCTCCATCTCTCTAAATCTCTCCATCATAAATATTCAAATGACGACATCTAATATAAAAACTTTTTATCAAATCGCAAAGTGACTAGCGGCGAGAAAGCCTGATTTATCGATCGAGCACAAAATCGATTTTATTCAGGATCACCGTGTAAAAAAGAAAAAATCGAGCTACTTGCATCGACCATACTTACACACGTATTTAACCTCAGATACATCTTAGACAAAGAGCGCAAAAATATCGATCGTTAATTGGAACAATGATTAATTAAACCAGGTATGGGAGGAGGGGCGGTAGCCAGCGTGGAACGCACTTTGGATCAACTGAACGGTTACCACGAGCATATTATCGAGGCGTTGAGGATGGCCGCGAATCAACGCGAGACATCTGGAACAACATCCGCTCCAATGGACGACGAGGCCTTGACGGAACCTCTGACCGAATTATTAACGGAACCTCTGCCAGAATGTTATCCCACGGATTCGTATCGCAAAGACATCATAAAGCATATCGACAGCCAAGCGGAGGAGGAGTACGAGGAATACGTGCCGTCTTGCGGTGTGATTCGTATACGAAATCTGGAGGATTTGATCAAACAGCTGGAACGGCACTCGGCGCGTAACAGAAGTCCAAGCGGATCCGAGGACATGAGGATGTCCGAGAGCGAGGCAGATCGTCCCTACAGAAAAGATTCGTCCGTTTGTAGCGAGTCTTCCCAAGGGTAAGAACTGATAAGCGAAAAATAACAAGCTTCGCCATTGCTTCACGTTCATATTCGACGTTCGCGTCGCTTGTTACCATTTCTCGATCTCATTATCGTTCTTTGGCAAAGCTTCTCTCGATAAAGCGAGTTACAAAATTCGATTTAACGATCGTTTCCTTCAAATTTGTATAATTCGTGAATTCTTAAACGGTGAACTTTTATGTTGCAAAAATAATCGATCTATCGACGATGCCTTTGCGAATTTTGATGATTTTTAAATGCGTTATGTATATAGAAGAATTTTGAATAATTTTTTATCGTATTTAAAGATGGTTGATATTTAATTTTTAAAACTTTTGCAAAAAAAAATGCTGTTATCATTGTTTTATATTCTATTTTCGCATTTTGAAATGTCTAAACTCTCGATAGATATATTTAAATTTTAATGTAGTAGTAGCAAACATTTCTTGCAAAAGTTTCGAAAATTAAAAATCAATTATCGATTATGCATAGGAAAAAGTTATTTAAAATTTTGTCCTCTATAGCATATTTGAAAATCATCAAAATCCACAAGATAATACGTCAATAGATTCATCATAAGAATATTCGACTAGTTTGTGAAATTCGAGGAATAACACATTTCTGTCTTTTATTAGACGATTCCGTTATTTTTCTTTAATATCCGTTGTTTGTTAAGATTTGGAAGGGATCTTATACTTTAAAAAGTTTGTTATTTTAATTTGATGATATAAATTAAATCGAATATATTTTCGGGAATGACTATATATGCGCATTGATTGATTTTCCTGAATTTGAACAAATTGTCTGAAGAAACAAATTTTCTGATTGGCTGTCATCTCTAAAAGCGACACGACACATTCAAAATTGCAAGATAAATCTACAGAGCTATTTCTCTCGTTTATCTTATTCGTTCTGAACGTACTGAATCAGACAAAACTCACACGCTGGCACCTCACAACTCACTCTCTCTCTCTCTCTCTCTCTATCTCACCATCGCATCTGTTACTACTACTCTTATCAGTGCGTCGTTGCTTACTTTTTCTCGCCAATACACACACAATGCTCATAAATGCACGTCCAATTTATTATTTACATGTTTGAAATTACGCTAAAATTAATTAAAATATATCGTATGAATAAAAGATTTTTTGATTTTTTCCTCGATTCGATACATTTTTTTTTCTTGTATAATTCTTTTACGCTTACAAATCAATACTTTGTAAAAGATATGATTCATTTGAACTCATTTTAGTATCCAGACTCAACCTCAATTCAATTATGGACATGCATTTATAAATTATTTACTCTACATTTTTGTATCTTTTGCTTCCTAACTTTGCGCATATATATATATATATACATATATTACAGCTAACAGATATCATAATACGTGTATGAATACAGTAGAATTAGCGTAGAATTATATACGTTACAGGCGAACGCGCGATCACACGGATAATTGGTAAAAAAAAAAAAAAAAAAAAAAAAAGAAAGAAAGAAAGAAAGAAAAGTGTAAGCGAGTTGACTTGCATCTTCCATAAGTTTCACATGCAGAGTCTGTTTATACCGTGTCCATCTTGAAACTTGCTACTACATTATTTGGGATATTCGTTTCTCGATTCGTTTTCGTTCGTTGCACGAAAATCTAATCTACGCGGATGGAAACAGGGAAAAAAAGAAACACGATAAAAAAAAGAGAGAAAGAAAGAAACAAAGAAAGAAAGAAAGAAAGAAAGAAAGAAAAGAAATATTTAATACTTCTTAAGGAACTGATTCGATTTCCTACGTAGAAGCAGAAGATGTAGCCGCGGCCGTGACGATACCTACGGTAGATATTGTCAACCATCGTCTCGAAGTCCTTACGGGACCCATCAGCACACTCAACACTCCCATCAAATGTACAAGGAGGAGGGTATCTATGCAACTGCCGACCCTGACAGAGGCTCAAATACTAGGGGTGAAACGCCCGATAGTGAAAGGTATCGCAGATTCTTTCAATACGAAACGACGGGCTTGGTAGATTGACGTTCGGTACGAAGACTACTGTGCAAATATCCCTCGCAATCCTACGAGAAAGTTCCTCTACGCCAGTGGTTCCCAACCCGTATGGGTCGCGATCCCCTTCAGTCAATTGTTTTCCAAGCACCGCTATAACGTCATTACGTATTTAATTTATTTAATTTTTATCGATATTTCATATTATTTAAGAATAAGTACCACTCGATCGTTCAAAATTTTTTTTATTCTTAATTAAAGGGAGGGTTATTTGTACATCATAAAAGGGGATCGTAACTCGGAAAAGGTTGAAAAACACTGCAATATCGCGTTCCGCGATTAGTGTTGGGAATCGAAATTTCCAAGAATCTTCCGAGTATAATACATATTTATTATATATATAATAATAATTATAAATTATATATATAATATATATAATTTATTATATATATTATATATATAAATAGAGCATATTCCCGTATATATGTAATATAGATATAGTGATCGTATAATTCCCATCACTATAATGAACGCACATTCAGATAAGGATTGGTGCATGCCCAAGCGATAGTACGCTTTAGGAGCAAATTACTCGATGGGTATACTCGATGGGTTTATTTAATCGACTGAAATCGTTTCAAAACATCCATCCATCCATGTTATCCCAAATGTCGAAATATATTTCTGAAAGTCGAAACGGAATATAAATAGACTCGGCATAATCGGTCTTTCACATCTAACAAGATTTTGCAAGTCCGTTTTTAACCGAATCTTCGAATAACACGATCGTAAACATCAATTTTGACTATTTGTCTGTGATTTGAAACAAATTTTTATTTTATTATTTAAAAAAGATTATTATAATTGGTGAATTAAAATAGAAACTTATGAAAAATAAATCTTTCGATGTATTTTCTTCTGGATTAGTACGAGATTATTTTTTTTAATCAAACCATTTTTTAAACTATTTATCAAAAACAATGGAAGAAATTATTTTAAGGATTAAACTTCTTTGAAAACGAATAAAACATAATTAATTTGCGCTAGAAATTTGTAAATTTATTTTATATTGAATACTTTTTCAAAAAATACTTTTTCTTCCAAATTTTTTTTCCCAGTGATAAAATAGAGTTTCAAAAAATCAAATTGTCAAACAGTCAAAATTGAAAAAATTCGCTAAATTGCAGAATTACGAATCGATATTATAATTCTATCGATTTTGTCAATTTTATAAAAATCGTACAACGTCATTGCTTCGAGTTTCCACAGAAGACAGAAGAAAAGAGGAAACGTTCTGACAAAATTCTACACACCAACTTTCGCATGCTAATTTTATTGTTTTAGTTGCTTGTGCAATGCGCTATGAATGTGCTGCCATCTACAAGACGCGATGTTACTTCTCTTTCTAAGCTCAGAATGGCCAGAAACTTTGTAAGCATTTATAGCATATATCCATGGCAAAAGCGATAGTGGAAACTTGCGAGTTACGCGATGTCTGAAACTTCTCGATTTCAAATGCAAACAAACAATTCTTTTCTTTTTTCGGTATGAATTTTTAAGCAAAATAAATATATATATATTATACTTGAAACATAATTTAAAAAGTGCTAGAATTCCGCACTTATCCTTATCTGAATTCTTTTTTTATTAATCATCGCTTTAATCGTACGATAAAAGAACAAAATTGTAATATACATATGTTGTACTTTCAATATCGTTCGTAGGCCGCAATTGCAAGGCTTCGCACGTGCGCAATGGTTAAAAAGCTTTCTATATACGTAACACATGGGTGCTTATATGCACGCCTTATTCTTTCTCAAAAATAATATGTATTTGATGGTTAAATTGATAAAAACGTGTGCATAGATTGCTCGGTATATATAGGGTTGGTTACCTGGACATAATCTATATTATTTTCGTTATTATTTAAAACTTTCTTTTGTCATAAAGAATACGATTTTCAAAAGATCTCAAAATAGTTTTTTTTGAATTTTTTTTTTCTATATATTTATGATTTTCTCTTCTTAAAGTTTTTTATTTGTTTTTTGAAAAAAATATTTATCAAGACAAATTCTGATACAAATAAATTAAAAATAATTTTAATAATTTAAAAAAAAAACAGAAAAATTATAAAATTCGAATAGAAATAATATTGAAAATAATCTTAACAATTTAAAAAAAAAAAAACAAAGAAAAAATAGAATTATAAATATATTGGATTACACACTTTTTAAAATTGTAAATATTATCTGTAATAAAAAAAAGTTTTCGATTTTATTAATATCGAAAATAACTGAAATAGACATGTCACATGGTCCACCCTATAGATTCATGTAAAAAAGCGTGTATAAAGAACAAAAAAAAATCGAAAGGTAAGTGTAAGGATGGGGAAGGAGAATTGACGATTAGGAGCTTATCGAAAGGTGTAACCAGCGCGTACCGCGGCGTGTGTTTGCAGCATTAGTGGTCGTGGAATAGATCCAATGGGCTCGTGTAATCTTGTTATTTTCTAGTGATGCATTTATTCAAGCTCAACAACTAGCCCGACGGACTAGTGAGGACGGAGTGCAACACCGGCCACCACAGCAGCCGCCGCCGCCGCCGCCACCGCCGCCACCTGCAATGACTGGTAGCACGGTGCAGTTGCTGCAACTGCATCATTCTCGAGAACATCGTCAACAACCGCAGCAACAGCATCATTGCCACCATCACGCGCAGCAGTCGCAGCCTCAGCAGCAGCAGCAGCCGCAGCCGTCGTCACAACAGCAACATCAACGTCAACAACAACAACAACAACAGCAGCAGCAGCAGCAGCAACAACAGCAACAACAACAACAACAACAACAACAACAACAACAACACCAACTGCCGGTGGAACAACTGCCAATACAGCAGCGCGGCTATTATCCATCCCCACCCTATACTGATAACGGTCTCGAAAACGACGAGACTGAAAATGCTCAATCCCACCAACAAAAGCTCCCCGACGTTCGTGGAATCGATGTTAATCACTTGCCTAATATTAACAAATGCCCACTAGACGATAATTTTAGTCTAGATTGTAACATAAATAATGGTTCCCCTAAAGAATTAAATACCAACAACACTAGTGATAACGAAAATACTGCCCTACTGCCCCCTTCGCATTTTCCTGAGTACAAGCATTGATAATTATTAATCGATGACAGATAGTGTCCATAAAACATAGTGGTGTGATTTAATCTTGAACTCGCATTTTATACTGAATAGTGTAAATAACGATAAACTATTGATCGCAACATCAACAACAACAAAAACAACGTCAAACAGGTATTAAATTATATGAATTAAAATAATCTATATGAAATGTTTATTAATAAACATTAGTAAAGCGATTTACTCGAAGAAACATGTTGCTATTATTCAATATATCCTCTTCCTAAAATTTTGAACAATTTTTATTTCAATTATTTGAAATGTTGGTTTTTTATTTGTGCATTATCTGAAAAAATATGAAAATTATTTAAAAAGAATACATACTATATTCAGAATTTAATATATCTAATATCAAATATATATATATAAAATATATTTATATCTAATATCTATTCTAAATTGAATTTTATTTTTTTTATAAATTGACAATCTTTCTTGTATCTCAATCTTTTTTGTATCTCAAATTTTATTATTTTATTTAGTAAAAATATTTATATATATAAAAAAGTATAAGATGTATAAAACAATATATATCTTCATTCCTATTTTCTTTCTTTTAGAATTAAAAAATCCAAATTCCTTCAAAAATATATAATTTATATAAAAAGTAAAAAATAAATAGATACTCATGGATTATTGTTCCATTATTCTTATTTACAATTTTCTTACAAACTATGAAACTGCAGATTTTTACAATCAAAATTTTAATTCAAAAAAAATTTTCCAGAAATTTCACTTTTATTAAGCATCATTCGCGAACATGCTGACTCCATATATAAAACTTTCAAATTTTCGAGATCCATTCGAGAATCGCAGATTATGTTCTTCGATTTATATAACCAACTTCAAGGTCTTTTCTATAATTCGATTTTTCTATATATCGATTATGATATAAGTTTTAAATTTTATATTAATTTATGTAATGTTAACAAGATTATTTTCATTAATAAAAATAATAATAATAATATATTTTTAATTCAATCCTTAAACATGATACCAACAGAATAGAAATGAAAATTATATTCTTATCTTATTTATAAATATATTATTTATTAGAGCTTTATTATTTTATATGAAATTTTTAAAAATTATTGATAGTCTTTATTATACTTTTATTCATTAACAATCTTTAATGACAAAAATAAATTCTTTAATTATGAAAATCCTCTCCACCAATAAATCTGAAGTCAGTCAGATGCAAGATATGTATATAGTTATGTAGGTGCAATATTAACGGTGTTCAACTTGATTAGTTAGTAGCACTAGTAGATACTTTCTCGGATTACATGGTAGCAGAGGATAGTTTCAGTTGGAATCGTGGTTACCGATCTTTGTTTCTTTAAGCATAGATTGGAATTCGAGAACAGTGTGGTCGATACTCAGTGCAATAAAGAGAATAGTTGATAAATTTGATCGATGTTATATGCACTTCCAACGAAAACAACAAAACATGCCACCGATACGCTTGTGAATTGACTGCACGATTCATGCAGATTCGTCGTTTAGTTATTAAAGATGTGCGTCACAAAAGTTTGAGCCTCATCGTACGATGCAGTCCATTTATTGGACCGGGAGATTGCTGTCTCGGGCGATATGGAATGGCATATCAAATTATACAGCTTGCGCCGATCCCAATGTGAATAAACGTCGCGAAGCATCTTTCATTTCAGCTGTGTGTGGTTTTCCAAAAGATTTTGCACGAGGACGTATACGTAAGGGACAGTTCGGTGATGATGCATGGTTTAGTGCCAAATTCAAAACTGTTGAAGTAATAGGTAATATTAATTTGTTGAAACTATCAAGAAATAATCAAGTTCATTATCTTATATTTACATATAACTGATTTTATGAGATTCGTATAAATTTTGTATTATACATTTTTATTTCACTTATCAATGATAATTTTCTATTAGAAATCTTTTTATATTATTGATTAATAATAATATATATAAATATATTCAAATAAGTCTAATGTTTGATAATTCTAAGAATTTGACAATTCTTTGGATCTTTTAGGTGTAGCAGATGGTGTAGGTGGATGGAGGCATTATGGAATCGATCCAGGAGAATTTTCTAGTTTCTTAATGAGAACTTGTGAAAGACTGGTCTCTATGGGCAGGTTCACACCTTCTGAACCAGCTGGTTTATTAGCACGTAGTTACTATGAATTATTAGAAAATAAACAACCCATATTAGGTATTAATATAACTTATGTTTTATAATCTTTTCTAACATTTTAGATTAAACTTTATACTTAAAAAAAAAAGTAAAATAAAAATTCATTAATGCAGTTATATGATAATATTCCAGGTAGCAGTACTGCATGTGTCATAGTTCTCAATAAAGAGACAAGTAGCATTTATGCAGCTAATATAGGTGATAGTGGTTTTGTAGTTGTAAGAAAAGGAGAAGTAGTTCATCGTTCTTCCGAACAACAACACTACTTTAATACTCCATTTCAATTGTCTCTTCCACCTCCAGGACATTCTGGTCTGGTGCTTAGTGACAGGTATTAGACTATATAAAAATATATTGCAAATTTATATTTAATACAGCATTTTCTTAATGTACCTTTATATTTGTGTTTTATATCTAGTCCAGAATCTGCAGATACTTCAAGTTTTGGAGTTGAAGATGGTGATGTAATTCTTTTAGCAACAGATGGGGTATTTGATAATGTGCCTGATCAATTACTTATCACTGAAATGCGTAAAGTTCAAGGAGAAAGAGATCCTACTAAGATACAAGGAGTTGCCAATTCGATAGCTTGGATGGCTCGTAGTTTAGCTTTTGATGGCGCATTTATGTCTCCATTTGCCCAAAGTGCTAGAGAGAATGGAATTGATACTATAGGTATGTAATTATATTATTCTTTAACTATTATATAGAATTATTTCAGAATTAATATCAAGTACATATTTATAGTGTACATAAATTTTAATAAAAAATATAATCAATTTATTCATATGATACATTTCACAATTTTTTATAGCTTATGTATGTATGTATCTCTTTTACTTTGGTAATAATTTTATAGTAAATTAATTTTTGTTCTATATTTTTTTTTTTAATTAATTTCTAATTCTTATATCTAGAATAAAAAATTTGTACAAATATGTTGTTTTTCCTTTCCCTTTTTTTTTCTTCCTAATTTTTCTAAACAAACAAGTAACTATCTCTTAATTGAAACAAATCTTATTTAATCTTATTTTAGTAATTTTTTAAACAAAGATACTTCTGTTATTTATTTTAGAATAATCGAGACTAATTCAAAGATTAGTATCTATATATACAATGTCTCTTATATTTTTTAGGTGGTAAACCAGATGACATTACAGTGCTTTTAGCAACGGTGGCAATATAATAAAGTATGTACAATAGAGTCTTGATCATTGTATTATAGTCCATGTCATTGCGTATATGTAACTAGTTATACATCATTATATCCCGTTATGATAATCATTTATTATTTAAATCTAAATAAATGGTTTTGTAAATCATCTTCCATTTCAGTTAGTCTTTTCTATATCCACCATAAAAGAAAGTTGCTTTAAAAAAGAATATTAATAATTAAATTCTTTTTGACTAGCAAAAATTTGTATATAAACATATAGATTTGTTTAAATATATATAAACAAATAATTACAAAAATTTTGTAATTTTTTACTGATAATAATAATACATATGGCACATAATAATGAAACGCTGTAATGTATCATAAATAAAAACTAATTATTATTTTGTAGGATTAAAAATATTCAAAAAATTATAGTAAATTTCAAATGAATCATGTAAAAATAAATGTATTCAAAGTTTAATTAAAATTAAATGCATTCAACCATTTGTAAACCACTATATATAGACTAATTTATATAATAATAATTTCAAACTAAATTGAACCATTTTATTTAATCGTAATGGTCATATAAATAACATTTTTACCTAATATTTACAAAAGAGCTATTATCTAGTTAAATTTCCAAGGCTTTCATTGCCTGAATTCTTGCAGTTAAAATTGTTAGTCTTTAGTATATTAACTGCGTTTTTTTTGGAATATATGAAAACTATTACCAAAAACTTATATAAGTTATATTTTACAAATAATGACATCAATTTTATCAATATATATCGTGCCGATTTTCCAAAAAGATGCAAATTACACTCAAAAATCTCTCACAGTTTTAACTATTATCTAGTAAGTCATACATAATCGTTCAAGTGAAAATTCTTTATAACACTTTGGCTTTTTGCCGACATACAATTTGTCACAATAAATTTGACAAATTTATTTTATATTAGAATGCAATCATTTGATAGATAATATGAATACATCACAGTGTAACATGTAACATGACATATCAAACTAAGCAATTAATAATAATAATTATTTTACTATAAAAAAAAAAGAAAAAAAATACATTCATCTACAAACTATGTAGTCTAATATTTTATAATTTATTAATATCTTTTTCATTCATATTCATAAAGAAAAAAAATATCATTTCATGCTTAAATCTTCTCTGATTATGAAATTATATAATAACACTGTATATCTTGTAACATTATTTTTAAAATGCCCTTAAAAAAAACTGTGATGTATCCTATTATTTACAATATTATATATTCTTTAATAGAAATGGTATAAAATGTATTATTATATAATTAAAAAACATCAGGGATTATTTATAATAGGAGAATAAATAAAAGTATTTACATCATACGATTATGTAGGATTTTTACAATAGAATCTTTTAGAATCAGGGGTTTCAATTTTTATGCTTCTGCAAACAGTAAAAATAGTATTATATATTTTATTATACAAGTTTTTTTTTTTTTTTTTTGTTTAACCAAATGTTACGCAGCAAGAATGTAGAAATTGTAATTTTCTATGTTTAGTTAAAATTTTACATTGTATCAGGCACAAGATTGTAGTAAAAATTTATATTGTGTACAATATAATTGCGAAAACAGTATTTGAACAAATCTCATGACAAATAAAATATTTAGAATGAATTGTAAAAGAAAACATAGATTAAGACTTATAAATAAGAAATATAATTTTATTTTAAAGGTATTTTTAATTTTGTACTATATAGTTATTTTGAAAATTATAATATATTTGTTACAATCTATTTTAATAAATAGAAGAATATATTTTAAAATATTTCATTTTTAATAAATGTGTTATGAATATGAAACTCTTTCGTATTCTCGGAAAATCGTGAGCATTATAAATGTATCACAATAGTCGATTATCTGAGAAATACTGTTTTCATTAATATATATTACTTGCATAATATATTTTGAAATAGATATAACTATTACATTTAATACAGAAATTTTTCTCTGAAAAATTGTAACCCCTGTAAAAAATTAGAAGTCTTATCTTTGTTATAAGTTTCTCATTACATTTTACATAATATCAAGGCTGCAAATATTTAGTTTTTTTTGTTAGTAATTTGAAAAATCAAGGAACAATGTTGCATATATAGCAATATAAAAGTTTACTTGATATGCCAATTGGTAAGAGATGATTTGGAAGCAGAACCTTGACTTTAGAATCATTGCATATTGGCTTCTTGACCCCAATTAAATCCACCAGGACGATCTTCAGGAGGTGGAGTATAATCTGGATCTTCTGGATGTGCGTCAAATAAAGTTTTTCTGTAAACAAATAATAAATCATAATTGTTGCATATATAATTATTGCAACATAATATATATTATAAATTTAAAATTATTTTGTTCTATTAACTTACAATATTTGTGGAGTTTTAAGAACACGAAAACCTCCTCGTAAACGTGGAAATACATCTTCTGCAAAATAATACATGTGTCCCACAGCCATACCAACTAAATCTACCCAAATTGTATTACCAAGAAGTACAGAGAACCCAAGAAGCACCCATGGTAAATATGGTGCCTATTAATAAAATATATTTAAAAATAATTTATTTTTTCCAAGACAGTTTAAAGAAAAAAAGTTGGAAACTTACTTGAAAATTTAAAAGTCCAAAAAAGTTTAATCTAACAAATGGATTTCTTCGGGACCAAACATAAACCAACATAATTGTAAGTGCATGGCCCAGAAATAACAAATTAACAAAAAATGCAAATGTCTATAATATGCTTAGGAAAATTATATATATATTACATTTATTTTATATTTATTTGGAGAAAAAAATTTATTTTAAAAAAATTAATATGATTAAAAGGATACAATCATACATATACCTCCAAAAATGAACATCATTACAAAATCAGCTGTTCTTCTACGAAATGATCCTTCTTCTAACATTCGACAATATCGATAAGTAAAGATCATATTGAAAAGAAAATTGAAACCCATATTTCCAAGAAATAAAAATGTAGTGATTAATCTCCATAACTGAAAAAATATTTACATTATTATTATAAATAATCTAAAATGATAAAACTAAACGTCTAAATGTCTAAAGACTAACAATTGAAATTGATTTTTGTTTACCTGATACTGTTCAATGATTAATGTGGGATTAAAATACAACCGAAATGGAGATACCAAATCTAGTTGCTAAAATAGAAAAATAAAATTTAATATTTAAATTTTCAAAATCCTACATATATAAATAAAAAATTATAAGAGAAATATTTTACAAACCACAGCAAGAGTTGTGATGACACAAGCTGTTGTATAAGCTCGTGTCACCACAGGTATTTGCATGTACTCTTGCCGGAAAGTTTGATAGGCCATTGGTGTATTATTATGATCTTCTGTACACCTAAGGACCAATTTTTTTTCTAGACTCTCCACCTCTATAATCTATCATCACATGTTGTTCATTACTATGCGTTATCTAAATTTAATGATTACCCACATCACGACAAATTTGTTATGTTCAGTTTCGTACACGTAATACGTGAAATTAGTTATAATCGAATAACATGAATCTCGATTTTATATACTTATCGATAGTGATTTCGTGGCCTTTTCGCATTCGCGAAAATGTAACAATTATATTATATTTAATTTCAAATATAAAAATTAATTATTAAATTTCAAAAAAATTGAAAAAATAGATATTTATATTTATTATATATTTTTATTATTAATAGTAAAAAAGTTTTATAAATATAAGATTTTACATTGTTAATTTATACAATTTAATTATACAATTTTTTAATCACGTGACACTTTCTAGAAACAGTTTATTCGTAAATGTAACTTTAATATTTATTACATTATAATTTTTTATTATTTAATGTTATAATGTTTTTTATTATTTAATGAAATAAAATATATATTTAAACAAAACACTGCCCTCTATAAATCTTTAAAGTAAATAAAAAAAAAAATTTCTAAAATTATACATTTTAAGAATATCGAAGCACTATCTAGAGTTGAACTTGAACAAGTAAAACCAATTACCAAATTATAATATTAAAAAATCTAAATTCTTAATTTCTAAGCTGATTTTTAATTTTTTTAGAATTAAAGATTTAAAAAAATAAAGAAAACCAAATTTTTGAAATATTTCTATCTTTTACTTTTAGCAGCACAGGTGCACGCTGAAATATTTAATTTTATTGAATATTTTTTTTTTCTATTCTTTATATTTTTGTATATTTAAAGGTTATAATTTAACTCAATTGCATAAAACTATAATTATATGTCAATTTTATTATGATTTATATTATATTATATTTATATTATTATAAATTTTATATATAATTATTATAATTAAATATATATATATTTTATACATGAAAATATTTTATATTTCTATATTTCTAAATATTATATTTTTTTCTATAAATTTATGAAAAAGTTTTATATCTTTATCATATGAATATTCAATCATTATTTTATGATATTTAAATATTTATTTTTTTAATGAATGTATAAACATATGTATAACAATATATAAACAATATGATCTAAGAGATAATTTAAAAGTAATTTATATATAAATTTTAATGTAAAATACATCGACTTTATATATAAATTATATATTTTCAATATATTATATTGTTTAAATAAACATTCTTTTATTACTATTATAAAAATAATTATTTGTATAATAATAATCTATTATTATTAATCAAATTCATCTTCTTTATTTTTATTTTTGTGAACAATATTGGAGAATTTTTTTAATTTTGCTACAAAAAATCCATCCATATTATGTATATGAGGATAAAATCGTTTAGTTAATTTTAATGAAGGATGAAATCTAAACTGTCTATAACTTGTAAAGCCTTCAGCACCAAATTCTAATCCAGTTGATATTAATTTAACATCACGTTTTTTAAGTGCATAATCGATAACCCATTCGTTTTCTTCTGGAAGAATTGAACATGTTGAATAAACAATAATTCCACCAGATTCTGAACGTGCATTAGCACAATCTATAGCTGCTAAAAGTAATTCCCTTTGTAATGTACAACAACGTTGTATATCTATTTCATCTTTATTTGTTTTAACACTTGGATCTTTTGAAACAACACCAGTACCAGTACAAGGTGCATCCAATAATACTCTATCAAAATTTTTAATTACCTGAAAATTATATATTTTCAATATATAACAGTCAACATGCTATCATATTTCTAATATGAGTTATTAATAGTTTATATATAATTAATGCTTACTGATGGTAACTTTCGTCCATCGTAAGTGCAAACTACAGAATTTGTAATACCAAGTCTGTGAAAATTGCCAACAACTGCCTTTATTCTTTCTTCGTTTACATCATTTGAAAAAAGTACACCTGTATTCTTCATAAGTGCTGCTATGTGTGATGATTTTCCTCCTGGTGCAGCACACATATCAAGAATCTTTTCATTTTCTTTAGGATCTAAAGCCATAACAGGTAAAAAACTAGATGCACCTTGAAGAATATAATGTCCTGCTAGGTATTCTGGTGTCGCACCCATGGGAACTTGCGACGAATAAACTACTAATCCAACTTTTGTCCATTTACCAATGGGATCTAAATTGACTCCTCTATTGATTAAAGCCTGAAATTTTAATATTGTAATAAATTAAACGATACTTAAAATACTTATTATATATTTTATTAAATATGTAATATTAAATAAATACCTCGGCTAAATCACGACGACGCGTTTTCAATATATTTGTTCGTATTGTCATAGGTCTTTGAACTTCACTTGCTTCCAAAAATTCTAATAATTCATCCAATGAAAATATTTGCATCAATTTTTCCATTAAGAAATTATTATAACTATAGTATGTACATAAATCTCGTCTAAGAAGATTCATATATTCAGAACGTGATCTTAAAAAGAAAAATGAAATATATTTAAAATTTCTTAAAATTTTTTTACAAAACAAGATTTTCATAAAATTTTTCAATTCTATTATAGATATACCTGTTTATATCACGTAATCTTTTAAAATCAGATAATATCATAACAATATCTTTTATACGTTGTTGCACATCTTTTAGATTAGTTATATCTGCAAGTTCTTCTTCAGAAGGAAAAGTAAAGACACATTGTTGTAAGGTCATATCATACATCTCTTGTTCTGCTAATTTTCTATTAAAAAGAAAATAAATTAAATTTTAAATATTATATTTAAAAAAATTTAAATACTCACTGTTCTTTTTCTTGCTTCTTTTTTAATTTTTTATTTGCCTTTTCAATAGGAAGTAAATCATCATCATCATCATCATCATCATCATAATTATCAGTATCCTCTTCTTCATTTTCATCACTATCATCATCTTCTTTATAATTTTCAATTTCAACATCATATTCATCTTCTATATCACTATCAAGTAATTTTTTTTTTGTAGATTTATGTTTATCTTTCAATATTTCTTCATTATTAGATACACTATCAATATCAAATTGTATTTGATCATCTTCATTATTTGAATTACCATTTGTAAGCATTTCTTTTTTAAAAGATTTTTTTTTATTTATTTTCTTTAATTGTTTTATGTTATCACGGTCAAACTGCATTTGATCATCTTCATTTAAATTGTCATTTGTAAGTAGTTTTTTCTTAAGAGATTTCTTTTTCTTTATTTTGCTTAATTGTTTTATGTTATCATCGTCAAATTGCATTTGATTATCTTCTTTATTTGAATTACCATTTATAAGTAACTCTTTTTTAAGAGATTTCTTTTTTTTTATTTCTAATTGCTTTATGTTTTCATTATTAAATTGCATTTGATCATTTTTATCATTTGAATTGCTATTTGTAAGCAGCTTATCTTTAAAAGATTTCTTTTTTATTTTTATTAATTGTTGTGTGCTATTTTTTATATTCTAATAAAAAAATATAATAAAAAGATATATAGTAATTTTAATAATATTATATAAATATATATTGCATAAAATGCTTAAATATTAAAAAGAAAAAAAACTTACATTTTCATCAATAATGTTTTTTAGTTTCTCATTTTTTTTTTTTTGTAATTCCTTTAATTTTTCTTTTATATTTTGTTTCTTTAATAATCTTTTTCTTGCACGTTGCTTTTGTCTATGACTTAATTTCTTTTCTTCTTTCACTAAAGATAATAATTATATAATATATTTTCTTTTTTTTTTTTTTTTGTTTTTAGATAGAATAATAAATGCATTTGTAATTGACTAGTACATATTGATAAATTTATAATTTTCCATACCTAATATTCCTTTTGGAAATGTTGGATCTCCTTGTTTTTTTGCTTTTCTTCCATGACCACTTGAAACATTTGTTTCATCAAATTTTGCTTTTCGTCCCATTTTAATATATTTTGTACAATAATTGTTAATAAAAGAAGTTAATGTTATTAAGCTAAGAATTAATATTATTAAGCTAAATATAAAATTTATATTATAAAATAAATATAAATCATTAATTTTTACATTTTTTGATATAACATTATTACATTTAAATAAAAAAAATTGTAATTACAAATTAAAAAATGCTCAAATTGTTTCAAAATGAACACGTGAGTTCATAACCTAACTTTTTTATTTATTATCCAAATTTATTATCCAAATGTTACCAACTAATTTAAATATAGCCAACTTGAAAAATTGTAAGGCACTCAAATATTAAATTAAAAAATAACAAGTATTGTATAATTGTAAAATTATAAAATTAAAATATTATTTTTAAATTATTATAAATAATATATTTTATTTAAATTAAAAATATATTTCATTTAATTAATTCCAAAAATCAATAAATATCAATTATTGAATATATGGAAGCAATATTGATTTATTGAATAAAATAACTATATGTTTGAGAAAAATTTTTATTATATTAAATGTTCCTATATTTCTGAGAAAATATTCAAAAATATTTCACGTGTTTTATGAAAGATGTTTGATTTATTATAAAAATATTTAGAAAAATATATATTGTGAAATAAAATGGGAATTACAAAACAAGAAGTACATCGACCTGGTGCATTTAAACAAATTAACAAAGCACACAAAACTGGTAGACATCGTAGTAAAGGTTCAATTAGTAGTGAGGTTAAAGGTAAAAATCTTTATAATATATCTAATTTATCTATCTATAAATATTGTAATATCTATATTTTTTAATTTATTATATTTATGATAGGAAAAATTGGAGTAAAAATTTTATCAAAACATGTTACTAAAAATCTTGGAAAAGATGCTCGAAGACATCAATCTTCACAAATTAGAAAAAAAAAGAGAGAAGAAGTATTGCAACAAAAAAGGAATTTAAGTGGATTACATACTGCACCTATTCTTGTATGTATTATTCCATTACAAGAAGATTTAAATATTGATAATATATTATCAATAATAACAAAAGCAGATGAGTCTGCAAATGTAACTAATAGTCCATGTGGAACAATACATTTAAGGTATAATACTATATTATTATTATATAATAAAAATATAAATGATATTGATATATTAATATACTAATAAATTATTAATTGAAATTAATCTTTTACAACAGTATACCTAGGTTTAAACAACGTTTTTCTTTTGTTGTTCCACCTATTGGTAATTTATTTGCTACATTAGATATAGCAAAAATATCTACAACTGTTCTTTTTGTTGCATCTGTTATAAATCAGTGTGACAATAATCCTAGAATTGAAGTTCTTGATAATTGGGGAAAAAAAATTATTATGGCTTGTATTGCTCAAGGTTTAAGTACTTCTGTAATAGCACTTACAAATATTGAAAATCTTCATATAAAGGTATTATATTCTTATCATTTATTTTTATATTTTTAACAAATATATCATTTATTTCATAAATTTTATTATAGAAACGTCAAGATTTTAAAAATCATGTACAATTTGAAATTTCTAAATGGCTTCCAGAAGAAAAAGTTTTTCAATTAGATACGCCTACTGATGCTTTTAATGTTTTACGACGTATTGGTACTCAAAAACAAAGAACTATATCTTATCGAAATAAAAGAGCATATTTATTAGCAGAAGAAATAAAATTTAAATGTAATGAAGTAAGTATTTTATATAATTTATTTATTTATATTGCATTATTATATATATTCAGATTCATGTTTAAATTTGATTTTAATTTAGGATTCTACAGAGCTTGGAACTCTTATGATCTCAGGATATCTTAGAAATGTACCATTATCAGTTAATAGTTTAATACATATTCCAGAATTTGGAGATTTTCAAATGTCTCAGATAGATGCTTCTGAAGATCCATATCCAATGGAAAAAAAATTAAGAAAACATTCTAATGCAATGGATGATGAACCATCATCTACTCGATTTCTTGAATATGCAGATCCAAAGAAACAAGTATAAATCAAAATGAAAATATAATTCTTCAATATCAATTGTTAAATGTTCACTTTTTTAGGAATCTCTCGAATCTGAAAATATACCTGATCCTATGGATGCTGAGCAAACTTGGCCAACAGAAGAGGAATTAGCTCAAGCTAAAGCTAATCAAAAAAGAAAAATTTTAAAAAAAGTTCCAAAAGGAACTTCTGAATATCAGGCAGCTTGGATTCCTGATGAAGATGGAGGTATTTAAAATTTTATGTATACATTTTTAAAAATAAAAAATTTCATTGCATAGTATATAATTTTCTATAAAATTATAATTTTATAGAAGAATTGAGCGAATACTCAACTGATGAATCAGAAGATAAAATGTCTATTGATGAAGCAAAATCTCAAAATAGTGAAGTTGAAGCAGAAGAAGATGAAGAAGAATTTGAAACTATTACCATATCTGAAGTACCTGATGAACGATATGATCAGAATATTGACATGACAGAAGAAAAAGAAACAATGGAAAAATTGAAACGTACATTTAACAAAAATATATATTATATATATATATATTTTATATATATATATATATTAAACAATTATTTAAAAAATTTTATTTATTAATATCGATTAATTATTTATATTACATTTCGTTTCATTTTCAGATGCAAAATTAGATGCACAATTTCCTGATGAAGTAGATACACCTCAAGATATATTAGCAAAAGAAAGATTTCAGAAATATCGTGGACTTGAATCATTTAGAACAAGTCCGTGGGATCCGAAAGAAAATCTTCCTGCTGATTATGCTAGAATATTTCAATTCAAAAATTTTGATCGAACTCGAAAACGTATATATAAAGAATCTCAAGAAATAGAGGGTGCAATGGTAAATTTATGATAATTTTAATTAATTAAGAATTAATTATTCTATTAACATTAAATCATATAAACATATTTTCCTCTAGCCTGGTTGGTATATCACAATTCACGTTAAAAATGTAAGACAAGATCTTTTCATCGCTTTTTGCGCTTTAGAAAATCATCCATTAATTGTATTTAATTTATTACCAAATGAGCATAAAATGTCTGTATTAAATGTAATATTGAAACATACCAATACTAGTCCACAACCAATAAAATCTAAAGAAAAATTAATATTTCAATGTGGATTTAGAAGATTTACTGCTTCTCCAATATTTAGTCAACATACTAATGGAAACAAACATAAAGTATGTATTGTATAAAATATATTTTTAAAATATTTTATTAGCAAATATAAATAAAAATTTTTTTTTAGTATGAGCGATATTTTCGACCAGAAAGTACTGTTGTGGCAAGTATGTATGCTCCAATCACATTTCCACCATGTCCAGTTTTATGTTATATTCAAAAATTGAATAAATCATTGGTGAGAATAAAAATTATAGATAGATTGATATTGTATTATAAATTATTTTTATTTTTATATTATAAAAACACGATATTTTTATAGGAATTAATTGCAACTGGAAATGTATTATCTGCAAATCCAGATAGAATAGTAATAAAACGAGTAGTTCTTAGTGGTCATCCGTATAAGGTACATAAACGATCAGCAGTTATAAGATTCATGTTTTTTCACCGAGAAGATATAAATTGGTTTAAACCAATTGAATTACGAACAAAATATGGTCGTAGAGGACATATAAAAGAACCATTAGGTAAGTAATTTTTAATCATTTCTTAATTCATTTAAATTAATTCATTTAAAACCATAAAAAATTTTAAATAAAATAAAAAAAATAAAATAATTTATTATTTTTATCTTTAGGTACTCATGGTCATATGAAATGTGTATTTAATGGTCAACTAAAATCTCAAGACACAATTTTAATGAATTTATATAAAAGAGTATTTCCAAAATGGACATATGAACCTTTATTAGTAACACAATTACAACATCAGAATAAAAATATGAATGTAGAATAAAATCTACTAGTGGAAGTATTAAAATGTACATATATACATTAAATAAAATTTATATATATATCTACGAATTTTAAAAAATATATTTTATTAAAATTATACACACGTTTTCTTTTAATATTATAAATAAATTTTAATTTCAATTATTTGCAGAAGTATGCTTTTGATTTATTGTAAAGTACATGTAATGTATTTGATTTTTTTAATTAACTTCATGCATATATATATGTATATCTTATATAATTTAAAAATAATTTAAAAATTAATATTATGTAAACTATGAAATTTAATTAAATGACAATAGTAATATTTAATATTAGTATTAAAATATAATTATAAAGAATTAAATTAAAGAATAAGAATTTAAGAATTTTAACTTTAGGTTTTAATTATATAGAAAAAATAAAAAATCAGTAATTAATTTAATTGTATTACAAATTTTTATTATTTTGCTCAGTTTCATGCAGTAAATTATAATTATTTTACTATATTTTAACTGAGTATCATAATAAAATATTTATTACAAAAAATATATACAAGCAAATATTTTATAAAATCGCGGGAGACTACAATAAGGTATAACTAGTAACTTCTAGTAATTTAATTGCTTATATCAAAATGAGAATTCGGATATTGTTATCCATTGGATTTTACTATCATCTCGATTTGCATTTAAAGTAGGTTGTGCAATAGCATAACGAAATAATTCGTTTAAAGAAATGGATTTGGACACTGCTTATATTGGTAATTAGTATAAATTTATATCAATCAAGATGTTGATAGGCAAATATAAATGTTTAATATTCAAAAAAATGAACCTAAATTTTCTTGTTGAAATAAATGTCTATTTAATACAGAACCTTTAATTGATGATTGGCTAGAGGGACTTAAATTATACGTTAAACAGCAAGAAAATCTTATTAAAGCTAAAGACGAATTTTACATGCCATTTATAGGTAATTGTTATATTCAAAACTGTATCTCTTTGCTGATATTAAGTTTTTATTTACAACTTTGTTTCTTAATATGTTTCTCAAGAAACACACATATACATATACATCATGAAAAAATTCTATTTATTAAATATTAATTTTAGCTATTCCACTTCCAATTGTTAAAGCAATATTTAAAATAACAGAACATCTTGATTTGGGACCAAATACTAAATATATTACCATTCATTTATACGATAAATTTATATGTAATTATTTTTGGGAAATCTATAGAAATGCTGACCAAACAGAAAGTTCTTGGTCTCAAATTTGTAAAAAGATATCAAGTCAATCAAAATTATATCTTATGTCTTGTTTGCAGTTAGCAAATAAAATGGATTCACATTTTAATACTTTAAAAATATCGCAAGTATATATACATAATTTTATTATAAATTCATTGATAGCAGTATTTTAATTTTTTTTATGATACAGGTACTTAGTATTTTAAGGTGTATAGATAAAAAATCTAAATATACACACAGTATAATTTTTTCATCAGAATATAAAGTATTTAAAACTGTTGGATTTAGAATGCCATTTTGTACACCTTTAAATTGCATAGAAGTTCTTTTAGCTGCAACAGGATTGAAAGAAAATCCAAATATGCAAGAACTTACTATAAATTTATTGGATTTAGTTTATCTCCAGGTTTGAATTTTATTAATGAAAATTTTCAGAACATAACATGGAAATAATATTAAAATAATTAATAATAGAGACATAATTATAGAGAGAGAAGTTTTATTCTCATTTGCAATGCTTAATCCAAGGACATATTGCAAGAACTGAACAAGAAAAAAGAAGTCTTATGACATTAGAATCAAATATATTACTTCTTGGAGCTTCTGTTGTTCTTTGTGGAACATTTATTTCATGTGTAGATAATGGGACAGCAAAAGTTATAGCTTCAAAATTATCAGAATTAATAGATATAAAGGTTGATGATATCTGGGATATGGCTAATATACTTCTCATAATGNAAAGTTACATATTAATAATTTATTTAAATTATCAAAGAAATGAAATTTTTTTTATCATTATTAATCATTTCAAAAGCTTAAAGAAAGAAAAAAGTACGTATGTTATTAAAATTGTAAATATTTTTAATACTGATTTTTAAATGATTTATATATCCTCTATATGCAAATTGATAAATGAATAATTCTTAATTAAATCATTAAATAAAACATTGAAAAATTATTTTTTCATAAATATGTATTTCTTATTCATTTATATAAAAATGCTAATGAAATGTTAAATTATATTTGTCAAAATTATAAAATCAAAAAGATTTTAAATATAATCTACAAAAGTTGATATTTTAGATTTAAAAAGATAAATAAATAAAATATTAAAGAAATATTTTAATAAAATAAAAAAAATTTTGATTAAAACAAAATTTGTAAAAAAATCATTTCAATTAAAACAAAATTTATTGTTTTTATCATTCAATAATAAAAAAATATATATTTTTAATTTATTTCGAGATTTTTAAGAATTTTGAATCATATTTGAAATAATTCAATGTGTTTAAAAGCGCTTCGAGATGTAATGGATTTAAAAAGGAAAATTTTCTAAGATAATAAAAAAAATAATTAAATTTGTGATCATATATTATTTATATTTTTATTAATTTAAAAATATACATTTTAAATAATAAATTATAGGCATTAAATTAATTGTTCTTTTTTGTATCGTTCCATAAAAGCGAAAATTTGGTTGTATACCAAAACGTCTACATGTTTGCCCCATACAAAATCAAGATGGGCAAAAGTTTTAGAAGGTACTAAAAATTTCTGAGCATTGGGTAATGCCTTATATAAATCATTCAAGTCCTAGAAAAATATTAATAAAAAAAAAAATAATAATCTGTTAAAAAGATTAGAACAGAACAAAATAAAATTTTCTTATCAATATACAAACCTCAACATTGATAAATATATCGTTGGCTCCATAATACAAATATACCGGTATTTTGATTTTAGCAAGTTCATAATCAGGAGGATAAATTTTACCATACTTTTTCAAGTTACCAATACCATAATCGTATTTCCGGAACTTACCTATTAAAAAAAAAAAAGAACATACAAATAGAGAAACAAAAATTTAACAAGATTATATTCTTAAATATTAACCTGAATGAATTGATTGCGCAAAATGCACAAATTGATTCACAGATGAACCAGCAGGATCATATTGAGTAATGAGAGACAATAGAGTCTATAAATTAAAATCAAGTTATATTTACATTATATAAAAAATTTTTATGAAATAATTATATATTTAATTAATTGTGATAATAATATTAATATTATTTTGATTAATAATGATTATATTGAATGTACATGATTACCGTGTTAAGTTCTTTATCGATACCACCAAACAGGAATACGATGTTTTGACATATTGGTTGCAACAACTCGCCATCCTTACACATTTTTTTTCCAAGCATTTGTATAAGTTTATTCGATGGTTTAAATTCATATAAACCTATTAATTTTGTTAAACACTGTAAAAAAACAAAGATAAAAAATTTTTATTAATTTTTCTTTGTTTCTATATTGAAAATTATTAAAACAAATTCTAAATTATACCTTGATATCATTACTAAATGGAGCTAATATTTGAAATAAAGGATTATTTGTTCTTGACATGAAAACTGCTGGAGCCATAGAAAAACTAGCGATAATTTTGTTTTGATATTCTGGACGCTCACTAGCCATTACAAAGAAAGCCGAACCACCTTGACTGTGCGATATGATAAAAATCTTTTCTTTTTTAGTTTTTTTAAGAATATAATCAATTGTCGCTGGAATATCGTACACTCCAATTTCATGCCAACTATATGAAAACATAAATAATTATGTTATCAAATATTATTTTATACAATGATATATTTATAAAAAGTTTGTTTTTTAATCGATTATCATTTATCAATAATCAAAATATTTGTTTTTGATTGTTTTTCTAGATAAATCTGAATCTTTAAATTTTTTATTATACCTGAAATTCCAATAATTTTTATCTGAAATATTCATATCTAAATGTCTTCGTGCGTATCGATTACCACGCACATTAATCATCCATACATCGTATCCCAAATCTGCTAACAAGAAACCTAAACAAATATTTGAACAAATATTAATCAATTATATTCTAACATCAGCATATTTTTTCATTTCTTAAAAGAAGAAAAAATTAAATTAAATCTTTCTGAAAGAAATTTATAATTTTTTAAAAAAAAAGAAAAAAGAAATTTTTATATAAGAAGATAAATAATTATATTTAAAAAATGTTTATTTTATAGATAGAATATTAACTTGTCAATACCTAAACCCTTTCCTGGTCCTGGTATGAGCCACGTAGCTGAACAATCAAACACTCCATGGATAAGTAATACTGCTGGTTTGTTTTTAGTCGAACTTTTTGGGGATTCTGAGATCCTGTGGACATTTAAAATATATCGATCCTCCGTCACGATTTGATGAGTTTCAGCAGTGTAACCCTCTTTGCGTATTAATTCTTCCTGTAAAAATATTTATGTTTATTTCATCTCGACTAGATCATCCCTAATCTTTATGCCATGATATTTAATTATAATTTGTTTGAGATGGTACAGAGATCAAATGTTTATAATATAAAATTTTTAAAAATCTGGTAAAAACGTGAGTCACTTTATTATTATATTAATAAATAAAATTATATATATTTTGATACGATTGTAATATTTTGAGCTTTAATATTTCAGCATATTTTGAGCTTAAGATAATCGAATTTAATAATATTATGTTTTATTTCACGATTCATAGATTTATAGAAATAATTACAAGATTACAATAATTTTTACAATAAAATGTACTTACAGGACTTAACACTTTATCAAATATTGAATCAAGATTTTCATGCAATTCATTTTCCTGTTCCGTAAATGGTATTGCCAAGATCAACGGCAGTACGCAAAATAGAATATAAGATATTTTCAGCATCTTCATAATGATACGTCTTCAAAATATCTTCAATAACTGAAATGGCTTCAATAATCTTTTATATAATAAATTCCTTAAAGATGTATTTGTATACACATAGTCAATTAAATTATATCAATTATTACTTATCAGATATAGATTAAAGAGAATATATACCATCTGTAAATTTCATATCTGTATTTACATAAACAATATATATATATATATATATATATATATATATTTATCAATATTACAAAATATATTGCATATCAAATCTGTATTTTTTCAATTTTTAAATCAATCTTACAAAAATAATATATAATGTAAACAATTTAACTGAGATTAACTGTGATTATCACAACGTCATATTATTACTTGCATTATTTAAAAACAAACTCGATAAATCATGTAAAACAATATGAATTACAAACAGGTAAGATTTTTAAATCAAAAATAAAGATAATTATCAAGTAAAAATATAATTTTTGAGAAACAATTTGTTATCTTATATTTATAGATTATAATAACTACTGAAGATGTAAAAAATGCTTGTGCAATAAAGGATTTAAAACAAAGAAGAGTCATTTCTATTTTAGTCATTTCTTGAAAAGAATTAATTATTACAATAACAGAAAATGACTAACTATATATAATAAAGGATTCAGAATAAAGGTCATAATAGAATAATAAGCATTAATTCATTTTTATTAAAATTAATCTCTAAAGATTTAAGATTAAGGAAAATTATCAAACGATAGTATCGATATAATTTTTATTTCGCAATTAAAAGAAATCAACCAAATCTTTATTGTTACTTTGTTTCTTTTTTATACAATCGTCGAACTGGTCCGTCCGGTTTACCAGATCTTTTAAAAAAAAATGTTCGCGACTTTCTACTATCTAAATGTGCCATGTTTTATTTTAAAATTTCAACTTCAACTGATCAATTTGAATTATTCCTGAATAGTTTTTCCTATGAGCTGAGAGTACACGATATATTATAAGAATTTTGTAATAGATAGATTTATAACAAAAATTTCGATTTTCTATTTCACTTTTCGCAAATATCTTGTTAAAATAGCATAGAATGTGAAAGTAAAATATTTTTATATGTACAGAGAATGGTCATACACATGCGAGAAGTTGCAAATGTTACGTCATATTAGGTGGTAAAGGAGGTCGTTGAGACCGAGGGAAAGTATTATGAATCGAGTATTTGGTTCAACGAGTTATAATCAATATGTATATTTTTTTTCAATTTCATTCATGTCTATTATTTATTGTATTTCCATATTGCTATTTTAAATTAAAAGTATTTTACTGCCGACTAAAGTGATTCGCATTGCCATTAAAATGGATCAATTACTAATAAATCAATAGTTACGAATGATACTATCATTTGGTAATTTAATAAGCAATTTGTACAGCGACATGACAAATCTAACAAATAGAAAGTGGTCAATCGCGTGCTCGCTAGTGGAAAATCGATTGCATAAAAAGATAGTTCTTCTGTTATAATAACAAACTGGAAAACATTTCTCGATTCGTAAAAGGAAACGCTAGAAATCGGAAGAAACGCTGGCAGAAAGAAAAGAGGTATCAAGCGGAAAGGTAGGAGGAAGAAGAAAAAAAAAGTAAAAGACTAATAGTTTCCCTCAGACGCAACGAACATTCGTAGAAATCAAATGAAAGATGCAACTCGTCTTGTTAAAACGCTTGATCTTAATTTTTGGATTGATCATTTTTTGGATTATAGAAGTTAAGCATGCCAGTAAGTAAATTTTTAATTTCTAATTTCTTCTTCTTTCACTTTTCTTTTTCTTTTTTATTTATTTATTTTTTTTTTCCAGTAAAACTTGCCGAAAGAAATCGAGCAATGCTGCGCCGAATAAGAGTTGGTCGTGAAAATCTTAAACCTAAAATTTGTTATGGTATAGCTATGATACACGAATGATAAGAAAATATTAATTTTATATTGAATGAAGAATATAAATTATATGAAAAATTTTAGACTTAGTTGGCTGCTTTGCGGATCCACCGCCTCATTTAAGATTGAAAAGACCACCAGAACATCCTAAAGTAATTCAAACAAGATTTCTATTGTATACTCGTTCAACCCGAGAATCACCTAAAAATCTTCACTATGATGACGATTCTACATCTATGCTCCAACCGGAATTTAATTCCACGAAATCTCTAAAAGTTATAATACACGGTTACAAAGGAAGTGGTAGCGATGTCGGTGCGATCCTCTTGGTGCAGGCATTTTTGGACATTGTAATTAACGTGAAATAATTGCATGTTTTATCATTGATCAATATAAATGCTTTGTTTATTAAATTTATATATATTATGGTACATTTATCAGGAAGACACAAACGTTTTAGTACTTGATTGGACAAGAGGAGCTGGAACGACTTATTCGGTTGCAGTTGCGAATACGGAACTTGTAGGACGACAATTAGGTCTGATCCTTCTAGACATTATCAATTTGGGTACTCTGGTCGAAGATATTCACGTAATTGGTTTCAGTCTCGGAGCTCATGTGGCCGGTTGTGCCTCGGAGATTCTTAAAAAGAAAAATCTTCTCTTAGGTCGTATAACTGGCCTAGATCCAGCATCACCATTTTTCAGAAATCACTTGTTAAGAGAAAAGTCGAGGAAATTGGATGCTACCGATGCTCAATTAGTAGACGTGATTCATACAGATGGATCCGAAGATTTTGCAGATGGATTTGGACTTCTGAAACCAATTGGTCACATTGATTTTTTTCCAAATGGTGGTAGAGAACAACCTGGTTGTAACGATGTGAAAAATTCTGTTGTTGTTAGTCATTTAAGAGGTATTTATTATTTTATTTATTATTTGAGAGAAAAGTTAATAATATTTAAAATATTTATATATAATCATACAAAAATAATAACATCTTTCAGAAGATATGTTAACTAAAGAAATTGCTTGTAGTCACTTAAGAGCTTGGACATACTTTTTAGAAAGTGTACGTACAACAAATGAATCTTGTAAATTTATCGCCTGGCCTTGTTCCCAAGGAAGAATGTCATATATGAATGGGATGTGTTTTCCTATGGAATCCACGTTATGGACGCAAGAAATGGGCTATCGAGCCGATCATGGTCCTTTAGGAATTTATTATTTACCCATGAGAGAACAAGAACCATTTTGTGGTACAGTTAATTTATAAAAAATTATCAAAATTTCAATTTTTATTTTCTTTTATTTTATTAGGTGAACCTGTAAGAGCATCAGTGACAACTTCAGAAGAAGCGCTAAAGACATCAGGAGTATTATTTTTAAAGATTATGGAACACAATTCAACGATAAATTTCAGATTTCGATATCCGTAAGATATATTTTAATAATAATATAACTAATAATAACAAAATTTATTATTATCGATGTATTTAGAAATTCTATTACATGATATATGAATAATTTTTAAAAAATATTATGCATTTAAGGATATTGACTCGAAAAAATAAAGGGATGACTTTTTATAATATTGGTGCAGCAAAATTTCAATCTTTATTAAAAGATCGATCTACAATAAAAGCACGTATTTGGTATCAAAAGGATAAAAATGAAAAAAATGAAGATTCAGTTAAAACTATTAATACAGATATATTGTTAATAGATAAAGTTACTCTTGAAGATAGGAAAGGGAACAGGTATATAAAAGTTTAATTTTCTAAAATTAATATTTGTCATTATTGCTAATTTAATTAATATTTTATTTGCATATTTATTTTATTTTATATTTAGATGGGAATATTGCTCTCGAAACACTGTAATAAATTTAGAAGAAAATTTCATATTACTTCAACGTGATTAATATTCTTCAGTTAATATATAAAAAACAAATTGTATAAATTTTTATTCGTATAAAATAAAGAGTGAGATTTGTTAATTAAATAATTCTCTTATAATAAATTTTATCGTTAATTCCTATAATAGATCAAAATAACTATTCACATATTAACTATATTTTTTATTTAAAAAAAAACAAAAAAAAAGATTTGAATAAGATTTGAATGATTTTGAAGTAGCGCGCGTAAAATCAACTATAGTCGAATCATAACCTAATTCATGATTTCAAATTGATCGAAGAAAGTAACAATGAGAACAATGTCTGGTTTAATAAATCTTTTTTCCTTAAGATGTACAAGTCAAGCTTTTAAAACTGTAAGTATTATTTAAATTTTAATTTTACTCAAATTACAAATTGTTTTATCGAAACATTCATGATTTAAGAATTTAATCAACAAAACAAACTAAAATGATAAAATTAATAATTTAATTTAATAATTCTTCTTAATTTTTCCTTAAATTATTTACAGACATCGTTTAAACATTTACGATCTTTTAAGCAATATTATCCACAAATTAGAACTATAAATATTACACCTTTATATAACTCTAATGAAATAGATTCATTATCAAATAATAAAAAAGAATCAGCCAAAAAAAGTTTTATTACATGGAAAAGTGTAGTAGTTACAACTATAATAGGCACATCTCTTTTAATGTATATGTATTATCTTCAAGAAATAAAAGATAAACAAATAGAACGTGAAAGAAGACGTCAATTAGGAAAAGCAGCAATTGGTGGAAAATTTGAGTTGATTGATTCTCAAGGAAAAATTTGGAAGTCAGATGACTTTTTAGGACAATGGGTTCTAATATATTTTGGCTTTACACATTGCCCTGATATATGTCCAGATGAACTTGAAAAAATGACAGAAATTGTCAATAAATTAGGTATAATAAACAACAAACTTCAAAAAAAATATTGTTTTACATTGAATTATTATTTTTCAGAGAAGCAACATAATACAAAAGTTCAACCTATATTTATTTCTGTGGATCCTGAAAGAGATACACCAGAAGTTGTAGGCAAATATATTAAAGAATTTTCTGACAAAATTCTTGGTCTTACTGGAACTAAAGAACAAATTGCTAAAGTATGTAAAGCTTATAGAGTATACTATAGCAATGGACCTAAAGATCAAGATTCCGATTATATTGTTAGTAATTTCTTTTTTATATATTATTTAAACTTTATTGTTTAATATCATATTCATTTTATTCTGGTTATATTCTAGGTTGATCATACAATAATCATATATCTTATTGATCCTGATGGCTTATTCGTAGATTATTATGGTTTAACTCATACTGCTGAACAAATTGTACATAGTGTATGTATAAACAAGATAAAATATGAAAAATTAAAATCAGATACTTGGATTCCATCAATACCATTTAAAAATCCATTATCAATATAATTTATATGCTATATATATAATATATATTATTAATTAAATTTCAAAGATGTTTAAGTATTAAATTTTCATAAATAATAAATTAAAGAATTTATGTTATAATGAATATTGATATTTATTTTGTAAATAAAAACATTCTAATAAAAAAATTTCACTATTTATTTAAATGAAAAACGGATAATTAATCGATATACTCCTTTGATATTTATTCTCTAGATACTTCTTCTCTAGATACTCTAGATACTACTTCCGATTGGTAAAATTATGTTTGTACTTTGATCTTTATTTATACATAATATTATTTGTATTATATTTGAGAATAATGATATTTCTTGAAATATTTTTTTTTTTTTGCTAAACTTTATTTTGAAGCATTAAAACTTTTGTACTTTTTGTATTTTTGTACTAACAATTTTTGATAAATAGAATCAAAAAATATTATTTAAAATTTAGAATTCACTGATTTAAAAAATTTATTTGTACATTAAGTTAATTATTTTTAAATGTCTTTGATAGATTATTAAGACACTATATTGTTTTATATTCATATTTCGTCCAATGAAAAGTCACTATCTGCATGTAGGTAACGACCATTTAGGTTCATATCTTCAAAGTATTGAATTGTTTAAGGTAGATTTTTTCCTTGACCGTCGTAGGCGTCCAGCAGTACTAGCGGATTATTATTTTGGTAAGTTATTTTTATTTCAATATTAAATCGATTCATATTAAACAAACAATTGTTCTAATTGTATTATTATACATTATTTGGATTAATTAGAGAAACAAAACATGTATAATATATCTAGATATCCAAATTTAACTTATCGCGCTTAAATGATCGTCACTCATATGACAGTGACTCCAATCATTGAATGAATTGTGAATACAAACTAACATGGCGTTCTAATAACCTAACCTATAAATACATTTAAAGTTAATATTTTTGGATTCAATTTATCAAAAAAATAAAAAAGTTAATAACTTTTGATGTTTCAAAATAAACTTTAAACTTTATTATAAAAAACTTAATCATTGTTAAAAATTAAAATTTGTAATATATATATTACTTATGTTTTGAAATCTAAAAAATTAACTTTCAATTATTTATTTCATATCATTTTATATAATATTTTAACATTATGCAAAAAGCGCTAAATTGAAATGACAGAAGATTTTGGAGGAGATACTCCATCTATGTACACAAATGAAGAAACAAAAACTGCTGGACAACCTCTTTCAGATTTTTTGCTACAACTTGAAGATTATACACCAACGGTAAGCATATATACAACATTACAATTATAGTTTTACTTAACTATAGTTTTATTATTAAACATATATCAAATGATTCTTTTGATAGGTACCAGATGCTATAAGTGAACATTATTTACATACAGCAGGTTTTAATACAACAGATCCCAGAATGTAAGAAATCTACAGAGTTGATTAATTTATAAATAAAATTTTATTGTTTTAACTATATATATTATGATTTTAGAGTAAGATTGGTTTCATTAGCTGCACAAAAATTTATATCTGAAATCGCAAATGATGCTTTACAACATTGCAAAACACGTGGAGCCAATCAAAATACAAAAACAAAAGGAAAAGATCGACGTTATACTCTTACCATGGAAGATTTGACTCCTGCAGTCGCAGAATATGGCATCATAGTCAAAAAACCACATTATTTTGTTTAATTCTATAAATTTCATCTATTTTTATTCATGAATATAATCTTTATCTAATGATCTTTACATATATATAGAATGAATTTGTAATATATAATATATATATAATATATATATATTGTATTTGTAATTTTTATAAAAATTAAGAAATTTAATGCAACAAAAGATAAAGATTGATGAAATTGTAAAATTAATGTATTTCGAAATTCATATATAATAGAATTAATATGATTGAAAAATTTAAACATAATATTATATTTTAAACTTTTGTATTAATATTATATTGTAATTTAATGTCAATATTGTGTTGCAATTTATATTATATTTATATTATATTATATTATAATATTTAATGTCAATATTATAATCAATATTGTTATTAGCAATTTATAGCATTTAATTTTGAAAATCTAAATTTTTTTAAATACACAAGAGATCATCGCGAAAATTCTGTTTGTTAAAAATAAAAAACGATGTTTAATGAATGGAAGTGAAAAATCTATCTATATAGTGATAGAAAGTCGATTCAAGGATAATAAAAATATTTAAAAAATTCTTCAGCTGATAGTGACTAGAAAAACAACATAATTTGCTAGTAACTTTTTAATACTACAGGTATACCAGCAACTCCGCATGCGCTTTATTCCAAAAAAGAACCATCAGCCATATTGGTGTGTTGTATCGCTGTCCTCAGTAATTTCAGAAGATCAGTGAGGTATTTCTTTTGTTCATCACGCGATTTTTTCCCATATTCATTGCTTTATGAATAATTGACAATACCAATGTTATATTTAGTCGAAATAGATTGTCATTCGGAGAGTTTTATGACATCCTTTAGCGGAAAAAGTTTGGTTAATGTTGCCACCTGGGCTCACGGAAATCGGTCTGTTCATGAATATGTCGTAAATAAATGCGTACTATTTTCACTGGATTGGAATGTTCATAGAACATTAATACCTTCTTCTGCATCGTCGTCTTTCCGTGCAAGATTATCATTGGTGTTAGTTAATTTTAAAAAGAATCACAGCTTTTTACGTATACTTTGCCGTAACCGTCTGCCGTACTTTCTTACCTTCGTTCACTTTTACTTCATTCTTTTTATATAGCTCAGTTATCTTTTATGATAATATTTAATTTATTACTCTCGTAATTATCATTGATTATTATAGTTGCTAATTTTCGTTTAGCAACAGGTAAAAATTACCAATAAAATTTTCTATAATTGTATCAATCAAGTATATACCATATATCTGTGATTATTATCATACTTTTTTTACTACTAGATGATATTTTCTAATTTTTGTATATGTAGAACATATTCTCTATCTAATTTCATATAAGAGAAATCATATATTTCTATATTTTATTTTTTTGTTATATATTTTTTAATAATTGACATATAAGTTAAGAAAAAAATAAGTGGAAACTAAGTAACATTATAATCATCTTTTTAAAATTTTATATCTAATTATGTTTTTATAATAAAGTGTGATGATTTTATGTTTACAGTAAATAGATCATCATGACGGATTCCATGAAATTTGGTCCAGAATGGTTTGTTTAATTCTTTAAAAATATAATTCATCTTGTAGCTTTATTTGTTATATTTTAATTTTTATAATGAATACATAGGTTGCGCAATCTATCTGGAGACACTTGCAATAATAGTGGTGGTGGTGGAGGTACTACAAGTTTAACTACTCCACGTTATCAATTAGCTGAACATAGATATGGGCGAGAAGAAATGTTGATTTTATTTGATCGTAATTGTAAACCTCCTGAATTATTGACAAATTTCTCATCATTATATGTTGAGAAAACTCAACTTCCTTTGGCTCTTATACAAATGACAGAAGATGAAACGGTATTTAATTAAATATATTTTCATATTTAAATTTGATATTTATATTATGATTTATATAGTTAATTATAATAATTAAGTAATCATATAAAATAAATAACTTTTATGTGAAATTGTTAATATATTATATATATATATATATATATTTAATTATATTTATATTATATATATATATATTTAATTATATTTATATTATATATATATATATATATATATATATATATAATTAATTTATGATATATTATTTAGTAATTATATATTTTTAACACATTCTATACTGAGAACTATCATGAAATCAATTAGAATCTAAAAATATAACATACTGGAGCTCTTGTACCAGTTCTTCATGGCACTCTTCTGTTTTGTGTATTTTATATAATCATCACTATTTTATTCTTATATATTTTCATAAATATTCTTTTGTATATTATGATATATTTATAAAGTAAAATTCTTTATAATTTAATTAAATATTATATACATATATACATACATTTATATATATATTTCATAATATAAATTATTTGGTAAATTTGAAATAAATATATTTAATTATCATTACTATCAATTATCAATTTTTTTTTAGCGAATGTGGAATGGAGGAATAACTAATGGTGGTCGAGGAAGAGGTGGAAGTGTGGATCGTGGAGGGCGAGGAAGAAATGGAAGAGGTAGTTTATATTCCTCTCATTATTCCCGTGGTGTTGGTTTTGATGATTCAGGAGATGGATCTCGAATCGACAGTCAATCATTTCAAGTATGTAATATATTGCATTTTTTATAAATGGAATATTTTGATATGAATATTAAATTTAAAAAAGCAAATTAATTTTCAGTTTCTTAACAGATAAATTATATATAATATAATTATCTATTAATATAATATAATTATATATAATTATATATAATATATATGATTTAATAATATGGTTTAATAATAATATAGAATAAGAATAAGAAAGTTAATATTCTTTTACATTAAATAAAAGAAGAAAAATATTTTTTTTCAATTTATTAATAAATATATTTTATATCCAGGGAAGGAATCGCCCATTTGATAGGTCTCAAAGTGAACGTAGTTGGTCAGAAAGAAATGGGGCTTCAGATCCAGGTGAATGGAATGGTTCTACTAGTCCTAGAAAGGAATTAAGTCGTGGAGCTAGTGGTAGTTCTCTTATGGAAAGTAATTGGCGACGTCATCGTGGTGGTACAGAAGACGATGATGGTTGGCGAAAATGGGGTATATAAGTATTTAATTTTAAGTACAAAATCTATTTATTTAATTAAATAAAGAATATTGTTTGTGTAATAATTAATTTGTAGGAGGCAGAAGTAGTTGGCGTGAAAGTGGGAGCATGGACAGAGATAGATTAGAGAGAAATGAAGGAGATAGCGAAGAAGGACGGAATAGTGGTGGTAGATGGGAACATCGTGGAAGTCATAGAGTCACACACGATTCAAGCCATCATCCACCCCCTCGTACAACACGTACTTGGGAATCAAATCATGATAATAATCATGACAATCTTCCTGAATGGTAATTTTTTAAATATTTTTTAATTTTTTTTTATTTTTTTTATTAATAATCATATAATGATATAAGTTGGAATATATCTATTGATAATAAGTTATTTAATGATCAAAATTTATTTTAGGGCTACTGAAAATCCTAGTGAAAGTGGAGGAAGTTTTGATGCTTCAGGTGCATTCCATGGTGGAATGTATTCAGATGATGACGAAGATGGAGTGATTAGTGCAGGTGGTACTCAAGAATCAAGGACTCGACGTGTTTCTGAAGGAAGTGCTGCTAATATAAAAAAATCTGGTAGTAAATCTTTATCCTATAGCTCAACTCAAGGACAAATAACGAGTCGTAATACCAATAGTAGCACTAGTACAATAAACAAAGAACGACCGAAGTCCTTGCATCCACTCGATGATAAAAATGATTGTGTCAATAAAGAAAGGAGAAGTAGTTCTCCAGGGAAACTGCCTATTACAATAACAGATAGTACTCCTACTAAAACTTCAGCATCATCTGAAACTCCACAGAAAAGAAATACAGTAGTGGCAAGTACAGAGCAAATAGAAACAGAAAAAATAACATCTATGGATTCAGAAACAAATAAATCTCCTAGTAAAGAAAAGAAAAAAGAAGATGTAGAAACAGAAACAAAGATGGATTCTATTTCTGTCACTGCAAAAAAACAAGTTCCATTACAAATAGAGTCTCAAAAAGTAGGTCATAATACGGAAACAAATGATGTGAGACAAAAGTCGGAAGACGATTTGGATAGAATGAAAGAAGAAGCTGATGCATTAGTTGCTAAATTGATGGCGGATGAAGAAAACCATAGGGAAAAAACAGCCAGTATACCGCCTTCTATTGGTAACCAACCTTCTACAGTTCCATCTACAAATGGACAGGAGAAATGGTTTTACCGTGATCCACAGGGTGAAGTTCAGGGTCCGTTCTTAGCAAGTGAAATGGCGGAATGGTGTAAAGCTGGTTATTTCACTGCTGGATTAATGGTAAGAAGAACTTGTGACGAGCGATATACCACATTAGGAGATTTAGTAAAAATGTGTGGTAGAATACCATTTACACCTGGACCTCCTATTCCTCCTTTAAAGGTATGTTTATTCTTTTATAATTTTTTTTTTTTTTTTTTTAAACTTAAAAAAAATATAGAGAAAAGATTTGTTTCTTTTAGTTAGCAGATCAGGTAATACCACCTGTTCCTAACACTGTACCAGCTGGTATGAGTGCATTATCAAAAACTAGTATAGAAGATCCCCTTCTTCTGCTGCAGTATCAACATATGCGTTTGTTACAAAATCAACAATTGCTTTTGAGACAAATGCGAACGTCAGCTATAGCGAAACTTTCTCAATCTGAACATTGGGCAAGTTTAAGTCCTATGGAACAAAATCAATTGATTTTTCAATGCGTTATTCAAGATTCAGAGATTCCAGAGGTACCAATTTCTACAAATCCATTTGTACCTCATCTTTCATCTCAAGCTTCAAATCCGGTTATGCAACTTTTCACTCAAATGCAACAGGTAATAATTTACTTCATCAAATAATAGTAAATATGATAATATTGATTATTTAAATATTTTATTATTTTTTTTTTTTTAGGCTAAAACGCAACCAGAAACTCATTTAACATCAAATCCACATTCAACTACAGCAACACATCCACCTACAGTTGATCCTATACAACAACTTATACAACAAATGGGTGGTATGCAAAATATACAGGGAATTCAACAGTCAAGTACACCAACTGCGACACAAGAAGATAATCCCATAAAATCCTTATTACGTCAACTGAATGTTAACGCAAATGGTCATCCACAAACATCTCATATTGATACGGTTTGGCCACAACCTCCACCACAGATAAATCCACAATTTAATGCACAGAATTGGTTAGCGCAAGTATGTGAAACTTACTATTTGTTATTATCAATTTTAGGAAAATATAATTTCATAAATAATTTCATAAAGTTAACATAATATTATTTAGGTTGGACCGATACCAGCTGTTCCTCCTGGTCAATTACCTACATCATTATGGGATTTGCACACTAAAGAAATAAAGACTGAACAACAAATATTGGTAATTATGATTTTGAAAATTAAATCCTTTCATCACATAAAATATGTTAAAAATTATTATAATGTTATAGGAAGAACAGAATCTTCGATTACAAGAAGATAGAAAGAAAGAAGAACTTCGAAAACAAGAGGAATTACAACGTCAAGTTGAAGAAGAAAATGCGAAAAGAAAAAAAGAAGAACAAGCTAAACAAGAAGAAGAAGAAGCAAAACGAAAAGATGAAGAAAGAAAGAAAAAAGAAGAAGAAAAAAAACGAAAAGAAGAAGAGAAACGTAAACAAGAAGAAGAAAGGAAGAAAAAAGAAGAAAAGAAACGTAAAGAAGAAGAAAAAAAGCGAGAAGAAAAACGAAAACAGGAAGAAGAAAATTTAAGAAAAAAACAAGAAGAGGAAAAAAGAAAAAAAGAAGAACTTAAAAGACAAGAAGAAAAACAGAAAAAAGAAGAAGAAAAAAGAAAAAAATTGGAAGAGGAACAAAGAAAACAGGAAGAAGAAAGAATGCGGTATATTTTTTATTATTATTAAAATTACATGATTAATTCAGTAATATATATATATATATATATATATATATATAACAGTAAACAGTAATATATATATATACATATATATACATATAATACATATTTTTTTTTTTTTTTTATCATAGAAAAGAAGCAGAAGCACGTAAACAAGCTGAAGTTGAAGAACAAGCTCGGCGAGCAGAACAAAGGCGACGAGAAGCAGATGCACTTCGTAGATTACAAGAACGAAGTAAAGCACCATGGGCGCAAGCACCTCGAGCACCTACTCCGGCAACTCCTGCTGCTTCACTTGCTGAAATTCAGAGACTTGAACGAGAAAAAAAAGCGGTATGCTTCCAAATTGTTAAGAAAATATTATCATTCTTATAGAAATTATATATTCATAGCTATAACTATCTGGTTAGGAAGAACAGCGGTTTCAACAAATAATGCAGCAACAATTAGCACAGCAGAAAGCCATAGAAGCAGCGCAAGAAGCATCGGTAACTGATTCTTCTAAAAGATTGCAATTTAAATGGGCAGAAAAAACTACGAGTTCTACCAAATCTATACCAGTAAAAAGTCTCGCTCAAATTCAACAAGAAGAGCAGGAACGGATCGCCAAGGTAAAGGTACTTATTACTTTGTCAATATTTTATTATCATATGTTAATTCTGATATTTCTTATTATTTCGAGATCTTTTTATTTTTGAAATTTTATATATTTATATATTCATATAATAGCGGAACAGAAAGAATTGTAATTGTTAAAAGATAATTATATATTGCTAATTGTTATTGCTGACACTTCAGCAGCAAGAAAGGGAACGTCAAGAAAAGGCAGGACAAAAAGAATCAACGAACGTACTGCAAAATGCTGGAATATGGGGTACTGCATCTCAATGTTTGAATTGGGCTAATTCGAGTAGCTCTAATAATAGTCAACCTTGGTCGAACAATAGTGGTAGTAGTGGTTTTTGGGATGATCCCACACCAATCAAATCTTCTACAACCGCGAAACAATCTATTAAACAAACTAGTACAGCAAAGGCTCCTACTGCCAATCAGCAACAACAGCAAAGTAATAAAGCAAATAAAAATAAAAATAAACGGGAAGAAGAACTAGTAAAGAAATTATTTGAACAAAACACTGCCAAGACAGATGATTTTACGCAATGGTGCAACAAAGCTCTGAGTGGTTTACAAGTCTCTGTAGACAGTAAGTTAGAGACTTTTTTACATATATATTTTTGTTTCGTTTATAGATGGTTTGATGAGAAAATTTTACGTGTACAGTCCCTACATTTGTTGGATTTTTGCGAGATATTGAATCTGCGTATGAAGTAAAAGAATATGTTCGAGATTATCTTGGTGATAATAAACAAAGTTCAGAATTTGCAAAGCAATTTTTAGAAAAACGTAGTAAGTGGCGATCGGCCCAACGACCTCAAGCACAAGCGGATGATTTATGTAAACCAGCACCTGCTGTTAATCCTAATGCACCTACGGAATTTCAGGAAGTAAAGGTATCTTAAATAGATGATAAAACTGGAACTGATGGATTATATATTTTACAAGCGCCTAAGCTGCTTAATATGATCTTTCAGGGAAAGTCAAAGAAGCCAAAGAAGGGAAAAATGTACAAAGTTGATAATAGAATTCTTGGCTTTAGTGTAACTGCAGCCCCTGATCGTATCAATGTAGGTGATCGCGATTATGGGGAAGGTGTTTGAATTAAATCTGACAACTCTAACTATATTACGGAAATTGTGCAACGCTTGGCCCAACACATGGTTTGTTATTTATTTATTGTAAATGCCAAATAAGTTCTAAGGAACCCGTCGCGAGTACTTCGTTAAAAATGTATAAGATTTTTCTATAATTATGCGTGTAAGGATTTTACCTTTCCTATCCTTCATTCGATCATTAATGGGAACCTTAGATACCGATATAGCGTGGCATTATTTCCTTTTCGAATGTAACTGAAAGACACTCCGAAAAAAAAACTCTATTGTATATACTACTCAAAAAAAGATACTTCATAAAGCAAAGCAAACTCATCTTCTATTTACGCGGTATATATATAAATATAAATAAATAGATATATATATATATATACACACATACATATATATGTATACTACTATATACATATATAGTATTAATACATTTTGTAATATTTCACTTTCATCGTAAATGAAGAAATTATGCCGATCGATAACTTGTACACGCGGAAACATCGCAGTCGAAAGCAATATGTGCTCACGATGGTGTTCAGCAAGCAAAAATAAATTATAAATGTATGTTTGTGATCAAAGAAACATCGATCAAGAACTGTGTTGATGGGATTCATTGGTGTTTGCTTGTATCGAATGCACCAAGTATGATATATAAATCCTATGGATTTCTTGCTTTATCGCAACATCACGATATCGATACGATTTTGCTTTGGATTATATTTCATTATTATGTTTTAAAAAAATAATTATCTTACGTTTGATACATTAAAAAATTTTTTTAACCAATTTATGACTATTTTTAAAAGTAAACTAACGATATTTTGACTGAACGATTGAATGCAAGCATTAATTTGAATATTAAATTACTATTTTAGAATAAATTGCTCCTTACTCCGTTTATAAAGCAATCATAAAAAATATTAAAAGAACTGTATGTTTCAAGGCAGTGACATTGTGAAAAAAAAGTTCTTGTACTTTCTTAACACTTTGAATACATTGGTATATTTAAAAAAAAAATAGTATTGCATGTTATACAATGTATAAAAAAATAAACTATCTTCCATTTTCCTGTTTTGCACCAGAAATATGAAAGTAAGCTCGTGTAATGTTAGGAATGTATTGTCGATTTTGAAAAATTACAACATAGCACATAAGAAAATTTCAGATTGATTACTGCGTGTGCCTACGTGTGGATCTCACTCTCGTCGGCATAGCCTTCTTATATATTGAGGTCAATCTAAATATTTAACAAAGAATTTTATGTAAGATTTAATTAATGCAATATCTAAAATCAGTATCTTTTGTAAAGTTTTAATTATAAGTAAACATGTCATGAAATGTCCCATCTTTAACAAGGAGTTAAAGGAGAAAACTTTTAGCATCTGTTTGAAAAATATTAATTTTTCTTTCTTGTTTTTTCTAATTAAACTAATATATTTGGACAAAGTGGCACGAATACTCTGTTTTATAAGTGCGGAAAATGTTGTGACAGATCTGACCGCTCTTAATATTATATGGTTGTTAATTAAGGTTCATTGATCTTCTTCTAATACAAAAAGTATTCTTAGAAGATCATAGACCTTTACATGAAAGATTTATGTATAAATAGATAAATGTACAGTAATACAAGGATAATTAAATAGACGAAAACAGATCATTGATATTGTATTAATATTATTATTGTATCTAACGTACAACATAATAAAATAAATATTATTATATTTTCAATTTGACCCTTTTTATTTTTTAAATATACAAATTTTTTATTTAATTAAAATTATTTTTTATTTGATTAAAATTACAATAGAACAATACAATAAAACAATAGGTAAAAAAAAAATAATTGATGAAATATATTTTACATATATGAATTTATAAACAATATTAAAAATAATTTTTATAAATTATTATAGAAGCATTATTTCTTGTAAAAATAAAGAAATAAAAATAATATAATTTTAATAGAAATATTAATAGAATAATTAATAATAATAATAATAGAATAATATTATTTAATAGAAATATTATTAATATAATTTTATTAAAATTTAATCTTTTATTAAAAATTAATTTAATCTTTTTTAATAATTTTATTTGTACTTTAAACACTGCAGTTTTTTATATATATTTATATAATATGAAAATATGTTATCAAAAAGAATTTTATTAAAAAGTATACTTATGAACAATTTGTAGTATCTCTTATATAAAAAGATACATTAAAATTAAAATTAATGACTATCATACTGATAGGAATGTATTTATATATAATACTCATAAGTACTAAACTGGTATATTGTACATCAAATATTAATTTTCTTTTATTTTTTCTTGATTTATGACATCAGTTTCAGTATATTCTTTTGCAATATCAATATACTAAAAATGTTTATTTGTTAATAATTAATAATAAGAATTATTATTATTTAATGTTTTAACTTACCTTCCGAGGTACAAGAATTTCTAAAATTTGTAAAATAATGTAGCATAAGGATATAACAAGTAAATAAGGTAATACTCCACTTCGAATATAGCTTACTAATTGTTGACCTAAATTTTTATTACTTTCTTGTTTTACTAAATTGTATACTACTTCTGTTCTTTTAGTAATATTAAACCAGTTATAAAATAAACTTATTTTTTTATGCATTTCCATTGGACATTTAGTATTGCCTTTTTTATAATCTGTAATAGCAGATTCTAATCCTTCAATAAGAGCAGGTACTGTAGGTTCTACTAAATAAATTAAATCAGGAGGTAATACTTCAGGTATACCACCAACTTTTGTTGAAACAACTTGTAAACTATAATAAATAAAAATATTATATTATTAAATTAATAAAAATAATTTTCTTAAGGATACAGTCAACATTTCAATTAATATTTTACCCGCATGACGCAGCTTCAACGATTGCCATACAATATGCTTCTGTCAAACTTGTATTAAGAAATATATGTCCTTTATTTAATACATGTCTAATTTGAGAATGTTCCAAACTTCCAAGTAATGTAACTCTATGTTGTAATAAGTTTCTTTCTCGTACTTCTTCTATGAGCCATCTTTTAGGACCATCTCCAGCAATTAAAAATTGAACATCTTGGTATCGACTACAAAGATCGGGTATAATGCGAGCTAATAAATCGACACCTTTGCGATATACTAATCGCGATACAATGACTATTGTAACTACAATTAATAATAGCAAATAATATTATGCATCTTTTTTTAATCTTAATATTTCATAATATATATGAAAATACAAATAACTCACTAAAATTATCATCTCTTTTATTAATATCAGGCATAAATAATGTCGTATCAACTGCATTTGGAATAACAGAAACCTTCTCTTTTAAAACTTTTGCTCTTAATACTGTATTTTCTTTTCCAGTATGTGATACACATATACAATGATTGCAATCAGCTAATGATATTTCTAAAAATTTATTTGTTAAAATTGCAGATGCATCCGCAAAGCCAAAAAGTGAATGATCTGTAAAAATAGTCTAAAATCCCAGTAAAAAAAAAAAAACATAATATATAAATATTACATATTTTAAATTTCAAGGGACTTACTTTCAATCCCATTAAACGGCCAATTAACATTCCTTCATGAGCAAGAGCAGAGAATGCAGAATGACCATGCACTATTTGAATTTCTTCTCTTAAATAAATATATCTAATGAGAGGAATAGAACAAATCATTGTGGGAAGAACACATTGATTGTAAAATACTTTTACTGGTATATAATATACCTTAAAAATAAAATAAATACTTTTAATGTGAAAATAAATTGATAAATATTTTTAAATATTTTTTATATATTATACATACTTTTAAACCATTTGTCATATAACGTATTCCAATTCTATCACCATAGGAATGAGTAAGCACTACAACTTTATGTCCACGTTCTAATAAACATTGAGATAAATTAAAAATATGTTCTTCAACACCACCCATATTAGGATAAAAGAAATCAGATACCATACTGTAAATTTGAATAATGTCAATTTTCTTTTTTTTTATATTAAGATTTTATATTAAATATACAAAATAAATTAATTTACATAAGACTTAAATACAAACCATATTTTATGTTTTATGCTGTTCATTTTGATAACTAAATTGCAACATGACTTATATAATAAAATAATGTTATTCATTTAATATAAAAGAAAACATTTTAAATATTTAAAATTTTTTTGTATTGATATATGTAAGTGCAAATAAGTCGTATAATTTATCAATTAAGTTAGTATTTTATAAATTTTGTTAAATAATTTTTACATTATTATATCAAATAAAATTAATTTCTAAAGAACAATAAATTTGGAGAAAATTCACAAATCTAAAAAGAAATCTAGATTTAAATAAGGTTATAAAAGTTTAAATTTCTCATAGCATAGAAATAAAATTATTTTTTTAAAGCGAAATATTTTAGAATATTTTTAGAACAAATAAATTTATTACAAATTTATTATTTGTTAATTTTAACAAAATAGAATAAAAAAAACACATACATTTAAACATTTAGATTTTTTTAAAAATTTTTTTTTAAAATTAATGAATTTCGATGTTTTGTATTTCAAAAAACGAAAATCAATTCAACAAAAAAATTAATTTTTTTTATAATTCACTGTATATTATGAGATACAGAAGATTGAATATAAAATATATATATTTTTTTTATTTTCCTTAAATTTATTTACATATTTGAAAATCCTACATTTCTGTATATTATATATTAAATATAAAATATAAAATATAAAATATATTGTATATTAAATTTATTCAAAATTCAAAATTTAAATTATGATATCTCGAAACATATATATGCGATAGATTATTAATCCTATATTTATAAATTTTTTTATTTTTATTATATTTGTATATCCTTTAAAATAAGTTTTTTTTAAGTTATAATTATCCAATAAAAAAATGCTAAAAGAGCATTACAAGTATACATAATTATTATTTTATTCATATAGTTGCAATTATTACATTGTTCATGACTAAACATAGAGAAAGAAAAAGATGAGGTAAAAAGAGATAGAAAATATACAAGAGTTATTAGTTGAAAGAAGATAGAAAGATAGTGGAAAGAAGAAGGCAATGTATGGTTTGGTTATATGTCGATGGTTGGTGCACAACAAATGGTCGACATGTTTCATCAACGATGCGGTCGTCGTGTAACTTTAACAAACAACAATTGCACGGCCATACGGGATTTTTCAGAATATAATTATGGATTGGTTCTCAGTGCTGAACCACTTAAGGATGATGAACTTTTTGAAATTCGCATTGATAAAAAGGTATCAAATTATAAACTTGTCTAGTACTGGTATCGCCAATCCTTATATCTGTCAAAACATTGTTTACAATGTTGATAACTTGAAGTTTCTAATTTATTATTCATTTATTTAGAATTTAGATAAATTTTATACTTCTTTTAAAGATTGTCATATAATATATCATTGATGAATCAAATTATAAACGCTCGTACTTTGTTTGTTGCTTTTACCTTTTTTTTTAATGACTTGCTACAGATTCGATATTTTATTACCAAAATTGTGATTAATACATTTTTATTTAAAATTAATATATTCAAATAAAATTCAATAAACTATTTTTATTGAATTATAAGTATACAATAAAATGCTACAACTAAATTAAAAATTATAACTACTAATTATCTTATATTATATTATTTACACCTTGAGTTATCTATAATATTATGTAGATGACATCATGGAGTGGTAGTATAGAAATTGGAGTAACAGAATGTGATCCAGAAATAATGGAATTACCAGCTTGTGCCACTAATCTACGACAAGGAACATGGATTATGTCTGATTCTGGCATAATGCATGATGGTATAAGAACAGTAGAAATGTATGGAATGGATTTGAATGAATTAGAAGAAGGAAGTACATTAGGAGTAATGAGAACATCTAATGTAAGTCAATATATATTTATATTTTAATTGTATCTTAATAAATTATTTTATATGTACATATTACATATATATTACATACACATTATATGTATTTATTAATCATTTTTCTTTAAATTCTAGCATGAATTGATATTTTATATTAATGGTGTTTCTCAAGGAGTAGCTGTATGCAATATTCCAGAACGCATTTTTGCAGTAATAGACATGTATGGTGATTGTGTACAAGTGACTATAACTCATCCTCAAATTGCTTCTGCTTTATGTAATGAACCAAAAGATGAAGTTGAAATTAATAATGATTATGCTCTTGGAGAAGCATCTAATTCCTCAACAACTAATCTAGTCGCTAATTTGAATGTCAATTTAAATGTTAATGTTAATGTTAATTTACCTAAAAACCCAAGTCCTGCTGCCATTAGAGAAGATAGATTGAGATTTCATGAGAGAGTTGGCTCACTTGTAAAGTTATCTAATAATGCTAGAACTGCAGAAAGGCGCAGACCTTTAGATGAATTTAATAATGGAGTAGTAATGACACACAGACCATTACGGGATAATGAATTATTTGAGGTAAACAATGAAAATGAAAAATAAAAATAATTTTTAACACAAAAAATTATATATTTATATTATTATTATTATAACTATTTTTTAATAGGTACGAATTGATAGACTTGTACACAAATGGTCAGGCAGTATAGAAGTTGGAGTTACTATGCACAGTCCAACAGCATTAGAATTTCCAGCCACAATGACTAATATGCGATCAGGTACAACAATGATGTCTGGCTGTGGAATTTTAGTAAATGGAAAGGGCACTTGTCGTGAATATGGAGAATTTAATTTAGATGAATTAAGGGTAATTAAAATAAAAAATAAGATGATACAGTAATGAACAGTAATTTATATACTAAAACAATATAATAATTTATATAATAAAACAAAAATATTATTTAGGAAGGTGATAGAGTAGGTATGATAAGACGAAGTAATGGAAATCTTCATTATTTAATAAATGGATTGGATCAAGGTATTGCTGCTAAAGTACCTGCTGGTGTATGGGGTGTTATAGATTTGTATGGTATGACAGTAAAAGTGACAATTGTTGATCGTGATGAAAGGGAAGAACAAAATCTAGTTACTAGAAGAAATACATTACAATTGCAAGGCTTAAATGGTAAAAATATCATATTAATATTTGATATCTGTGATTTATCATATAATATTATGATGAATTTTTTGAATATTTTTATCATTTAGAAACAGAAGAAGAACCACCAGACAGACTTATGTTTCATTCTTGTTGCGGTACGCATGTCGAAGTAATTAATAATGGACGTACTGCACATAGGCCTAAGTAAATAAAAATTTATTTAAAAATATATAAAAATACATAGAATTTTATTGAAACATATATATATATATATAATACAAGATCTATATATTATTATTTTTTTAGTGTAATGGATGATTTCAACAATGGTGTTGTATTAACTTCAAGGCCATTAAAACCAAATGAATTATTCGAAGTAAGATTGGATAAAATTGTAACAAAATGGGCAGGATCTATTGAAATAGGAATTACCACTCATTCTCCAACCGAATTAGAATTTCCCTTCACTATGACAAATGTTAGGTATGTAAAATAATATTTCCAATTTATATTGATATATATATATATATATATATATATATATATATATATATGTGTATACATATATATATAAATTTTGTTAAATTTATGTTAAGTTTATCGCCCATATTATTGCTCGAAGGTGGTCATGTCCCTTGCAGATCCGGCACATGGATGATGACAGAAAATGGAGTTATGCATAATGGCACTACCATAATAGATCAATATGGTCAAAATCTTGATAGATTACAAGTCGGAGATCGTGTAGGTGTAATGCGAAAAGAAAACGCAACGTTACATTTTTACGTAAACGGTGCTGATCAAGGAGCCGCAGCAATGAACGTGCCTGAGAAAGTTTACGGTGTTATAGATCTTTATGGCCAGGCAGCACAAGCAACTATAGTTTATAATACAGACTTCTATAGCCCTACCACAAATAATTCAAGTTTTAGCAATACAACATTATATAGGTTTGTAAATTTTATTTAGTTTTAAAGTATGATTGAAAATATTTCTTATTAAATATTTTTCTTACATAGTGATTTGAGGTTTCATCATATACATAGTAAAAATGCAAAAATAATAAACAATGGATTAACTGCATTGAGGCCTAGAGCTTTAGGAGAATTCAACGAAGCCATTGTAATCGCAAATCGCGCACTACGTGATGGCGAAATGTTTGAAGTGACAATTGATAAAATGGTTGATAGATGGACAGGAGCAATTGAAGCAGGTGTATATTTAAAAATAAAATTTATATTTTTTTTTTTTTTGCTTATCAGAATACTAGAAAATATTTTCTAGGTGTAACTCTTATAAGACCTGATGAATTGGAATTTCCATCTACTATGACAGATATTGATCACGATACTTGGATGTTATCTGGATCTAACGTTATGCGAGATGGTGTTATTTTAAGAAATAATTATGCTTGTGATTTAGATAAATTAGTAGAAGGTAATCGCATTGGTATGATGCGATGTTCAGATAGTAGTTTGCATTATTATTTAGATGGAGTAGATCAGGGACCTGCTTGTACAGGTGTACCGTCACATATCTATCCTGTGATTGAATTATATGGACAATGCGTTCAGGTATACTATTCTATACTTTTTTATAAATATAAAATGATAAAAGATATGATATATATATGTTAATTATTTACAATTGTACAACCAGGTTACAATTGTACAACCAGAACGTAGAGATCCAATTACACAACAGTATTTGCCATCAGAAAACAGTACTAGTCAACAACCTACATCTGTAATTCAGCTTCAAGCTCAAACAGAAATAATGCATAAATTTCATGAATCTGTTGGCTTAAATGTTCAATTAAATAGTGATAGGACAGTAGCAACTAGGTGTAGAGAATATAATAATGCTATATTATTAAGTGAAACACCATTAGAAAATAATGAACTTTTTGAAATTGCTATTCAAGAAGTTGCTCGTCAATGGAGTGGTTGCTTAAGGATAGGTGTTGTAAAAAATGAAAGTGGAAATTGGTTAACATCTATGAATCTTGTACCTGGTATGGGATCTATTTCAACAGATGCATGGTATTTAACAGGTAATATTAGAATAATATAAAGTAAATGTAATAAATATTATATCATTTACTATATTTTTTGATTTTATATATTTAGGTAATGAAGTAAGACATAATGGTTATGTTTTATGTATAAATTATTGTCCAAGTTTGGAATGGCTGCGTGTTGGTGATAAAATTGGATTGAAACGTACTCATGAAGGTAATTTAAAGTTTTATATAAATGGAGAGGACATGGGTATAGCGGCATCAGGCATACCGGAAATGGTGTATGCTGTGATCGATCTTTTTGGTAGTACAGTGGCTGTAAATATAACAAGTAGTAAACAACAAAACAATGTAGTATCTCCAAATGCAAGCTTGAGATTACAAGATTCTTTGGAATTATTGTTAGATCCTATGCCGCCTGTTTTGCGAAAGTACGTTTGTACATTAATTATATTCAATGTAAATATCTTTTTAATATTTGAAAATATATAATATTATTGCTTCATATATATAGTGATGCTGGAATGGACACATCTATAGATATATCTGAAGGAAAATTAGTAAACGATACAATACTTACGCCGACACAATCTGCAGCTCATTTGACAGGAGAAAATGATTGGAATTATGAATTTCATGAAAATCATGGTAGAAACATTCAACTTGAAAGTAAAACAATTGCACGAAGAGTTGCAAGTTATAATCAAGGTATTGCTTATAAATATAGATTTATTAATTGTAATATTTTTTATATTATATTATATTTTTAAGGAGTGGTAATGTCTAGTCGACCCTTAATGAAAGCTAAGCCATTTTTAGTGAAAATAGAGAAATTGAACAAACGATGGGTATCTAATATTTATTGTGGTGTAACTTGCATTTCACCTGAAAAAGCTAATTTTCCTTTAACTGCTCTTGGCTTTAAAAAGCATTCTTGGATTATTTGTAGTGATTGGATATCACATAATGGTATAAGAGTAAGTATTCATCAAATTGTTATAAGATGTAAAATATATAATAAATTTAATAAATTTTATAATATTAGGTAAAAACAAAGTATGGACTTGCTTTAGAAAATCTTCATGTTAATTCCGTAGTGGGTGTATTTATTGATGACGATAATAGATTACATTTAATTATCAATGGCATAGATCAAGGTGTAGCTGCAACAGATTTACCACCTTATGTTTATGCTGTATTTGATCTATATGGACAGTGTGAACAAATTTCCATTCTTGCAAATAACGGAGAACCGTTTTCATCTACTACTATTAGTAATACCCTCACATCTGTAGAATGTATAAAGACAAAGCTGGAGGATACAGAAAATTCAAGAGAGAAAGCAGATTTAGAATGTCATGAGAAAGAAAATATTATGGCAGCTACTTCTTCAGATCTATCTTCCTCCACTTCACCAAGTGTGCCGAGTCAATGCAATTCAAATGTTAAAGATGATGATATTGTAGGATATACAACGCGTAATAATGATAATGTGCATTTAGCAAATAATATTGAAAATAAAGCAGTGCCCAGTATCTCAGACAGTAATAATTTAGATTCGAATTCAGATATAAATCATGATATAACACGAAGTATTAAAAACAAATCTTATGATAATTCAAATCAGTTAAATAATAGTGCGATATTGAATAGTCAATCAGAAAATTTGAGTATTAGAAATGAATGTACAAATGTAGAAATAAATAACGCAACTAATATTAATATTAAAAATGGCACTGCAAACAGCACCAGTAACATAACTAACTTAAATACTAACACTAATAATGCGATAAACGAAAGCATAATGTCTAATAGTCAAGGGAATAATATGAGTTCCTTGCATCAAAATAATGCATCTGTTAATATGTTAAATTCATCTCAGACATTTTCCTCTCATAATACATTAAATAACGCAACATCTGAAATTTCGAACACTGTTTCTTCTAGTTTCAACGAAATGCGATCAAATATATCTTGGAATAACATCGTATCTGTTGATAATTCTGTCAGTGGAAATACAATTTTAGGACAAAATACAGTCTCTATTTACAATATACCTTCTATGTTACATTCATCGTTACCGTCCACTCCTCTTGGAACAAATATAATATCCACAAAAAAGTGTGAATATTTAAAGGCGTGTATGAGATTAAAAAAATCACTTGTTTTACCAGATGAATTCTTTTCTTTAGAAGATATACTATGTTATTGTAACAATTGTTATAAAGTAGAAGGGGATAGTGCAATATGTAAGAAAGGTGAACCACCAGCAGAGTTTGCTATACCAATTGGATGGACCAGATTTCCTTTGAAACAAAGTATTAATGCTAATCAAATTCCACAAAATACAATTGATAAATGGCATGTTGCTTTTTATGGCATACGTCTGGACGCAATTAGGTAAATAAAATACATTTAAGATTCCGGAAAAAGTTTTTTATATATCTTATTTATTTATTATTTTTCTTTTTATTATTATAATTTTTTGTTTTTAGACTAATTTTGGATACAGGAGAATTAATGCCAAAAGAACAATTAGATTTGAGTAATTTAACAATGAATATAAAAATGGAAGATCAAAATCCTCAAGTAGTTTTCTCTCCTAGTATAAAATATGCAGCATCCGAAGAATTTACCAAAAAATATCCGTGAGTATATATATAATATTTTTATATATAACAATAATTAATTGTGGATTATTCTCATTTCCTATTTTTTATAGATATATCGATACTCAATCAAATAAAAAGTTAAATGCATCTACAGCATTTCAATTATTAGTAAGGCCTGGCTCATATACAATCAATTCTGGTAGTAAAGATAGTGATGATTCACAATTTCAATCTGTCAAATGGGCTACTAAAGAAGCTGGAGCTACAGTTATCATGGCTCTTTTAATTCATCTTGATGGATTTTAATTTATATAATACGAAAGTGAGAAAACATTTCATATGCGACTGTTACACTTTCGTTTAAAGTTGACGAATGTACATAAACATTATATACGTAATATAATTAATATTAATACGTAATTAATTAATTAATACGTAAGATAATTTTTTAAAATCAATTTTTTATCTTGAATTATTCCGTCAAATCTCCACCATGTATATTTACGTTGAATAGTATGTTAAATACTTCAGTAAAAACAATAACGATCATTTCATAAAGATCTATTACGATTTTTATTATTTTGTTTTTGATTCAATATGTTCAGTGTTAAAGACAGGTATAATTTACTAATTGTAAATCGAAACAAACTTGTAATAATCAATTCATTAAAGTACAGTAGCATGTATATCAAATACATAATACATATGTATTATGTTAAACGTTTAATGTAGCTATTGGCCAAGGTTTATAGTGATAAAGATTATGTTGAGAAAATTTGCACCAAAGGTTCGTCGCTACATTAAAAAGTCATGGTAATTTTCAAGTTTTATGCCTAATGAATATCAAATTTTTGAATATTAATAAAATTTCTCTCTCTCTTTTTTTTTAAGCACAACATTAATAAAAAGATATGTTATCTATAAAATGTAGAAATAAAATAATAATGTTGTAAATCACACTACAAGGCTACAATAGAGAATTCAGGTATAAAATTCCCATAAAAATGAAAATATTCGGGAAATGTAATAACTATATTTTCAAATACGCTATCTAGAATTGCATCTTTTTGTGAATATCATGTGCACTATTTATAAATGCATTCAAATAATACATGGAAGAAAACGAATGTGTCTGTCTTTTACAAACTACTCATTCAATCAATTTTATCATTATTTGTTTTGCAACTATGAAATCTTGATAATTTTCAATGTAAATTACAAGCATTTATATAAAATAACATTTTATAACATTTAATATATATAAGTAAACATTTAATATATATAATATGTAATATAATTTTTTTTAAGTTTTATAATTTTTCCATAAAGTTATCATTTTCATATATCAAAAACTTCACGGGAATCATAAAATTCGAGTGAAGAATATTTCAACAAAAAATAAAATTTTTCTCTGTTTTAATTTCTTCTCTATTATTTTTTTTTTTTTTTTTTTTTTTTTTTTTTAATATTGTATTAATATTTGTTTCATAATTCTACACCCAAATTCGAACATTTTGATCCCAGGAGCAGGAGGCAATAGCCATACCATTTCCAGTAACGCTAAGCGATGTTACACGATTTTCGTGGCCCGTCAAAACACCTTTGAATGAAAGGTAAAGTCAGTCTAATTTTAAAAAACTTAATTCTAATATCTATTTTATCAATTGAATATTTACCATTATGTTGATTCTTTAGTGTATCCCATATATGAATAGAATTATCATCACTTCCACAAAATATGAATCTTCCGCTTAAAGATAAACCACAAGATGTATATCCGGGATTTGAATTTGGAGGTTTAAAGGTAGCTAACTGTTGATCCGATCTTAGATCCCACAATCTCGCTGTCTTATCTTCCGAAGCTGTTACAAAAGCTTGTCCCGAAGGATGATACTAAATAGAACATAATTTTTTAAAAGTAAGGCAAATAAGGTAAGTAAAGTTATCAAAATTATATTATAATTAACAGTAATTAAATTTAAAATTGTATTTATATTTATCAAATAGTATAGATATAGATATTCAATATCAATCAATAATAAAATAAATAAAATAATAAAATTTTCTATACTAACACAAACAGAGTTTACATCAGCTTCATGTCCAAAGAAAGTTTGTTTTGCTTTCTCTTCTCTTAAATCCCATAATTTACATGTTCGATCTACCGATCCAGTAACATATGTGTTTCCATCTGGAGATAAACTAATACTAACCACATCTCCAGCATGCGCGCAAAAATCTGTAGTTTTTTTGTTTGCTTCCAAATCCCATATACATCTATAAAGAAATTTTTAAATTAGTAAAAAATAAATATTGATAAAAAATTATTATATCTAATTTTTTAGATATGGATACATTTTCATATCACCGGATCCAGTGATTATTTTTTTATCTTCCAAAAATCTGCAGGATGAGAGAAAACCTTCGTATCCTAATAATTCTCGAACGATCTTAGCTGATCCTGTGGCATCACGATTGTTCACATCATAGATAGTACACATATTGTCCATACCACCACAAGCAACGAAATTTCCCGAGGGTGCGAAAGCTACTGACATTACCCATGCTGAGCGCAATGGGATTACTTGGACTTTGTTTCCAGTCCATGAATCCCAAATAATTAATTTTCCGTCCAGTGAACCAGTCACGCAATGTCTAAAAAGAGATTCTTATTTAGATCATTCAAGATTGGAGATGTTGCGGTTGATTTCTTGGAATAAAGATCAAAAGATCGATACTCAATACTGACCTACTATCACCACTATAATGTACCGAATTTACTTTATTGATATGTCCCTTTAATAATTTTTTAGTAGATAATTTAACTTTTGGAGCATCTGCTACACTACTACATGTTTCCTCCAAAGTTGTATCTTGTTGTTTCTTTTGATCTTCCTGGTATGCAATAGAACAAGTTTTCAATTGATATCAAGGTATGATATTAAAATTTTTTCTATTTTAATTAAAAACATTTTTCTAATACAACCTTGCATCTATTGATCAAATCTTCTAGCTCTTTTTTTAAAGCTATGGTTTCTGCATCATCCTTCCCCATTTTCTACTTAAATCTTACTTTGGAAACTTATCAAAGAACTGAGATTGAAACACCAACTATGATAGACGTACGAATACTGCGAATAAATTTTTATCAAAATGTAAAAGAAGCCTCAGCATTGTCTACATTACTACCCCAGTAATCATATTAAATTGACGCTTAATCCTATTTGTTCGGATCTCTGATCTAACTTAATTATCTACATATACAATAACCCTTATTATTTTTCATACGTAACTTTTTTTATAATATGATCATTATATTATATTTTTAAAATTCTTTATTTATTTTTCTTATATAAAATATGTTTTACAGTTATAGGAAATGGAAAGAAGAAAAAAGTACGCGGTTACGGTATATAAGTTCTTATAAAAAGTATAATCCGTCGCGCTTTCGAATTCCATTTCTCCTATAAATGATTCGATTTGTTTAAATCGATTTAGTTCTATTGAATTATTGATCAGAATTAAATCTATGTATTATAATCAATTTATATTTATATTGTTAGGAAAATAAATTTTGATAAAACATACAATGTATCATAAAAAAATATTTATTTAATAATTCTTTTAATTTTTTAATACATACAAAAAATTTAAACAAAATTAATTTTTGTTTAATACAAAATTAAATTTAATATAAAAAAATTTACATTTTATTGATTATAAACTTATGTATCAGAATCATGATATATAAAAAAAGAAATATTATATTACTTAATGTATTAATATTAAATTATATAAGTGTTAATATATTAGCCAAAGAATTTTATTTCAGTTCATTTCGAGATGGTAATGAAAGTGAAACATGTAATGAAGATATAACGAATATATTTGGACAAATTATTATTAAACGTTATAAAACGAAAGATTTTTGTGATAGCAATATAAAGGGTAAGTAATATTACAATACTATAAAATAATTGTAAAATAATATATTACAAAATAATTATAAAATTATTCATAATATATTTCTTTTATGTTTTATTTGTTTAAGTTTAAAAAGTTAAAAAAGAAATTATTTTTGATATATTCAAAGAATTCATAAAGGATTACCAACTTTAAAATTTAAAATTTTATTAAGTTGGTACATTGTAAAGTGACATCTTCAAAATATTATCGACAGTGCACATTTATTTAGTCGATAATTATTTTATATATACTACATACATGAAGTATTTATAGTGTTTCGTAATTAATAACATATAAAGATATAAAATATTGTTATCTTTTGTCTAATATTTCAAATATTTTAAAGGTACAATAAAATCAATTTTTTATTCTAAATCTATAATAAAATGGGAATGACACAACATATACTAAAATTCGATACTATGGTTTTTATCACTTTCAACTTTATTAAATTAATTAAAACACAGAGTAGTTATTCATATTTAAATTATTATTGGTTTATTATTAATCGAAAATACCCACAAAAATCATTTTATGTTTACTCAAAATGAAAGACAGTAAATGAAAGACAGGTGCCGAACGTAATTGTCAAAGGTAGTAACTTTCGTTCAAAAAGTGTGGGAGTAGTTACGAACTTGCTTTCTGTCCTTCGGAAGTAGCTTAGTCAGAACAGTGCATTTGATACGTTCTTCTGTGCGTTCGCGGTATTTTTCAGTCTAAAATGCGTGCAAAGAATGTTGGATGCTATCTTTTTTGGAATCTGTTTCTAGCCTACCACGTGGTTAGCGAGATTCCGCCATCAATAGACAAAGACGGTAATAGTTCATTGTAGCTCTCTTAACTTTACGATTAAAAAAGAAATATTTATTTGTTTTATAATTGAGTTAATGTTTATGAAAAATTCATTCAAATTAATTTTTAATAGATAATAGAGAAGATAAATTAAAACAATTATTAATGTTTATTTTAATATTATTAATTATTAACTTTTATTATATTGTATGATCAATCAGTTCGATAAGTAGAAAATATAAACAGGAAAGCAAAATTTTTTTTTAGTCTATTTTATTATTTTTATTTTTATTTTTTTTTAAATTATACATTTTCTAAATTATACATATTAATTTTATATAAAAAAAATCATTTAAATTATACAAAATTAATCATGATATGTTTTAAAAGAAAATATTTTTAAAATTTTAATACTTAAAATAGTAAAATAATTAATCCATTTTTTTAAATACTGTTTTATTTTATTTAACACAAAAATTTTTGAAAAATTATGTTCGTGGTACTAATATTAAGTTTTACAAAGATGAAATCTTGTAATAATCTTATTTATTGCTTCTTTTATAATCTTTTAAAAGGGAAAGTTTTTGGTACATTGACCCTAAAAACCGTATAAGATCTTATAAATTGAGTTTTTTAATCGATTATTTTAAAATAATTTATTTTTTACATTAGTGAAATCTAGATTTCATTTATTTTATTTATCAAGTGATTGTGAACTAAAGACAATTTAACTTTTTTTATTTATTTATGTACGAGATTGTAATATTTCTATCTTTGACGTAAGTTTACTTTAAAAAAGAAAATTATTTATTATCTATACTTTCTTGCTGATATATTATTAGATTTATTGAATTAATATACATTATAAAAAGAATAAAAAAATTATTAAAGAATAAGTTATTTATAGAATATATAAACATATTATAAAAGTACTAATAAATATTTATTAATATTAAGAAATAACGAAAACCAATCTATAATATAAATTTTTTAAGGAATTAAGTACATAATTAATACATATTTACTTATAAATATGTATATTTAATTAATATATAATTAGAAAAATATATAATTGGAACATTAAAGAAAGAACACAAATCATATCAAGACTCATATATAGAGTAATATGCATCCTTGAATCTTTATGGAGCAACTTGACACTTCTTACAATGATATAACTGTAGCAAAAAAGTATTTTAGTATTTTTCAAATAATATTTTAAAAATTAATTGCATATATATGTTTAAAATAATTAATTATAAAAATTAATTATTATAAAAAAAATATATTTTACAGTTATATTTACAGTTATATTTGAATAAATAAAAGAAACGTTTTTTTTTTTTAAAGTAATTAGATCGTACACGATATTGTTATCTTCCATTTCCGGTTACATGGGCATATGACATTGTGAAGATATCTTTTTTTCTGAATCTTTTCTCGTTATGACATTTTTTTCTTTTCATGTATTTTTTTTAACTATTTTTTTAAATTAACTTATTAAAAAAAATAATACGATTAATTAATATTATCAACAAAATTTTATTTGAGAAATCTCTTCAACAATTTTACAAATAAAAAAAATATTACGCATTTATTTTTGCTTATCAATAGTTTAATTATAATTAAATAAATATATAAAAAGTGTATATAAAAAATGTATATATAAAAAATGAAGTAAATTTTTTTTTTTATAAAAATAAAATTAATTTTTTCAATTTTTTATTTTTAACTAGAAATGTTAGATTTTACAATTTGTAATCTTTTTAATAATTGAAGAAATTCATTTTATCAATAGTTTTCTTGAGAGATGACGTGACTTTTAACACGATGCAAGCTATATTATATTCGAATCATGATGTCACGTAGAAAATGTAGCACTTATGAGAATCGTTTAGTTACTACTCGTTCAATGAACTGAGTTCATATGTTGATATTATTTCTCCAGAAATAGATAAACTCTTTGACTTCTAAGAGAGTCAAGAATGCTATAAAAAGAAGAAACGAAAAAATACAATTTTTCTTAATTTTACAAAATTTATTTAAGTAAAACATTTATTATTGAACTTTAAAAATTTATTTATTATTTTTCATCATTTTATTTATTGTTTTATTGATCAATTGTTGTAACATAGAATTATTATATGTTTAAATATCTTACATTTTTTAAAATTATATGTCATGAAAATCTTTGTTCAATCTCGTTTTTGCGAAGAAATGATTGATTTGAATTATTTATATTTACGAATTATTATTGTGTATTTAAATTTAAATTTCCTGAAATTATGAAATAATTGTTTATTATATCAATTTTTTTTTCATTTATTTTAGAATATTATAAATATCATTTAAATTGCAGATGTGCTCGTATTCACTGTCGCTACGAAAGAAACCGATGGCTATAAAAGATATCTTAGATCAATCGATGTTTATGGATTTCGCGATAACTTAAGAGTTCTTGGTATGGGAACACCTTGGCTAGGCGGTGATCATGTAAAAACCAGTGTAGGAGGAGGATACAAAGTTAATCTTTTAAAGAAGGCTCTTGAAGAATATCAAAATGATGATGATAGGATAATTATATTTACGGACAGGTTTTTAGCACATTGGTTTTTAATCTGTTTCATTTTTAATTCATATTTTAATAATAGTCTTTATGTTTCAGTTATGATGTAATATTTTTAAGTGATTTAACCGAAATCATCGATAAATTCAAGAACATGAATGCTAGAATTTTATTTTCTGCAGAAGGAGCTTGTTGGCCGGATAGATCATTAGCTTCTAAATATCCTTCTGTAATACGAGGAAAACGTTTTTTAAATTCTGGAGGCTTTATAGGATACGCTTCAGATATTTATGCGATTTTAACATATGCACCGATAAAAAACAAAGATGATGATCAATTATTTTATACTCTGGCATATCTTGACGAAAAATTAAGAGAACATCATAAAATTAAATTGGATCATAAATCTGTAATATTTCAAAATCTTTATCTTGCCGTAGGTAAGTAAATAAAGAAAATAGAATAAAAATAATGAAATTTATAAATTTATTTTTGCACAGGTGATGTAAAATTAAAATTTGAGAATGGAAAAGCTTCCCTTTTGAACACGGTTTATAACACAGAACCATTAATACTTCATGGAAATGGTTATAGCAAAGAATCATTGAATTCTTTGGGAAATTATTTGGCTCATGCATGGAGCCCTGAAGAAGGATGTATAATGTGCTGGGAAGGAACAATAGAATTAAATAAAACGATACCAGAATCATATCCGATTATATTAATCGCTATATTTATCGAACGACCGACTCCTTTCTTAAACGAATTTTTAGCTACAATATATCAACAAGATTATCCAAAATCGAAACTACATTTATTCGTTCATAACAATGTGGAATATCACCAAGATATAATCAATAGTTTTATGAAAAATGTTGGATATGAATATAATACTAGTAAACTAGTTTCTGTGAACGATGCTATGAATGAAGTTGATGCAAGAAACTTAGCTATGTATGTATTAAAAACGTATTTAAGTAAATTATTTTATATTAAACTTTATATTTTAAAATAAATATTATTTTTTAGGGATTATTGTTTATTAAAAGAATGTTCTGGATATTTCTCTATTGATTCTATTTCTCATTTAGATAACAAATATACTTTGAAACTTCTAGTAGAACAGCAACGAGAAATAATTGCACCATTATTGGTTAGACCATATAAAATGTGGAGTAATTTTTGGGGTGCTATAATGGACGATGGATTCTATGCTCGAAGTTTCGATTATATGGATATCGTGAAAAATGAACGCAGGTAAATATTAAAAATATTATAACCTGTTCCTTTAATGCAATAAATAATATTTATTATTTAACTCAAAATGTATATACATATACATTTCGAGAATTAGAAACTAGGAACTATATTTTGAAAATTATTTCTTGTTTTTTTATGACTAATTATTTTAGATAGTATCTTAAAGATAATAATTTTAGACTTTATCTATAATTATATTAAACTACTTTAAAAAATTTAAATTTAATCAAAAGCAATAGAAAAGTCAGTCTTGAAGGATCTTCGATCGATACTATACATATTATCAGCTGTACATTCGTAAACTCCAGCATCCATTTGAGTTGCAGGATCTATTTCCAATTTTGATTTTACTTTATCTTCTCCAACTTGCCATTCATGCACCTTTATATCATAAATTTTTGTCGTTATATAGTTTCATATTAAATTATCGTAATTAATATTATCTATACCAACATGCAAATAAAGATGAGTATAAATCTCAGCACCATCCTTGAACCATGTAATATGTGGTCGTGGGTTTCCACGTGCGACGCAAAGAAAAACAATTTTGTGTCCTAAAACGTACTCCAAATCAAAGTGTGATGCCAACAATATTTTTGCACCCTAATTAAATATTTTTGAAAAACAATGAAGTAATTAAAGTATGATTATATTTTATCTATAAATTTATAAATACATACATTATGATTGTTATAATATTGATCACTTTCTGGATCACGATATTTTCCAGTGATAGGTAATCCTATTTGGACACGCGATCTGGTTTTTCCTCTGCCTCGTCCTCTTCGTCCAAGAATTTCCTGACTATTTAGCAGTAGTACGATTAACAAAAATAATATCACTGTAGAACGTGGCATGATAGTTTGAGAAAAATAACCAAAAATGGATAGCCAAATCTATGTTTAAATTGGAGAAAATAGAAAAGTTTATATTATAATATAATATTATATTATAATATGTCGCAGATATTCACCGAGTACAGACAACGTATGATACAGAACTCCGATGTAACTAACAGTCACCTACTCATTGCTCCCCTAGTGTTCTCTCCTATCTATTACAGATGTATAGGCAGATCCTGCTAAACTACATGTATTATATATATATATATATATATATATATACTGGTCATTTCTTGAACATCTATTGCAACTCGGTCACTAAATTTTAAATCGATTGATAAATTTTACATGATACTGGCTAACAAACATGATTCATATAAAAAAAAAAAAAAAATGAAATATATAAGAAAGTTATTGTAATAACTTTATATTATATTTAATTCATGAATAGAATGATAATTTATTATATAAATTTGTAATGCTGTTTTCAATATACTTTATAGTTAGTACTATAGATATACTTACCACCCTTATAAGAGTCAATTGTGATTTAATGAATAAGAGCTGGGGGAACTTTAAATTTCCAAATGTGCTTTAATGCGTTGAAATACTTAACAATTGATAGCATTAATGCATTAAAGAAAATAACGAAATATATCGTATCTTTTCTTTTATTATTTTTTTTCTTAAATAAAACTTGTTTTTGATATTATAAAAATTTTCAATCTAATACTACGAAAATACTATATGAGTGAGAGAAAGAAAATATTTAAAAAAATTTTTTAAAAACAAATTTAGTATCTATAACTAAATCTTGTGCTATTAAGTTAATAAATTATATTGTTTGACATAAGTGTTGCAATTATAAAAAAAGTACTTTTTTTTTTAATAAGAAATCATAACATAATCCGTTCTAAAGCCACGACGATCAACCGCATACTGATTATCCGCTTGACATTCGTAATACCCTGCATCTTTTTGCGTAGCAGGATCAATTTCCATCTTTGATTTTAATGTGTCATTACCAACAGGCCATTCATGCACCTATAAAGTATACATATTGCAATTTTCTAAATTTCGCTTATATAAAAATTTCTATTTTTAATAGTAAAAGTACCTGGAAAAATTTATGATGATACAATTCAATTCCATCTTTCAACCAGGTGATCTCAGGTCTTGGAAATCCAGTAGCCATGCAGAAAAATGTGATCTTCCTCCCTAACATGTAATCCAGTTCAAAGTGTGAAGCTTTCACTATTCTCGCCCCCTAAAATTAAGTAACTTGTAGTATTCATATCGCTATGATTGATAAATATCTTTTTACATCTTTATTTTCGTAGTAATTAGCACTGGCAGGATTTCTGTGAGGAATCAGAATAGGCATTCGAGATTTGTAAACTCTTCCGCCACTGCGTCTGCCACCTCCTCTACCTCCACCACCTTTTGCTGCGTCTGTGCTTACTAACAATGTGATAAAAAAGAATAGGCACAAAAATTGATATCTCTTCATTTGTTCTACGATTACAAAGATGCTCAATCTGTTTGAAAAAATGTTTCTAAACAGTGTACATACACTTTACATAGGAAGTATGGAGATACACTTAAGTGTATCTTAATTTTTAAGCAACTCTAACTTGGAATTATAACACTTGTTTTAATATTAACTTTTGCAAAGCATTATACATTTATAATTATGAGATAGAAATAGTTGCTTTGCTATAACAATTGAACTTCACTACAAAGTAATTGTTGGTGATAAAAGAAACACAATGTTCAAGTGCTTACCGACTACTCGGAAACTCTACTTTTGACAAGTGGTCAAGCCGAATGTTTGGGCTTCGCCTGTCCCTACAGCCTAAAATATGAATGAACTATGCCCGATGGGCATGTCGTCATTGGTGACAGAGTTATGAATCTCAATTGGATAATTATGCATAACCCATTGCCAGTGTATTCATTGGCCAATCACGACATCACAATGATTGCCTTACAAAATATTGTCTCGCGGGAATAACAAACAAATGTACTGATCCCTCCTATGACTTTGCGTTTGCTTCATTGGCCTTGAGATCCTGAGAATAGCAAAGTGATCAAATACCTATGTGCTTATTATTTGTTAAATCAATTATTATTTGTATTAGTTTATTTGAAATCAATAATTCATCACCAATAATTATCTATTTTAAATTAAATTAAATTAAATTAAATTAAAAAACCTAATAATAAAATGATGTTCATTATGATATTTCAGGGGATTGTGGAATGTACCATTTATTAGTAATTGTTACTTAATTAATTCAACGCTAATAAGCAACAAAGAAACTCGTCCGTCTTATTCAGAAGGCGATTTGGATACGGATATGGCTTTTGCTTATGCTAACAGAGAACGATCCATTTTTATGTATGTCAGTAATAGACTTGATTTTGGACATTTGGTTAATCCAGACAGTTATGACATCACAGTGACCCATCCAGATTTATATCAAATTATTGACAATAAATTAGATTGGGAAAGAAGATACATCCATGAAAATTATTCAGAAAATTTTAACTCGAATCAAACTCCATTACAAGTAAAGGCATTAATTTTACATAAATTTTGAATATTTAGTAACTTTATGAGTCATGTTATTATTTAATTCGATTGAATTTTCATTATAGCCTTGTCCAGACGTGTATTGGTTTCCCATAGTAAACGAAAGGTTTACAAAAGAATTAATAGATGTTATGGAAAATTTCGGAAAATGGTCAGATGGATCAAATCATGTATGATAATTTATGAATCCTAATAATCTTATACTATTATTCATATTATACAATTATGATATATTTCATACTATATATAATAGAATAATTATATTTTTCAGATATTATTTATAATTCACAGGGTAAATATTTATTTTATTGCTAGTCAATAATAAAATAATTTTTTTAATAGGATCCCAGATTAACGGGTGGTTATGAAAATGTACCAACCCGTGATATTCATATGAACCAAGTAAAAAATGAACCACAATGGCTATATTTTTTAAAGGAATACGTTAGACCTCTTCAGGAACTCGTGTTCACTGGATATTATCATGATGTAAGATATTTATCTTTTAATGAATTTCAATTATTTCTAGGACCCACGTATCGAAGGTGGATACGAAGCTGTACCGACAAGAGATATTCATATGAAACAAGTCGGTCTTCATGAATCTTGGTTAAATTTTCTTGACCAATATGTCAGCCCTTTGCAAGAGCACGTCTTTATAGGCTACAGTACTAGTGTAAGAATTATAAAAACAGGATTATGAATAAATGGGAATAGATTATTAGTTTCACGATCTTGATTCATAAATAATTGCACCGTTGCACAAATTTCAGATTACAAAATACTGTTCTACAAATTGATTGCACCATTTCCTGGTGATAGGCTTCGTATTTGGGTCCATCGCAGATTTTTATAAAATTACATTAGATTGCTATATATATGTCAAATTTATATAAATATTAAACATTAGTTAAAACAGTTACAGAATATATTTTATACAATTAAATATTAAAAATTGAAAAAAATTAGTCTGCACTGTTTTGACTAATGTATTAGTGAAAAATGAATATTATTATATATATATAGATAATTTAAATTTCCAGCCACCTCGTGCTCTCATGAATTTCGTTGTAAGATATCGACCAGATGAGCAACCGTCATTGAAGCCACATCATGACAGTTCAACTTATACTATCAATATTGCTCTAAATAGAGTGGGAGTAGATTATGAAGGTGGAGGTTGTCGATTTATCCGTTATAACTGTTCCGTTACGGATACAAAACCAGGCTGGATGTTGATGCATCCTGGACGACTGACTCATTATCACGAAGGTCTTCGAGTTACCAGTGGTACTCGATATATTATGATTTCATTCGTTGATCCTTAATCAGTATGTCGAATCATAGGGCATTCTTATAGATAATAAAAAATGAAAGAAAATACTGTACAAAAATATTCAATTGTTCTCATATATATAAAATCTATGAGAAATTATATTAATATGAAAATTAGGATTGGGCATTTTTTATTTAAAATAAAAAAGAACAAATAATTATAATTTAAATAAAATAAAAAATATAATGAAAAAATATAAAAAAAAATGAATTTTAAATAAAAATGTTTGCAAATAAATTGTAAAATCTTATTTGAAAAATAAATTATTTTTAAATGATTTGTTATTTTAAATAATAATAGAAAAAAATATGAGTAGAATTTAGATAAGAAGAAAATGACTTTGGGGAATAGAAATTCCACATAAAAAAAGCATCCATAGCAAAAAAAACATTTTTATATTTTCATCATAAAATCAAATAACAAATATCTATCAGATATCAAATAAAATAACAAATAAAGAAATAATTTAATTTTAAAATACATTATTATTAAAATAATATTATTTAAAATAAAGTAACGTATAACAAATAAAAAATAAAATAAAAATTTACTTCGATAAAGCCCAATCCTGGTGAAAACTGCCGATGTGAACGAAATATGTATTTCGAAAAAATAAGATTCTCATATCGATGTTATTTTTTTAATATAGAAAAAATATAAGTGTGAAACAGTTAGTAATCGTAAGTGTTTGTATAGAAATAAAATGTTAACTTGCATTTGTATTTATCATTTTGAAAATACCATATAACAATCACTAGTAAATCAGGTCATATTGTTACGTCCCTTTTTATTTTATTATTATTAAAAACTTGTTTTTTATGTTATTTACAACTTACGATTTCTACACAAATATATTTACATTTTAATTTATATCGTTCAACGCAAAGCTTTGTTTCTTTTTTACCAGAATTTAGCTGTGCTTTTAGATAATAATTATGAACATTTCCTAAAAAATTACACACGCCACACTGTTTAAAAAAAAAACATTTTCTCATTTCAGACTTCGCGTATCTATACAATTATTAATTATTAATTATTAATATATTACAATTAGGAACATTCGTAGGATAAGTAATCAGATTAACATCACTAAATAGCAAACTTTGAAAAATTGATTTAATCATATTCTCGCATATTTATTTACATAGTAAAAAAAAGTTCCTGTCAGAGTGATATTAATTGCAATTGTAGTATGTCACAATGCAATAGCAATATACTTAAATTCATTTAAAAAACACTTTCTGTATGAAAAAATAAGTACATTTTAAATTAATTCAAATTATATATAGTTGTTTATCGGCTTGAACCAGCGCCTTTGGTTTTTAATATTTTTTTTACATATATTTAATTAATTTCTTGCCATAGATAATTTCAATTAATTCGTACATATTATATAACTTAAATTTTTCATCCAGAATGCCACATAATCTAATTAATTTTAATATAACAAGCAATGACGTAACTTTGCAACGTAATAATACGTTATAAAAATGTTCTCTGCCAGCGAGTATTTTTACCGCATAGATACTTGATAAACACGAATGCTATTCAAATTCACAGTTTAATTGAACTAGGCATTATTTACAGTTTGTTCAATTCATAGAAAAAGATAAGATTATACATGATTTTAATAACCCGCTCGTTTCAATTCATTTAACTGATGTGCTAATTTTTCCTCTTTAGTTCTTCTTGCTTGACCCAACTTCCTACATTCGATATAAGTGCTAAGAAAACGTTCAACATCTATTTTTCTATTTAAGAAATTCTCAGCAATTCGTTCACTTTCCTCATGACTTTCATCTGCTGCTTTCCTCAAACATTCTTTTATATGATCCGGAATAAATGCTTCAGATAATTTGTTATATCGTTGTATTAGTTGATCGTATCTAGTTTTTAGTGCAGTAACGATCTGAATTTTATTTGCTACGTCAGACTGCAATTCTTTAAGCTCGGGTTCTTTGGCTATATTAGCCTCTGAAAAATAGAAGGAAAAAATAAATTTTCGAAAAAACAAAAAGTGTTACAAAATAATATTGTAACACTTTATCGGAAATTATCTTACCGGCAGTTTTTTGGACCCAATCTATTGCATCATCGATAGCGGTGTTAATGTCTTTTAAATCGGAATGTTTATCCAGGAATTCATCTAATTTATCATTATCTTCATTCAATTGTCTCAATTCCTCGTTAGTTAAATTATTTAATTCTGGAAACACTACACTCTGTCGTAGCTTAGTTTGCGTTTGATTCGGCAATGATTGTTGATGATAATTCGCGTTCACGTAATGCGAATTCAAATATGTTCCAGGTTGATTTGAATTATAACCTGATGCATCTGTACCACTTCTCGAACACGCAATATATGCTGAATGTTGCGATGGAGAACCGAATTTTGTATGACTGTCTGTCACATACGCGGTACTCGAATTCGTATGATTGTAATTATAAATACAAGTATTTGCACTAGCAGATGAATACTGTGGATATTGAGTGGTATAATAAGAATTGTATGATGTTGGTGGAATTTCTGGATATTGTTGTAAGGAATAAGATGGAGAATTTCTTTCTTGTGAATCTGTAATTTATATTATAAAAAAACAATATATATTTCTTTTATTATATCTTTTGTATTATTGCACTTATTTCAAAAACACGTGTACCTCTATGAGATTTCACAGATCCAGGAGAAATGTCTTCTAACAGTTGTGGAGGATTTTTACTAAATTCTCTAATGATAGCTTGAACAACACGACCAAGATCACTGTGCACTGTAAACTGATATGTAAAACCAAATGATCTTTATGATTCTAAATAAATAAATTATAAATATAAAAGATGTTACATTAAGTAGTCCTGGTGCGCTTGTGATTTCACTATGTTCATTACACCAAGGATGATTTATGGGTGGAGAGACCCTGAGCACTGGTTTTTCCAACGGAAACTCCGGTGACAAAGAAACCATAATAGCCATTCTCCTTTCCCTAGCATTGAATTGTACTTGATATTCCACATCTTCTCTTAATTCTACTACACTATAACACATAATAGTTTAATAATTTTTTAAATATGAAAAAATTATATAATATCAAAGTTGATTGAACAATATAGAAAATTATAAAATATTTATTTTTAGGTCAAAAGAGAAACCCTAAAAATTAAATTAGATGTATATCATAATGATGACAGTTTCTCATATGATGGACGCGTAGAATGTAAATGAAGATTTTGATTTATGTTAAATAATCCATATAATAAATTTTTTCTTTATCTTTCAAATAAAAATCATAAAATGTTGCATCTTATGTTTGTATAAAAAAATATACGAAAATAAATAAATAGATTAATGCAAATAAGGTTAAAGAAGAGAGGTTACAATCGAAAATTTACTTACTTGTCGTTAAAAATTTTCAGGGTGTCGATTTGCCGTTTTCTCTTGACTGCGACATTTTCATTTTCGCCACGGAATATTCGCGATATCATTTAAGAGGGTTAAATCTAGATAAAACATTCGTTTTATCCTTCGACTTCCCTGTCAAATTAACCATCCAACAGCAGAACAGCTGTTTTGGCCTTCGTCACACTTCACAGGAGAAATCGAGATCTATGTAATATTAGCAGTATTTTTTTATATTATATACTATCATTAAAAAATTTTAATTATATTAAATATGAATCATTTTGAACACAGTAACTTTCATACACATTAATTCAAGCGATCAATATAATTGACTTATATTTCAATAAAGACACGATGATAATTTCTGTTTCATTACTTAGGCCAAGGTCAATAAATTTCTTTGTTAACCAAAAACAAAAATAAAAAAATGAAAAAATTATTTTTATAGTAATTATTACGAAAATAACTTTTGAAAGATTCAAAATAAACAAATAGAATTTTGATGATTATATTATTGTTTTATAATCACTTATATGTAATCATCTTAGTAATAATTGTTTCTTGATTATATAAAAAATTTTTTTTAATTTATTTAAAATATTAATATGTAATTATATGTAATATTCAATATTATATGTAAATATATTAATTTATATATATAAAATAATTTCTAATTTATTTATTATATAGATATATTCTTATTCTTATATTTCTCTATTGAATTATTTTAAAATTAAAATCAATTTTCTATTCGTCAATAAAATAGAAATTATATAGTATTCTTTACATAATTGTCAAATTTTGGATCAACAAAAAAAGCAATATCATTATTATTTATATATCATAGACCAATTCAAATTGAGAATATTAATTTCAATTAAAAATTACCAGATATCAGAAATACATATATATATAACTTGGAAGAATTCGCAATTTTAATTTTTAATTTTAGTATTTTAGTATTAATTTTAGTATTTAATATATAATAACATCATCTTTTTGAAAAATGTTCAAGTTCTTTACCATATTATTATCGACAATAAACGAAACTTTTTGATCTGGCGTCATTGCTTCGAAAACTTCATCTATTGAATATCAGAAATATTTTTTTAAAAATAGTTGAGATGACATTAATCCTAATTCTATTATCTTATCTTAGTTTTGAAAATGTCTTTAAAATTCAACAGATGGCACAAATGGTTAATTCTTACAATATCTCCATTCTTCTATTTTTTATTCTTTTCATCTATATTCATGTTTTATCTGTGGTGGTCTAGAGATGGTACTAATTGATTAGAATTTTTATTTTATTTTTGTCCTATTATTTGCTTTCCTCTATATTTGATCTGTAAAATTTATGCGCTCAAGAGAGAACTCCAATATTTAATTTTTTTTAATTTTTTTTTTTTAACTTCCTTTAACTTTTTTTTTTATCTAATCTATTGATTAAAAATTTTGATAGAATTTATTGTATTCAATTTTTATATGTCAAAAATAGGGCATAAATAGGGTAAGATATTTTTAGAAGCCAATAAAAGCTTGTATATAAAAATGTTGCTAAGTCTTATTTATTAAATTATAAGCAATTTACATTAGATGAAATGAGATGAAAATAGACTGTGATATATCAAAAATAGAGCAGTATCACTCTATTTTCATCTTGTTTCATTTAATGCAAATTTAATATATATATAATTATAATATATATAAATTTGTATCTTCATATATTATATTTTTTTATCTTTTTTAAAGTTGCTGATTCTTAAAAAATTAAATATGCAAAAAATAAGTATAAAACAATATTTTTCATAAATAAAATAAAAATTTTTTATCAAAATTTCGATCTTTATAAAATTTATTTATAAAAACTTACTTATCATTTACTTCTATACTTATTTATTGTAACTATTTTTTTGGATTTTGAATTGTTTTTTCAATTACTTGTAAAGATATCTTATATTTTTATTTTTTATATACTTATCTTTTCAATAAAAATTTTCATTTTACTTAGTTCTGAACATTTTTTGATAATTTTTTTCTCAAAAATTTTTAATATATAATTTTTAATTCTAAAAAATTCAGGAATATACAATATGGATCATCTAATTATATAAAATGATAATTAAATATTTTCTAAAATAATTTTTATACAATAAAAAAATAATTTTTAGTGATATTTTTAACAATTATGTTAAAATATATATATAAATATATATATGTTAAGAAATATATTATCCTATTTAAAAAATATATATATATATAATATTTAAATGATCTATAAATTATTTACAAAATTTTTGGTATGAAAGTATTATATTATAATATACAAAATTAGATTTATTTATTTTATATTTTGATTATAATCTTATTTTATATTGAATCGATAATATTGGAATAAACTGACACAAAAAGTAAAAAAGGATTGAATGACTTTTAAATTTATATTTAAAAAAGAATGTATTGCATATTATATATTTATTTTATAAATGTTTGAGAAAATACATTTCATTTGAGATGTTTATTAATATTTTGCACTATATAAAATGCTTATAATTGACTAATTATCGAAGTAATCTTGTGCCATAAAATTCTTAAACTTACACAGATGTTGTTAATAGCGAATTGGTAGATAAATAAGAATATAGATAAAAACTGATAGGTTACGAGGTGATGGAAAAAAATGAAATTCATAAAAAGTTCCATTGTAAGAATTGATAAATTGTAAATAATTTGTATATATGATAAAAATTAATAAAATAATATTTATTACTTTTTTATATCTATTTATTACTTTTTTGTGTTTGATTGATGTATCTTTTTCATGTTTGAAAATAAATAAAATTTATTTCTATGCAAATTAAACAACTATCTTTAAGGAATATTATTCTTAAAATATAAACAATTTTAATTTCATCAAATTACAAAAATTAAAAATTTTAATCATATAAACCGATAAAGTTATCAAAAGAAACCGAATTAATATTAACCAAAATTTTATCGTTTTGGAAGTAAAATTTATAAAACATGGAAATTGAAAAGTCGATAAATAAATATAACATTAAAGATGTTTACATTGTGTGAAAAGATGATACTAAATTTACAAAAATTTTACAAATTTTTTTATACATAGATAATTTTTATGCAGGACAACTTTCACTTCAGGATTTCTTCTATTTGATTTTATTTGATTCTTAACAATTGTATAATTCAAAATATTACAATGTATTATTCAAAATATTAAAATATTCACATGAATAATAAATTTATGTTATTCTATAAATAATAAATTATTTGTATACAATAGAAAATTATCTATTTCTTTCTTTTATAAAAATTATATTTATAAGATTATTTAATAGTTAAAACTTTAAATATTTTTATTTTTCATACTTAATTTTACATACAAAATTTTATATATCGATTTATAAGTTATTTGAAGTGATCATGTTATATGATCCTATTTATATATTATACTATTGATATTATTTTGTATATTGATCTCTTTAATCTCTTAAATCATTTTAAATATGTTTTCCTTAATTTAAGAATAATTGATGAATTATAATTTCAAATTTTATATTCTTAGACCTATATAATTATAAATATAATTACAAATTAAACGAATATGACTATCAAATATCATATATTCAGAATATAATAAGAGGAATTTAAACAATTTCAATAAAGTATTCAAATATAAAGTTTAACTTTTAAATTTTATGAGTAAATCATAAGTTATAACAGATACTATAGTTAAATTATTACTTAGATTTATTAATTTATCTTAATTAAATGTTTTCTTCTTTTCATATTTTTTTTCGGTCAAATTAATCTTATCACTTTTTCACTAAAAAACTTATTTTAATAAACAAACTGTGTTGTTATGTGTAAAATCATAAAAATCTGCTTCGCGATTGTATCGTTTAAAATATAAATCTTCGCTAAGCAAAGATTTTTTCTCTCGCATGTCATCACACTTAATCGTATCATTTTTCCCCACTTTTGTTAACCAGTTCATTTATATACATATACAGTAGGTTCATTATTCAGACAGAGTTTGGTCAAAGAATTTAAAGAGTAATATAATCAAATTAATATAATAATTGATTATACATTTATAATACAAAATATAAGAAATTATGGCAACTGCAAATTTTAAAGATATTTCACCATATAAAATGAAACAATTTCCACCGGCTCAGGATTATCTTTATAAAGAGTAAGTAATTTTTGGGATCTTCAATATTTATTAAAATATTTGTGAATGCTGGAAGTCACAGAGATCCATTTTTCTCTTCAAAATAACATAGAACAATTTTTTAGAATAATTTCTGTGAATCAATGATTGATTTTTTATTATTTTTTTCATATCTGAAAACTAAATCAATATTATTAGTTTTTTAGAGCATCTACAATTAAAAACCGTTCATCATCCTCGAATAAAAGTTGCTCTATTTGGTGTTGGACGTGCCGGTACCATACATTTAGCTAACATTGTAGATAATCCACGTCTTAAGCTGCTCTACATCATAGACGATGTCGAATCTAACTGGACGAAACTTAAAAGATATTGGCAACTCGATGATGTTACTTTTCTGAGTAGTAAAGAAGCAAACAAAGTGTTCAATGATCCTAAGTAAGTAATTTAGTCTCTTTTTTGTAAAAATATTTGAATTCAAAATTTTAAGAAAAAATTTTAATTCACTAATAGAAATCTTGATTAAATAATATAGTTGATATATATTTTAATAAATTAGATTAGAGAAAATAATTTCCAAAAAATTATTTAGTATTGCTTAATTGTTTGTATCACAAGATAGATTACCGTACTATTTTTTTTAATAATTTTCTTAAAAAAAAATGATAGATACAAACTTTTCTACAAATAATTTACCTTTTTTTTTAACAATAATATATTATTATATATATTAAGCATAAAAAAGAAACATATAGAGTTCAATCAATAATTAAAATTATTTTTCATAGTATTGATGCAGTTATTGTTGCTTCGCCTACGTACACACATGAGACGATTGTAACAAAATCGTTGGAAGCGAAAAAGGCGGTTTTCTGCGAGAAACCGATAGCCGAAAACAGTCCCAACACATTAACATGTTATGAAACTGCCAAAAAAGTCGGCAAACCACTGTTTTGTGCTTTCAACAGGCGATTTGATCCTAGTTACTCTACTGTCAGAGACAGAGTCAGAAGTGGAGAGGTTGGACATGTTCATGTTATTAAAACAGTCTCCCGTGATTCTCCTCTTCCTAGTATAGACTATTTAAAAATATCTGGAGGAATATTCCATGATTGTATGGTCCATGATATTGATATTATTACTTGGGTTCTTGGAGAATATCCTGTCAAGGTGAGAATCTTTGATTATTGCAATTAATTATTATTAAAGTTTTAATTAAAAATAAAATATATAAATATAAAAGTAGAATACTTAGATATAAGATATAATTAATTTAAAATTTAATTAAAATTAAAAAATAATACCAAAAAATTTATTCATTCCATTGATTTTATCCAAATATATATATAATGTTCATAATTCTTCCAATACTCTTAATTATTGCTTTAATTGTTTATTCCTGAAGTATTCTAGATATAAACATTGTCAAAAATATTTTTTTATTAATATAATTAATCTTCAATTAATTTGATTCTTACAATTAGAACTTATGAATTTAGATTTAAATTTTTTATTGTATATAATTAAATTTTTATTATATAATATAAGGAATAGTCAAAATTTGAAAAAGTTAATATAATTTTATTTCCTTACCTTATTGTATATTATTATAAATAAAAAATATTAATTTATTCTCTTTCAAAGAATATAATGATTTTTGATTTGAAAAATCAAAATATTCATAGAATTTTTTAATTATAATTTTTCAGCAAATTAAATAAATTATATTTCTTCTTCATTCTTGTTCTATGCAGTTTTCATTTAAATATTTGCTTGCAGGTCGCCACTCAAGCATATGCACATATTCCAGAAATAAAAGCAATCAATGATTATGATACAGTAGTAGTAACATTACATTTCCCATCAGGTACTTTGGGAGTAATCGATTTGTCACGAAATAGCCCTTATGGTTACGATCAACGTCTCGAAGTATTTGGTCCTAAGGGTATGATATCTGCAGTTAATGAACAACCAATACACTGTGTTACCAGTCATAATGGTATCCAAGGAGTAAACAGTCCACCAATATGGTATTCATTTCCCAGTAGATTCAGAAATGCTTATCAAGCAGAATTGAATCACTTCATTGATATAGTGCTTGGTAAAGATGAGTCGTCTGTCTTGCCAAAACAAACTTTAGCTGTATCTAAAGTTGCATCTGCCTGCGAAGAATCCGCACGTACTGGTAAAATGGTAGAAATAAAGTGGGCACCCAACGAATTACCATAAAGAATATGATTGTCCAGCGAATTTTAATAATTCAAATATCATTCCGTTTTCTTGTATCTTATAATATCGTGATACATTTATATTATTTGTTTTTTTAATCCTTTAAGTCCCAATGTTATATCTATGCAACTCTCATTTCAAAAATTTGTCAAATTCAAATCTAGCTTTGATAAATTTATGAATTCATATTTAGTTTTTTTTTTAATAGTTTTTTTATTTACAATTTCAAAAAATATATTTTTTTTAATAAAAAATAATATTAAACTTTTGATAATTTTCTTTTATATTATTTTTTAAGTATTACACATATTAGACTTACATAAAAATTGATTTAATATCAATAACTTTGATTCAATTTTAGGTAATGATTTAAAGATTTGGGCCTTAAAGAATTACTGATGTTTTAATTTTTTTCTTAAGGAAAGGAGAAAATTTTTGATTATTGAAATAATAATGTGCACATTAGTTCATACTAAGAGTAAAAAAAAAAAAAACTTTAGTGAATCTTGTTTGTTACACATTTTTTTTTCTTTCTTTCTTTTTTTTATCGATATAATAATATAAAGAAAATACAGAAAAATACCATATACCCTAAATAGATAGTAACGATACAAAATTCACATTCTTTTTATAGTTTTGATCAGAATATTTATAAAAACGAAACAATAAAAATTCTTATAAATTTATAAGTTCTATTTTTATAAGTTCATATTTTTTTGTCCATAATGTTTGCCCCTTTAAAAAAAAGAAAAAAAAATTAGAAAATCTTTATAAATTCGTCGATATGTCGACATGATTAACTTACGTTACAAAAAATCCTTTTTTAGTAAATTATAAAATTACAATGGAGGAACTTAATATTCTTGAAAGTTTGCAAGCTAGCTTTTGGTCGCGAAGCTCGAAATATTCGTGAAATCGTGTGATATATTTCTTCAATAAAATATTATTTTCTTAAGTGCCTATTTTTGTTTTGTTTTTCTAATCTAGTAAAAAATTCTCATAGAATATCTATGAATGTGGAAAAATTTTCACAAAAAACAATAAGCTTATTATTAATTCTATTAACCTAATTTTGTTTTAATTCATTTTGTATTGATTCCTAAATTTATGTATTGCGCTAATGATAGATTAGATTATCAAAGTATTTTAACTTCATAGATTCAAATCATGTTACAAATTTCTGTAATCTAATTAAAAAAAAAAAGATATAGCTAATAAGTAGTCATTTGTCACTAAAATGAAATATTGCGCCTATATAGTTGCTTATGAAATAAAATACAAACACGATTTCATACTAAATGTCGAGAAACGAGTGCTTGCCTGAGCGATGAGTTTTGATTGTGTGGTTTCCAATACATCAAAATTTACAATAATTGATGTAAAAAGTCATTACCTAAAAATCAAGTACAAATCTTCTTTCCCTAAACTTTACTGCGCAAATATGGAAACCTTCACAATACTTTTTCCTCCTCTATTGCTTTAAAGTCTTAAGGATTTTGTGAACAATGCGTCCGTGGCTTGAGTTTTGTCTCCATTAAATCTACGTAATTCCGCAATAACTTCTATTCTGTTAAATCCTAGAGATTCGATCTCTTTTACTGTCTCTTCTGTGAATGGATCATGGGAAAAAACTGTGGTTTCTATAGGACCTGATCTACTTGATGTTCCACTTGAATTATTGCTTTCTAGACCATCTAAAATATATATAAAAATATATATTAAAAAAAGGATTTTTTTCTATTCTAGCAAAACAAAAAATAAAATTATCATCCCAAAATGTAAAGTATTCGTTTGAAATCGTTAGTCCAGGTAAATAAAAGGATATGTGTTTCAGCTAATCTAGGGAAAAAAATTATTATTGAAATATTGTATTTTATTATAAAATATTCATAAAAGATTTAAATAGTATATAAATATATACTGTTAATAGGATTAAAGGAAAATTATAATAAATTAAAAGGAATATTTAAGGAAAAAAAGGAAGCCTGGATAGATACATACTTACCAGGTTGCCGACGTTGTTTTTTTGCATCTCTAGAACCATGCTCTAATGCCCTTTGAGATTCTTTTTTGTTTTTATCATCTTCCATATCGTAATTACTCGCATCGCTATAACCGCTTAACCTGAGCCACTCTGGCAATTCCCCTAATGAAGTATTTACATTGTATAATAGACAAAAAAGATATTGTGTATAGCAATGTTTAAGTTCACCTTCTGCTAAAAATGGAGTCTCTGCACCAGTAGTACCAATTTTTAACACATTTTTTTTTAAATCTATACAACATTGATGTCTTTTTAACATATCTAGACCAAGTAACATGTCCATGCTTTGTTCCGCAAGCACAGTAAACGATGTCGTTAAATGGTCATTTCCAATTTGAATTTGTACCATATGAATACGTCCAATAATCCGTTGAGTTCCAACACCATGAGCTATTCCAGCCCACCTTGAATCAACTAATCGCATTATATGGCATCTTTCGGCACATGCATCGGACATTATAGTTGATTGTGCACCTGATTTTTATATAACATATAACATATTAATAATTTTATATAATATATAATATATTAGTATATGATGTAAAAATATTTTCCTAATAATATTCATGAAATTTCAAAATATAAAAATATAACTAATATGAACACAGAATCTTAAGATATCTAAATTTAAACTACTCCCACTATGAAGAACCATATTGAAAAGAATGACTTTTAAAATGCAAGAATTTAAAAATAGATATAGTGACTAAACAGAAACCAAACAAAGATACTTAAAAATAATCTTGTCTCCAGTCCAATAATGATTTTAGTTATTATTATGTATTTATGCATGCATTTAATTTTATTTTTATTATTTATAAATGTAAATAATATTATCAAATATTTACCTGTATCAATAAATGCTTTAACTGGGAATCCATTGACTTTACAATTAATATATAACATAACAACTGATCCAAATGTTTCTGGATTATATTCCATTGCAGCTTCCATATTTGCTTCAATATTTTTTTGCCTAATATCCTCTGCAATAAACCTTTGAGCTTCTGTATCAAATGGATCTGCATTCATCATTCTTAACCTCTGTGCCTCACGTTCTTCTCTCAATTTTATTTGCTCTCTAAGTACAGTGGTAAATTTTTCTACAAATCAAAAATTGTCATTAAGACAAACTCTTAAGTTTTCAAAATATTTTTATATATTATTGCAAATCTCACCAAGGTTACCAGATAGTAAGGCACTAGCCAGTTTAGGATTATTCTGGCTAAGCAATGCTAATTGATCCGGATTAGCTAAGAACATGTCTCGAATTATTTCTGGGTCATCCTCTTTTCTAGGGTTTTGCATTCTGGCTATAGTACTGCTGGAAGCTGATGGCTGTCGACTGTTGGATGCTCCTGGCACTGTGATGGAACTGAAGTCCAACATGGGAATAGCTAGAGTAATGTATCTTCAAATTTAGTACATTCTCTTTTTTACTATAGTAAGAGTGCGCTTTTAAATAACTGATCTGATTAAGCGCATAGCGACAAACTATCTTCAAATCAAACTCAACAAAAATACAAAACTTGTGCTAAAATGAACAAGTGTGCGAATCGACAAAAAGGAATGAAGTGAAAAATTCTCACACGATGACAAAACGTATTCTAATACATTATTCTAATATATTATAAAGCGAATTTATTGACAAATGTGATGAAACCAAAGGGATACATGCTCGATCGAATCTGTTAAGCTTAGTCCACTGGGATCGTGCGTTATAAATCTAGTAACATCTGATCGAGAGACGTGACAATACAGTAAAAAGAAACGTAAATCGAAGCCGAAAAGCTAACCTCACGACCCGCCTCGATTGCCACTTTAAATAATGGTGCTGTATTGAAGCTGACCTCCGTTAAAGGGGTGAAGGTTCAACTCGGCCCCGCTCTGATGCATGTGTTGCAAAATCACCACGTCACCGTCTCGGATCCCGTGATCTTTCAGCGATTTCTTGTCGTTCATCAATGGTAGACCATTGAAAGCGATCACCATCTCGTGGACTGGAACATTGCTTTCAATCTCACATAGAGCCTTGAAACTCTCCAGCTCCATATCCTCGATGACGTCCAACACGAAAATGTCGTCGCTGAGTGTGGTTACCGTTACCTTCATCGTGTTTATTTGGTTTGCTGTTTGTTCCGTGTGGATTCAATAATCGAATGATAATAGGAGAAAGAATAGGCAATAGTAACAGTTACTTAGTGACGATAAATTTTACACAAGAATTTTTGCCGCTCCCCTCGCGCACGGGATGGCCGTACGAAGAGCGGCTACGGGATGTAAACAACAACCCAGCTCAGCGAAAATACTGACTAGCCTTAAGGCTCGACCTGAAGGCCATTTAAGTCACCTCGAGACATCGAAACAGATCGAGGTTGTGAAATTGTACCAATGCTCTTTTTTTACGCGGGAAATTTGAATTTCGATTTGAATACGTCATTCTATTTCTCATTATATTATTAGATATTATATTATATTGTTAATATATTATTAATGCATTATTAATTAATAACTTTTTAGTTTTTTTACTTTTAAAAATTAAATTATTAATTTCTTTTTAAAATAGTATTATTGTTTATAATTAATATTATCATTGGTAATAATATTCTTTTATTTTATATATGTGATATGACTTATTTTTTATTTATCTTTTAATTAATAAAATAAATATAAGAAATTAAAACTTCTAATAACATTAGTTAGATTGAATATTAAAATTGTTAAGATATAAAGAAATTATTCTGTTTTAACTTTGTAAGGTAATTTAAGAATCAATACATATTATCATCAATAGGGGGCAGAACAATGAACTATTTTAAATTTTTAAACGAAATATGTATATCAAATAATAAATATTTTTGTGTCTATTTTTTCAATTTGAAAAATAGTTATTTTTTGTTTATGTTATATACATGATTTCACAGATGTTAAAAATATTTATATAATATCAGATTTGCAAATTCACAAAGGAATAATCTTGTTAGATCACAATAGAATTAATTTGGATATTCAATTCTTATTAGATTTCAATATATAATCATCAGCGATCACTGAGATTTCATACATGCACAATTTGGAAATTAAATGTTCCATATGGAATATTCAGATTGATGGAATGATAACTTAATCTCCCTTAGTCAATAGATTCTATCTTGATCTTTCAATGAAACCTATCTTGATCATTCAAACTGCTCGTAACATTAATAATTTTTAATCTAATGTGTTTATTTTACTTAAGAAATTTATATATATTGTTACGAATTAACATTTGTTCACCATTTTGTATATCGTATGCATTTCCATATAAATAAATAAATATTAAATATTATAAAATATTATAATAATACTCAATTACTTTTATGCATCTACTTTATAATTAATTCTAGATATATATTTAATTTAATTTAAATAGCATCACTTCAAAATAAATATTTCTTAGAGGAATTTTTAATTCTAGATAAATATTGCATGATTCTAAAAATTCGTCGTATTTTGGAACATTTTGCGATATTGAATCGATATTGTGGTCAGAAAGAAATAGGGGGTAAAGGTGGTGTACCCAAGCATGAAACGTTCAGGGGATCGTGCCCTCCTAGAGAGTACAGCCACGAGGACACCGCAGGGGATACCATCCCTTATAAACCGGAAACGGATGTAGAAGTGGATATTAGACAGGTGGTTCAGAATTTCGCATTGGACAAGGCTGATGGTTAAATTAGCGCATGATTTCGACAGCTCGCTTGATTACACTCATAAAACCGGATATTCCAAGGTAAATATTGAATATGTAATATTGTAATATTGTAATATAATATTGTAAATATATATAATAATAATATTGTAAATATTGTAATATTGTATACGCTGGAAAATGGTATTTTGTGTATATTGTAGAATTTCGTAAATTAATAATAATAAACAGTACATATAAATATATAATAAAAATATCAAAATGAAAACTAATCTATGAATGTCAATCATTTTAATCTTTGTGTCAGTTAAATTTTTATTTACAAAATATCACATAAAATATTAAAATTTTATAATGGAATTAAACAAGATATTTAATATAATAATATATTTATAATAAATATTTTTAAAATATCGATTAATATAAAATTAAAAATAGAGATTATATTAAATTGTAATATTTTTTGTAGGATTGCAAATCGATTAAAACTGCAAGATGAATCGAGATATAAATCGATTTCACACTCCCGCTGAGTATAAATTAATAGACATTTACAGGGGTTGGTTATATTTTGAATGAATACCAAGATGTTTCGAGGGATACCGATTACCAGGTGTTAGACATGGGTCCCTGAATACAAGGATATGCATAGAAAATCGATTAGATACGTGTTTTGAAAAATGATGTGCTATTATAAAAAATCAATTTGTTTTTTAAATATATAGAAATTTTTTTACAATTTTGAAAGGAAAAACACCATTAAAAATTATAATACAAAATAAGTATATATAATATGTAATATATAATAAAAAATTATATATTATATAATTATATAAAATTATATATTATATAATAAAAAAATAATAAAAAAATTTGCAAGATTATATAATAATTAATTGTTCCTTCTAATAGATATAAAAGATGAATATTATTTTTTTTTAGTAAAATTAAATTTAGTAAAATTTTTTTATTATAGTATTTAACTTTTTATTCGAATCGAATGCACACGTGTCCAGAGGATTTGCCATTTAAATCTAATCCCTTTCAGTTATCTCTCAATCTCGAGGATCCCGTTGCACAATGGACTTATCTCGATCTATGTTTTTCTTTGGGATTTGATTCGAACAATGGTTATGGCTTGCAGTCCGTAAATTCGATTTTTGCACCTGTATTTAAAAAAAAAATGATCAAAAAAATTTATTATTGCAAAATTTATATCATAGTTTTAAATTTTAACAAAATTTATTTACATTTACACATATTTTAATAACAGAATTATAAAATAAAATTGCTGGAATTTATTATTTGCAAGATTTGCAGATAATATTGCAGACAATTTTAAATACTTGATTAATCAATTATTAAAATTGTTTATATACGTATATTTTTAAAAATCGTTCTCTAAATTAAACCAGAAAATTGTAATCGTGGGAAAAAGAAAATCGTTTACTTGATTTTCTCTGGAACAACAGATGGAACAAATAATTCATCCTGATGTAACGAACCCTCTTAATTTGTAGCGTGTTAATTGCTTAGTTTGGACGAATGTTTAGAGAAAGTTTTGTGTTTGGGAAATCGATAATAGGCCATACTTTATATCCTACTGGCATTTCAAAGAAAATTTTTTCGTATTTTTGTTCATTTTAGTTATCAATGTTTTTCTCCATTTTATGTTATACTTATAACATATTTTTCTTTACTCTAAAACATATATAAACAAATTTTCTGCTATATTTTATTGAATTCTATAGTCTTTTCGATGAAAATAAAAAATATTTTTAATACTTTTCTGATATTCCATATAATATATATCCTTCTATAATGATCCTTCCACAATCACCGGAAGTGAAAGAGTATTTGAGACTAGTTTCATGGTTGTCTATAAAAAGAGCATTCAAGGGAATCAAAAGTGTAATGGAGGAAGAAATTGGAGGCACGTGTCATGCACATGTACCAAAAACATCGTGCAAGGGTTTATTCGAGGGTTAACCACTTTTGCGACATTTGGCCTGACTGGGGCAACGTATAATTATGCGTACCGTAACAGGTTTGATGTGATTTCTGCTATATTATTATCGTACCGCAAAATATAATTATATAATATCCCAACAATATGTCTTTCTGAAAAAGTGAAAAAAAATTTTCAACCCTATTTGCAATTTTAAATATAAAAACTTAGGTACATAATTTTCATTTTTTACTCCTTTGTAAATAGTGTCTTTTGAATTTTAATTCCAAATTTAATTAAATATCTCTAATAATAATAAAAGATATAATTAATTTCTTCACTTGTCTTATCTTTGAATATATTTTGAATATATTTTGATCATAAGTTTTTTATAGACTTATTTTTTTTTTTTATTTTCTTTTATATCTTTTTCAAATATCTTCAAATATTCCTTTTTTTTCATTTTTTTTCTCTCTTATTTAAACAATTTTTCTTGCCAATATTCATATAATTTTCTTATTTCTCATCAAATTCAAAATATTCCTCCCATGATATTTTTATTTAATAATAAGTATCTAAGAAATCAACATCAAAGTGCAAATTCGATTCGCAAATCTATCCAATTCGCCCAACGACTTTTCCATCAAGTTATCCCCAATCAAGAACCTCCCTGTTCCTTATCAGATCGATGAAGAGGCGGAACCAGCAGCCAGGCAACCGAAGGTAGGCTGGCTCCACCACCAATTGCCTCGACGAATAGGGATGCGATTGGACATTCAACCCCCTGGCTTCCGCCTTCCTCCCGCTTTTCCCTTTCAGTTTCATCAAACCACCTGAACCAATGTTCATCAGTGATCCACAGTTGTATTTCACCTTTCTTCACAGTCCAATATTTTCCCAATATTTTTCTTTTCCACCTAAAATTAACAACGATATAATTAATAATATAATATCAGTGATTATTTTTTTTTTCATACAAAAATCATTTATAAAACTACCAAATAATTGTTGTAAATTTAATTCAGTGTGAATGACGAGTGTCGAATGTCAAAATAGAAAAATGTTAATAATAACTTGAGGTAAAGAGAGAATGTTCTTCAGGAAGAAAATCGAGGATGAAGAAGATAATTGATAATTTTTGTGGATTCAAAATGATTCGTCATACGTTCAATGAAGGAATCCCAGTTTCTATGAACAAGAAAGGATTGAGTACATTTTGATAAGTGTTTGGACAAATTTGGGCACGTGTCCTGACCTCCTACTGGCACGTGTCGCTATTTAGAAGTATTTCCTAACACGCGCCGAGGTCACGTGTCGTACTGATGATATCAGTGAATCCTCAGAACGTGATCGAGGATACTTGTATAAGAATTTTTAGGAAATTCCAACGAAAATCTATCTAATCCTAATATAATTCAATATGGATATTAAATATCTTTTGTATTGAATTAAAAAAATTGGTTTCTCAGTGTATAGAGAGGGATACAGTGTTGCACAAAAAATATTGTATTTCCAGTGATCTCAAGAAGGAAAGTGTTTCATTAATGTATACCAAGATATATATCATTAATAGATACCAAGAGAGATTTTTAGAAAGATTCTTATGCAAAAATTATTGGGGGATCAAGTCTTCTAGGCTATTTTTCTTGGAAGTCGATGTCTTTTAATGTGTTCATCTTTTACATCTGAAAAATAAATTTAATTAATCAACAATCTTTTAAAGATGATGTGAGAGTGTCTTAATTCATACACAATTGATCAACAATTCTAGTCATTATTACCAAAGAATTTATAATATAATATAAAGATACGTGTACCAGAGAATTTTATGATATAAAAAGAAGCTTCTTCAAGATGTATTCCATGGACAATCTCGAATTAGATATGATGAATCGACAGTACATGTACGAGGCTCATGGCTTTCTTGGGAATCCAGCGATTCCAGCTTTGCCGCCGCATTGCGGAGCACCTACCACAGCTACGCTACCTTCTATTCCCTCGCAATTAGCTGCACATCCTGCTGGAAGTACTGGAAGTACCAGCGGTAGTGAAATTTATTTGTATGACGAAAATAGTAGCGATAATGAAAGTGCTTACAGTAGTGATCAGGAGAATCACGCCAGAGAGTGAGTATCTTTTATTCTTTTAACTATCATGTGATCAGAAACCTAGAAATAGAAATTATATATTTTATTAGGATCCAAAATATATATTGAAAAATGATAGAATTAATTTGATTATATATATTAAATCAAGAAATAGAATAAAAATTTCATCTAAAAAATTAGATTAAACAAAACATATTCTAAGATATTTTAAAAAGAAATATTTTCGTCTAATAAGTATATCTATGAGTTCGTTTTATTTTTCAATGATGAAGCTTCAAAGATATAAGAACGAGCAATATCATTGCGCCTATCAATGAGCAATCCGTCGAGCATTGCTATACGGGTTGCTCGTAGACAGGTGCATCGAATTCCTTTTTTATTATTATTTAAGAAATGTACAAGAAATAATTCTTTTTTCTTCGTTTTCTGTCATATCATCTTTTATACGCAATTTCTAAGAATCTATCTTGAAAACATTCGAATAAAGTCTAGAGATCATTATTCTATTAAAAAACAGAACAATAATAACTTCTAGACGAAGTCAAAACAATAGAAGAAATGGGGCGTCGGGGAAAAGTCCGAGACAAGCAGTACAACAAAGACAGGCCGCCAATATGAGAGAGAGGAGACGTATGCAGAATATAAATGACGCCTTTGAGGGTCTTAGGGCCCACATACCTACTCTTCCTTATGAAAAGAGACTCTCTAAAGTAGATACATTAAAATTAGCAATTGGTTACATTAAGTTTCTTAACGAATTGGTTAGAGCTGATAAGGGTAACGATCCTCTGACGGGAAATGGTGGTCTCTCAAGATGTTCTGGACGAGATGATTCTAAGAAGGTCATAGTTCGTGGTGAGGCCAATACTAATCGTACTCACGTATCCTTTCTTATCCATATTATTCATTCCTTTCCTAAAAATTAATTATTATTTATTGAATTAAATTAACTTGTTTCGTGATTTGTTTCAAATAAATTCTATCAATTAATTAATTAAAATTCATTAATAATCTTAGAAACAAGAAATAATAATTTAAGTAGAAAATTAAATTGGATAATTTACTAATTAAGATAAATGATAAAATTTCAGGCAGTGAAGGAAATCCCTTCATTTTTCATTCCTTGTCATGGTCCAGGAAATCGGATATCTCCCAGAATGGGACGATGTATGCAAAAGTATGGACTCCGGAGGATCCAAGAACATCAAAAAATGGCTCGACATTCGAATAAAATTTTCATCTCTTAGTTAAGTCACGTCGAGCCTTGTGTTATTTAGTATTTAAGGACAAACATTCCTAGTCGTTATTTTACTTTTTTTTTCATGCTAAATCATTATTAACAATCAACAGAACGCCAGAAAAAATTTGTTAATATACATCAATTAATTTTTTGTGTCTCTAGTCGATTTTAATGTGATGGACAATATCAATTAAATTATTATTGTTAATATTTAATAACCTTATGAACAAATAGTTTAATTTTTTAAATTAACATCTAAGAAATCAAATTTAAATAAGAAAAATTCTTGTAAAATATGAAATTGTAATATAAATGATATATGTATCTTCTGTTAAGTTCCTCTTTAAAAATGCTCAAAATCCAATGAATTAACATTATTACATATGGAAAGAAAACAAAATACGAAGATTCTGTCGGATATTTTTCTTCTTTTTCTTTTAAATTGTAAGTCAATTTGACTTTTAATTTTTCTGACAGAATTCATGTTATAATAAATGTATATATAAAGTGCGTAAAAAAATTTAAACAGATATCGTTTGTACGTGACATGTGAACATGAAACAGATTGTTTGCTATTAAAATGTGGTTGTCATTGAAGCCAAATAAAGTAGATTCTTGAAGTTTCAAATTGTTTTTTCTATTATCTTTCAATTTTCAATCTTTATCATAATTCCCATATTCATCCATTCCATTTTTTAATTATATGTTATTATCAAAGCATTTTTAATTTTAATGGTATATTTTCTCATAGATACATTTCTTCTAAAATAATGTTTTATCAATCTAGTTCATTAAAAGTTAATCAAAAAACTTCTTTTTTTTTATGACAAATTAAATTTAAAACAATTTTTTAAAGTTAATTTTTCATGTTTTTTTAATGTAAATTTTCTAAATATTCAGATTTATTTTATATATCCAATTTTTTTTTACTTTTCTTCTCTATTTGATTCATCATTTTGTTGTGATTCATCTTACAAAAAATTTTCTCCAAAATATAATAACAGAAACAGAATGTTTTCCAACTTTTTAAGAATCCAAAGAAAATTCTAAAACCAGAATTCCTTGTAATGTAATGGCGGAGGGTTTGATAAAAAGCAGAGGGTAGAAGCTGCGCCAAATTCTGTGGTGTACAGTTCACCAGAAAGAGGAGCAAATTCGACGTGGATGAGACAGAGAAGGAGAATCGTGGGCGGTACGTCGATATTGCGGTGTCGCGACGTCCTGCAACTCGGGAATAATGGCGCCGACGGCTGCGGATCTTCCCACGTTGTGATCCTCCTTTCCCTCTTCGTTATTCTGCAGTCTGAATAACCATTTTCTACTTTCTAACTGAGGTTCACCAAGTTAATGTTACGTTAATGAGCAAATATCTCGTTCGATATTTGAAAATTACAATATGATTGTCATAATAATTGAGTATAGTTGTTCTTAAAAGCTTCTCATTGCCTTCAACTTCGATTTTCTAGTTAAAAGTCTATTTAAGTATCTTGTGTATTTCATGATGATATAAGTAACATGCTACTTGATACTTTATCTCAAAGATAATTATGAAATAGTAAGAATAAAAAGATAGAAATTCTTTATGGTTTATTTTAGACTTTTCTTTTTTATCCTTTTTTTTGTTCTCTATCAATGTAAAATTCATATTCTTCTCCTTTTCTTTTCATTACATTTTTAAGTTCACTTTGAATTACTCCTTCAAAAAATAGTTGAAATTTTCATTTTTTATTTCAATCACATTATCCAATTCTAAATAATAAAACATTATTAATTATAATTATTTTATAATTTTAGATCTTGTTTTATAAATATATGCATAAAATAAATAAATCTAAATCCATTGTTATATAGTGTAGAATTTTCATAAATAAAATCATGTACTATTTACTGTCAAAAAGAGGATCAAACTGTTTCACTTAAAATTAGATTCGGTGAACTTCTAACTTCATGGACCCGCAGAAGAACGTGAGCCGCTATCAGCTGTGAAAACAGCATTGTTTATAGACACCGTAGCACAATGAGGTGTAATTGAATCCATATTCTACCCCGTTGTATCAGGCGCCCCTCAAGAGAAAGCTAGCGGAACGCCCCTGGTGCCCCGAGAGATGGTTGTACTTAACGGTTCGGAAATCGAGGGTGGTCGTCGATTTGTGGACAATTAGGGACGATATACATGTCCCTTGGGACATATCGAAGCGGTTTCGACCTTTACTGAAAGCGTTTCTTCTTCTTTCCTTTATTCTTGATATTGTTTAAACTATTTTATTTTATAATAAAATATTTATATTTGTTACAATTCACTACGTATATATATATATATATATATCAATCCGGAATAACGATAACATAACTGTAAAAAAAATATTTTTCTCTTTAAAAAACCAATAATATTCAATCAAATATAATTAAATAAATGTAATTAACCATCATAAAGCATAATAGATAATATAATTTATTTACCAATATCATGTTAACTAAGTACTTCAAGGAACTTTAAAATATGATAAAAAAAAGTCAAAGTTAAATAAGATTAGATGATAATAAAAGATTGGTCATCAGATAATCGAAATCTGTGACCTATCGATAGTTGATCCAGCTGTGTCCACACCTGTCCTTATCACTTACCTCTTTATAGTGTATCAATTTTTTAACACTTGTACTTTCAAATATTGAGTATCATGTGATATGATTAGAAAAAGATATTACATATTGATAATATCTAATATTTCTTTTTACTTCTTTTTTCTAACAATAATACATTAAATTAATCTTAATTAAAAAATTGTGAATAATTATATAATTTGATCAAACATTTATATTATTCATAAACATTGTACGAGGCTTAAATTATTTTTCAATGCTTTTTTATAGATCCAGCGGTTAAGGGAAGGCGTGAAAGTTCAATAACCCAGGTTGAACCTAATCGGCTTGAACGTCACGGTACCGTGATCCCGTGAAAATTAGCAAACCATAGAATCGCGGCTGCACTCCCTTTCGCGTATCAGACGCGCATTAAGAGCACCCGCTTGTCACGAGGGTCGCACTTGTGTTGATCCTCGCAGCTGGAGTGACACACAAATAAAGTATTAATTCACGATTCATGTAGTAATACCGTAGCATCGAGTTCATATTAATCTATTATGTAACATCTTACCTCAGACAGATATATAAAAAATTATAATTTTTCTATTCAATTTTAAATAACAATATCTAACTTTTTATTTTGTTATAAATATCTAATTTCATTGTCAGTAGAAATCCACCTTTCTCAGGTTCATTCATCCCTCCTTTTCCATCTAACTTCTAAGTTTCAACTAAAAAAAAAACCCAACCCAAACAAATTAGTAAAGAACAAAGGAAAAGCAAATAAAAAAGAAAAAAAAGGAAATATATCAAATTCACAGATAGCGGTTTCAATGTAGAAACCTGAGAATAGAATTAACAATGTTACATCCACAGACAGAAGCTGGGGGTTCCATTACACTTACTGAGGTGGAGGGTGTTCTGAGCAAAAGAGAGCATCCATCCACTCTTCAACTCCCCTACAGGGTCCAGCCCCACAGGGTGAAAATTGGGGCACGCAAAAACCTGGGCAGCTGCGTGCTTCAGGGTGTTTTCTGAAGTTCCAGCGAAATCATCCCCCCAGAACACTCCATTGAAATACTTTTATACTTGTAGCTCCCCCCAAATATGCTTCACACGATTATCGGTGTAGACAATTTAACACTTGATACGATTGTCATTAGTGGACGATTAAAGATAAATTCCAAGAATTTCTTGAATTTCTTGAATTTTAATCTTCATAATTTGCCTAATATTATAGCAATTACAAATAAATATAAAAATATATATAATGAGACAGATTTTATAGATAAAATTAGAGATTAATTTAAAATGAAGAAATTAAATTCAGAAATGGAAAAATAAGTTTGTTAATTGTGAATGAATAAATAAATGATAGGATTTAATAAAAGTATTCTTAGGAATAGAACATGTAGAAAGATAAAAATCTAAAATCCATGATGAAATCCAGCGTGAAAACTCGAGCTCGATGAAATCCTATTACTTTACATTGGACATTGTTCAGCTGTAATGCGAGATTGAAGTTTCCTCTCCCCAGAAGATGATGTAAAAATAGTAAGAGAAGACACGTGTATCACTTTCAATTCATCCCTAAAATTAATTTATTTTTTATTTTGTATAATTTCTTTTATAAAAATTTAAATATTAAATTAAAAAAAAAATTTTCAAATGCATATCAATATAAGCATGTAATTTATGTTAAATGTGTAATATTAAATTATATATTGATTTACATTACATTAGATGGATCAATTGAATGTTTCTGATAAGAATGTCTTTCAATTGTATCCATGAAACAGTAGTATATTCGTACACTCTCGTGTAATATTGATTCGTCGGAGACGAGGTCGCAGGTGAGACTTCCCACGATCGTTGGCCGGCACTGAGGCAAACGTCAGGGATTTGTCTGGAGATAGTCATGCTTCCATAGACGAGTAACTATGTTTTTCTTCTTCAACGTTTCAAAAAAGAAGACAACAAACTTCTTCAATATCTTGCATTTAAATTTTCTTCAACGATACTGCAAAGTAATAAAATTAACGAAATTATTTCAAATCAACTAAAAAAAAAAATTAATTTTATTTTAAAATTCATTTTAAAAATTCAAAATATATATAAATTATAATTTTCTTCGTTGGTTACTTTTTACAAGTAAAATAAACGAAAAAAAAAATCGAATTTAAATGTAAAAGGATCCAAAAGCAGGAAACTGGTCGAGAGGAACGATATTGTCATCGTTTACTCATTTTTTATTACATGCTTCCGTATGCACAATTACATTACAAAATCGTATCGCACAGATTTACATCCCTGGATTTGGAACCTATCCACGCGACTCCGAGACGACAATTTTGAGGACATTGTGCATCAACAATGAACATATTTCACGGAACTTTCGTCTGCATTTTCTTTAAACAGAGAATGAAAAGCAGAGGAAAAGTTCAAAAAGTACGACTATATAGCATCAATGTCGTCAGGATAAGCTTTTTTTTTTGTGAGCTTTCGTCCATCCCTTCATGCCTTTTGTTTCAATTCGACGGTGTAAATCTTAATAGATATAAATATAAAAGTGAAAGTTTCTAGATATCCAATTCGAGACAAAGATCTTAACCTAGTGGTGTTGGTTCCTGAATTTAAATCAGTGATTTCCCTTATTTCTTAATTTTGTGTAATACATTCTTTATAGAAATTAACATATTTTCTATATCCATATATATATATAGAATATTCTATAAATTTGAGATAAAGAAGTAAATCTTATACTTTTCTTAATTGTATATTAAAAATTTATTAAATAAAGTTGTAAAATATCTACATTCCAAGATAATTTTGAGCACCCGTGATTATTTATAATCTTGAGCAGATTTCATAACAATATGAAAATATGATTAAAACTCAAAGTCTTAAATTTGAAATTTTTAAACTTAATAATACAAAAAATAAAATAAAATAAAATAACAATCCTATACTACTAATTCGATTAAATTCAGGGTACCTATTAGGGGTGGACGATGTCACCAGAAAATTATGTTGTTAAACACATTAAAAAAAAAAAAAAAAAAAAANTTTTTCCACCTATATGGAAACATATATGGCATTTCGCTCGACATATTCCTTTTCCTTATTTCCTTAGATGTACGATACAAACGTATATAACACGAGGACAATTTGAAGCCATAAATTAGCCACGGAGCAGCCCCGGATTTTTAGCTGCTCATTTCTCACTTGAAAATATACAAAAGATTACCGGAGGACGCGGCAGCCTTCAAAGTGTTCTCTCGATATACTTTTTCATCTTTTTACACAAATAGCTAGCGCTTTCTGTAACTTGTAGGCTGTCCCAAAAAAAAAAAAAAAAAAAAAAAAAAAAAAGAAAATATTTGATTTTCAATCTTTTTACAAATATCTAGTACAATAAGTTTCACGTTAAACCGGCACGCTTCTTGGGAAAACCGACAAGTGAATCGAGACGAAGTAAATTCATCTCCTTCTCATTCTCTAGCTATTGTTTCTTCTTTATGTATTACAATTATTTTACAATGAATTACTTATGTCTGTTCGTTCGTCCAGAGACGCGGGAGGGATATTAGCTAATTCTCGTAGAAAAATGAAAACACGCTTCACAAACGGCGACAAGTTTGGTTCACTTGCACACATATTTTTTTTTTTCTTTTTTTCATTTCTCTTTTTTTTTTTTTTTCTTTTTACACATTCAATTGTCCAACAATGATTCTTAGCGAAGAGATCTCGAGTATCAAAATGCTACAATACGATCTGTGCCAATATTTCGGCCAATCAAAGCATTGCTGCCGCTTGGACATTGTGATTTCATGATTTACAATTGTCTGAATTGTCTTTTTATGTCGGCACGGCTGGGAAATAAATTGATTTTATCTCATCAATGGGACTACGTGGTCTCTTTCCAGTGCACTCGAGCAGTCTGCAATTAATTTATCCAATAAATAGTTTTTGCTCATTGTTTCGCTGATTTTTGAATAATTATTTTGTTATTATTATGAGCATACAAAGTCCTTAATACGAACAAATCTAATGATACACCGTATCTATCCTAAACGATTCTTGTGTACATAAGTTATATAGGTACCAAATATTTAAGTTTACAATTAAACTACAAGCGAATAGAAAAGTCTAATGAACAGACTCACATTGAATTTATACAAAATTTAACAAAAAAATTTTCGTTTATTCGAAAGTCTTGGTATAATTTTCATCCGAAAAAAGAATTTTGTAATTTTAAGCATAAAAACATTTCAGTTTTTATTTTTTGTCCATTCTATATAAATCCAATGCAGCCTAGAATTAGAAAAGACTTTGGTCAAATTAAAGTTAAATTTTCAAACGAAAAAAATCTCTGACAGTCGATCCACTGCGGATTAGGAACACAATAATTTATTTGTACACGAAGAATTTTAAAAAATGAACACAAAATAAATGAGAGCATAAAAAAAAAAAAAGGAGCAATGTTTAAATTTCATTCTTTTTTTCATTTTCCATCATATAAAGCAATTCCAGTCCCAAGATTTTAAACAACAGTTACTTAGGCACATGTTGCTCAAGAGTTTCAAGGGAGTTCAATGATTCGATTGCAAAAATTTGGCACGGTCTGCTGTGTAAAAATATCATTATCATTAACTGCTCTCTGTTTTTAACACTTCACTTATACACGCTTTGTTCTCGCCTTTTTTGCTCTTTCTTCTCTCTCATTCTTTCTTGCCCTTCTATCATAATGTATATTATCTTAAAAAAGTACAGCAACGTTACATTGAGATAATAAACGCATAAAATATTCTTCGTCGATAAAAACACACTGTTGTCTTCAATAATCACTTGATTTTTTTTTGGAAACCATTTCATACTTTCGACTATAAATCACCAATTATGAATATTATTTTCTTCATATTGTAGCATTGAACACTATATGCTACCGTACACTTTAAAAATAATATATAAATTTTCATAAATAAAAAAAAAATTTTTAAAAAGCTTAAATATTTTTTGTTTGATGAAATTACTCGAATAATTTATTATTTGACACTTAAGTACTACGAAGAAATAAAGAAAGTAAAATAATTTCTTTGGATTCAAAAATGTATGATATGAAATAGTGTTCGTGCTCGCTACAATTGATGTACATGAAGAAAACTCGATAGAATTTTAATAAATCGATTTTCCCTGAGTGGTGACGTGAACGCTTGATGCCACATTTATCATACTAAGTAAGCCTAGTGGTTTTTCTGGATTCCTTATGAACATTCATTATTTTTCATTATCGAAAATTGTCCGTCCATAAAAATAATACTTTCCAATTGAGAACACAACATGGTAACATTGACTTTTTCGTTTTAAAATTTTATTTCCTACAACAGAATAAAAAAGATTAGTGTAAAAATCCTTACTAGCTAAATATTAATTAAAAAACAAAACTAAATTCATATTTTAACATTAAAATATAGATAATTCTTAAATGAAATTTTTTTTATTTTGACGAACTGAGAGACAAAAAATTATTCTCCTTATTGTATATAACTCTTAATTTTTAACGAATAGAATTTCATTAATACAAATAGCTCTAGTTTCGAGCTAAAATTATTTTTTTTTTTGTTTTTTTTTTTTTTTGATTACGTCTCTCATATCGACAAAAGTCGAAATTCTATATTATTGATAGAATAAGAATCCAAATAAAATGTGCTGCCATTAAAAAAGGCAAGATATAACCAAGAATAATCGCAAATGGATTTTTTATGCGAAAACGAAGCGCGTAATAATATTCCATTTAGATATAACTTCAATTTTTTTCTTAATTCCCATCTAATGATCGTAGTTCGATTAACCGCTCTGAAGAAACCATAAGAACCATTATTCTATGAATAAAAATAACTTCTTCGACCCATTTCACGGCCATTTCATTGATGGAAGGCAGTGCTCAAATTATATGCTAAGTATATTGTACGTTATATATATACGTATATATATATATATACATATAAGATTAAAATATACATCGATTAGGTCGTGAAATGGGTCAATTACAAAATATTTACAATTTTAATTTTATCTTTTGCGAGCTCATTAAAAGAAATCCGCAAAATAAATTTCTATTAAAATAATAGTGAAACATTTAGAAAAAGATGTCTTTATAGAAAAAATGAGTGACCTTGTCGTACCACCAGACTCACACATGATTTCTTTTTTTTTTGTAAAATGTACATCTACTTCATAATCATTATTGCTATTAGTCGCGATTAACTTACAATCTACAATTTGTACATCTGCGGATTTACTGTATCATCATACAATATCGATGACAATGATGGATAATGATGATGTTAAGATTGTCTCAGACGTGCTCGATGACGTGCAACCAAAGGAAAGAGAAAAAGAGAGAAAGAGAGAGAAAAAAAGAAAAAAAAGAAAGAAAAAAATCTCTATTTCTAAATTGCTTCTTCGTTCGAATTTGCAAGGCCTCTATTATCCTTATTATAGAACTAATCTAACTTTGAATAGATAGATAATTGCTCGAAATTCACCAAAAAACAAAAAATGTGAATTACAATTATTGATAAATGCAAATGTTTTCTTTTGATTAATATTTTATATTACTTTTCCAGTCAATAGATACTGAATTATCAAACTGATCACATTTATTGATCAGAGACCAATCAAAGATCGAACCAATTAGCAAAGAAGCACGAAGAATAAACAACTTCCCTCTGTTCATTTTTAAAGATGGTAGCACGCCTCGGACGGCGATGACACCTCACCGCGTCTACTGTCATCGGACGCAGTATACTTTTCCTTGCTTTCCACCTATCTTCAGCTGGGTTTTCCTGGTGGTCCATGACTGGGTGGAGAAGGTCCATGAGAATGAAGATTGTGAACATTACCTACTTGATTACTTGTCAGACTCGACATCGTAGGTTGATACATTGAAGGCATATAATTGCTCGATGATTGTGGCACTGATCTAAAATATAAAATTGTAAATTTATATGTAAAAATATATAGATATAACATACATAACATATAAAATTGTAATTTTATATGTAAAAATGTATTATATGAATATCTATTTTGAAAATTCATCTCGTTTTATTATTTTTTACGATATTATTCTTTTAATTTAAATTCATTCTTCATTTTTTAAAATCATTTTAAAATTATTAAAATAAATAAATAAAAGATACTTTGTTTTATTGTTGTACTGTTTACTCGTAATAAATTCTTTTACCTTGGTACTCCACGTAGAGGATCTGGTGTAACAGATGAGTTTCTCACTACACTAGAATTACTAGCCGGTGCCGGAGATACTATATTACTAGGTTGTCCTTGATGATATGCATTTCCAGCTGGGCTGTGTCTGTATATAATAATTGTAAAAAATTAATTTTGCAGTATCAGTACTCATAATCAATAAAGCATAATTACGTTACCTGATTGTTGGACTTGGCTGAGGTGCAATTAACGATGTTCGGTGCTGATATTGTGACAATGAAGCTGCAGCTGGAGGAGATGGATCTGGAGGTAAACCATTTTCTAACGTCGTAGAATGATTACTGGAACTCGAATGAGGCATATATGTGTTGTTTACTCGTGGTTCCCTAGTAACTCTTGGAACAGGGGCCGCGGCTCCTGGTGGAACATCGGGATGTGGGACATTGGGGTGCGATGGGTTGACTGTTGGATGTATATTGTTCACTATAATTGTTTATGAATAATATAGAATTTATTATTAAATATTTAAAATATTTAAATATTCAATAAAACAAACCAAGTAAATTACCTGGGTGTGCACTAGGTTGAGTTGTCAAAGGAATTGCAAGTCTAGCATTCACAGCCAATAGGTGATCTCTTCTTTGCAGAAGACTATTTACATGTTCCTCTAACCTAAGATTTTCCGCTCTCAATTGATGAAGACAAGAAAGTAGAGAAGCAACTATAAAAAAAAATTTTATGATTTGTAAAACTTTTCTTTAATCCATATAATGATTAATGAATCAAACAAGCCAGAAAGCAGTATAATTTTGATTACGTATCTTTGATGTACAAGTCTATTATTCAATGAAGATACAATAAACAAAATAATCCATGCATTCATTTTTCGATCGAATGAGGAAATCCCCAATTTTACCAAACCCATGCAACTGAAAGCATGTTTTTCCTTGCCGTACACTCACTGTCAAAGTGCTGGGCTTGCTCCATCAGGAATTGACTTCCTTGCTCCCATTGTCTTTCTAAAAGTTGGTCAAGTGTTTGGGGTATTGCTCCACCGCCTAAAGAACCGGTATTGGTTGTACTAGCATTAGTGGTAGTGCTTGTATTAGTGTTTGTATTGTTAGAAGAGTTAAAAACCGAAGAAAATGACGTAGGCGGTGCACCTGTTTGATTGGACCGTATCTGTTTGTAAAATAACATTATGGTTAGAATAACAATGGAAACACTTTATTTTTTTTAAAAAATAAAATCATATTAGAGTGATTTCAAAAATACTTACAGATGCAATTACTCGACTATGTAATTGTGGACCAACTAAATTTGTTGTAGAATTACTAGCTTCTGTAAAAATAGAATGAGCTTCTAATTCTTGGGAAAGGGTATCAGACATTTTTTGTGCCATTGTAGAGGTTGGATTTAATTGATTTCCTAACATATGTGGTGCACTAACTCCATTCTGAAATCTAATACATATTCAAATTAGATTTATTTATATAATAAATCATTTTATATCATTATTATATCAATCATGTCTATTTCTTACAATTTTACATCTTTTTCTTCTTTCGGATTTGTAAGTGTTGGAGTACTAGATGCAGAAGGTGTTGGTGTTGTAGAAGCCGCACTCGCACTTTTCCTTTTTCTCCTTCCTGGTCCATTACTACTCATACTTTCAGAACCCGGACTACTTGGAGGAGATTCTTTGACAGTAGGACCCATGGTATTCGTAGAACTAGAGCCAATACTACTAAAATGCCCACTGCTCAGTGTTGGTCCTTGAATAATAGATGGTACAGGTGCGACAGTTACAGCAGGTGGAGGAGTTTGATGATTACTTCTTGCTCCTCTTTTGGATGTTGTTACTACTGCACTGCTAGATACTGATGTTACTACAGATGAAGCGGTCGATTGAGATTGTTGTTGTTGTGTTTGTGGTTGTACTTGTGGTAATGCTGGCTGACTATTTGATGACCCACGTTTTGGTTTACGAGGTTTTTCTTGCTTATCTGATGATTGAGAACTAAGAAATTAACAAAATGCATGATTATGTATCCAGTTACACTCAATTTTTCATTAACTTTTTTCATGTAATTTTAAAAATAAAAATATTCAAAAAATTCTGCAGAAATGAATATTATATAAAATGTAACATAAACAGACCGTTGTGCACTACCGTTAACATCACGTTATTCCTTTCCTTCGTTCGTTGCCCTTGAGGCCCCTTGTGGTAGAAAAAACAAACATAACCTCAACGTATTCTTAAAGCTACAGACAAACTAAAAAACGTTAAAAAAATCATAGTTGTTTACAATAATTTCTTTCTGTCAGAATTTTTTTGCAATATATATCATATAAAAATGAAATAAAAAGTAATCCTGAATTCGTTCTTCCATTTGTATAATTTGTAATAGTGTCGCGAACATCTTTTAATAAACACAATATTTTTCGAAGATTTTAAGCAATACAATAGTATTTTAATGAAATGATATTTTGAATAAAATCCATATTAAATGAGATTTTTATATCTGAATAATTTTTACGAAACATAAAAGGTTAAAAACAAAAAGACTTGTTTATCCAATTAGTCAACCATTTTGATGCGTTCAATTTTGGCGCGCATTTTAAATTGTTCAAATTTTCATGAAATTTCGTTACTTCTTTTCATACTATATATTTATTTTATAAATTATTATGATATTGCCTAATATTAATATAAGTTAAAAACTTTAGAAAAAATAATATTTATTATATATTATATAATATTATTATTATTTTTATTACTAAAATTTCAAATTGAAAAAAAATCAGTATTAAAATTTTAATCCGAACTTACCGAGATCTTTTAGCTGGAGTTTCTTCTGTGATAAATCTTTCTGAATTCGACATAGCACTCGTTCTGGCTTCTGTAGCGGCTGCGGTAGTTATGATACTTTGTTGCAATTGTTGATATAGAGTTGGAGCACTTGTTACCACACTCTGTACTGTACTAGATAATGAAGTTGCAGTCAATGGAACTGATACTACTATACTATTTGAAGTAGTTGTTGGTGACTGAGTAACAATTGATGATTGAGATTGTGTTACTGCCATTATCACAGGTGTAGTAGTCACTTCGGTAGTGACTGGAGTGTTTGATGATGATTGAATGGGACTTTCCACCTTTAACTTAATAAGAATATTTGAGAATATAAAATATACCAAAATAAAAACAAATATTTTTTTATTTACCTTTTTTGATTTTTCTGGTTCAGTGGTCGTACTTAAGCTTGTAGCTTCAGTTATGGTTGTTTGTACATTATTACTTGATACAGCTTGCTGCATAACAGAACTGACGGCAACCACAACTGAACCACTGGCTTCAGAACTGACCGATTGATTTGAATTTTCGTTTCCTATTACAGTCGGTGTTCGTGCTCCTGTCTTTCTCTTTTTACTATGACTCGAAGTCTTGTTCGATGATGAAGAATTAGATTTCGTTTGTCCACTATTTTTATGGCCAGAACTTGAATTTGATCCTGATTTAATTGTTGTTGCCATAGTAGCAGTGGTGGACGTTGTTCCGTCATGTCCAAACACACTCTCCGATTGAGTGACAATCGTTTCTACGAAGTTGGAAGTGGTGAATTTACTGGAATTTGTGGTGTTGTCTTTGGGTGTATTACGGCCGCTACTGCTTTTATCATCAGCAATGCCATTTATTTCTAGACTTGGACTAGTATTTGATTTGTTTTTAGAATTTGTAGCAGATTTAGAGCTGGAACTCTTTCGTTTACCACTTGATGAAGATTTTATTGGGGTCTCTGCTTCTTTTTCAGGAGATGAATCTGATGAACCATTATCAGCAGGTATTGGTTTATAAGGTGGTATTGTTTTTACATTACCACCTTTTTTCTATAAATGAAATAAAACTGTGATAATCAAGACTGAAATAATCAATTTAAATTATAGAGAAATATTTTTTAAATAATGTGACACAAACCAATTTTGAGTAATGATGTTGACAATATCCACAATATTTTACATTGTCTAAATAATTGCCAGCTTCTTCACAGAGCAAACCAAGAGCCTGAGCACAAGTAACATGAAATTGCTGCCTGCAGCCAGTCTTGTTGCACTGCATACAGGCTCCTACATTTGCTCTACTACCTCTTCCTTGTTCTTCACAAATGTAACATGACTACAATGACCATATTATATGATTTATTTTAAATAATTATTAAGAAAATTATTCTAGTTTAGAAAATCTTTACCTTACTGAATCTTTCAGATGGTATCAATTGTAGAATAATTGGTTCCATTGTTGTTACGTTACCAAATCTAACTTCTGGAATATAAAGAGCACAGACCACATGTGCCCATCCGGCTTGATCTGTTCTCTTAAGAGCTCCATCTCGACTTGGACATAATTCACAGCGCTATAAAATAATTAAAAAATAAAATAAAATATAATTTTCAAAAAAATCATTTATAGAACTTACCACACGAGCACTACGTTCTTGTGATTCACACTTCCTGCAATACCATGGTCCTGTGGGTACCGTAACGATACCATAGCAAGCTGAAAAATCATCATAACATATCATTGCAATTGAATATTTTTATTTAAACTATACAAAATATAGTCCTATACAATCCTATGCAAATATAGTTCAATCCTATATAAAATATAGTAATAATCTATGTAACAAACAAACCTTGGTGTACAGCAACGGTACAACCTTGGCCATCACAATACACTAATGGATTTTCAGTCCAACCCCTCTCATCAGAACACACGCAGCACCCTCCAAGCATCTCCTTCATGCTGTGTTTCAAGCAATTCGGAAGACGAGACTAGCATGAGGAGCTAGGCGAGCCGTAAGCGGAGATGTAACGCGAGGTAATCTTGCTTTCGCAATTGCATCCTGGCAATGTGTAATTCTTAGCTCGCTCTTTCCTTAATTGCTCTCCTCAATGATCATGCACACGCGTGACGCATTCAACGATGAATCGTGGCTTGGAATGCACCACTGCACGTTGCCTGTCACTATAATGATTCCACACTGTGGAAACACGAAACACCAATACCGAGGCGATTCCAGAATTCCGTGTAGTGGCTGCTTTTTAAAGAAATTCCGTTTTAAAACGTGTTTGAACCATTTGTTATTTACAACGGCGCTCTATTTGTTTCGTTGGTCAGCCATCTTATTTTGTTATCATGCCTAATGTACGCATGCGCAACTGCGCACTCTGCCGCGAAAATGGAAGAGCGCGTTCGAAAATGAGGCGATAATTTTAATATTGCTTAAAAAAGTTTTTTCAATAATAATTATCTCCAATTATTATATAATATCAATATTATTAATTCTAAGTTAATTCTAAGTTTTTTTTATTATTAATCAATTATGAATTTTAAATTTCCTTTAAATTTATAAGCGTCAAAATATTAAGTATCAAAGTATCAAACTTCTCAATAGTTCATACATTATTCACTTTATATTTATTTTTAGATTCTTATTTTTTTAAAAATTGATATTATTAATTTCTTATTTAAAAAAATAGAAAAAACGTTTAATTTTAATAGAACTATTTAAATATTAAAACAAATCACATTTTCAATCAATGAATTATAATCCAACTGAGATATTGACCAATCAGATAAGACTTTACTATGTATAGTATTTCCAAGAATTTACTTTCGAGTAACGAGTGATTCATTGAACGATTCATTGTAATAACAAAAAATATTAAGTTATAACGTGTTTTTTACCTACATAAACAAAAAATTATACATTATAAAATAATTATTCACAAAATATAAAAATAAAAAATACAAACATAAAATGCAAATTTGTTTTAAGTGAAAATAATTTAATTTAATGGAATAAAATATAAACTGGTAATGTAGCCTTCTGTTTTGCCATTACTTTTTATTCAAAAAATATATATAGATATATGGAATCAAATAATATGAAATAATTTTTATTCAATTAATATAATGGAGTCAAATAATCTATATATTCTTAAACGGGCGAATGACAGCCATTTACCAGAAATTTTATCTTTCTTACACGAAAATTTTGATAAGGAAGAGATTATGTTGAAAAGTCTGAAAGATAATAATTCTATAACAGTTGAAGAGAAGGAATCAATGAAAATCGATCATGAACGACTAATACGTACGATTTTCAAATTTTCACCATGTATTATAGCGATTGAAAAATCATTAAAAAAGATCATTGGTGTAAATCTCATGATAGTTAGTAAAAATTCAAAATTTCATAATGGCACTGATGAGATTTCTGCAGCGTTTACTAATAATTCACCTGCAAATAAATTAATGAAACAATATTTCAATTATTTATGCGAAATCAGTAAAAAGGCTGATTTATATGGAAAATTTCCAGATTCCAAAGTAGCCGTGGAATTTTATGCAATTGCCGTGGATAAGAATTATCGTAGGAAGGGACTTTCAAAATCCCTAATGGCTGCAGCAATTTTTTTCGTAAAAAATACCATCCCGAATGTAGGATTCATATTTGGAGTATATACATCTTTGTATTCAAAAAAAGCGGCGGAAAAATTAGGTTTGAAAAGTGTAATGGATGTGGATCTTTTGAATTATAGAGATGACGATGGACGCCCTATATTTCAAGATACTCCTCCGCATAATATTGTTTCTGTTATGGTTTTACAAGTTACATAAAATTTTTCTAAAACCAGTGATTCATATTCTCTTTGTAAATATATATATGATACTAAATATATATTAAAATATAAATTTTTTGTTTCTTACATTTATCCCATTTATCATATTAAAAATTATCAATTAATCAATAATTATATTCTATGGCTATTTATTTTCTTTATTATTATTTTAACATAATTTTAATAATTGATGATAAAATGCACAAAAAACATTTCTGATTTTGTAATTTAAAATACTTATTTCTTTCTATTTATTTTATATTTATTATAATATATCAAGTAATTAATTAATCATTTAGCGACTTCTTATTATAATTTTCATTTAATAATCTGTTTGTTTATTTATTGCAATCCAATCAATCAATAATTTTTTCTCTTAGAAACATTCATCATATGATATTACTATAGAATGCGATAATACTAACTGCACAATCTCTATATTTAAACTTAAGAAATAATTTAGAATTCTATATTCAAAGTCTTGCGAAAAATATGTTTCATTGTCAAGAATTATAATGACATTCTCCATATTATTTCGTTCATATAAATAATCTACAGATATAGGAATTTTCAAAATATTTAATATTGCAGAAGAAAAAAATTATTGTAGTAAAAAAGTAATTTTTACAATTAAAAAATATTTTTGATTATAAACATTAATAAAATATATTACATAATATAATATATAATCATGTATATCATATATTGAATCATATTTAATCATTTTAATCATTGATATAATTTTCGATAATTAATTTAATTTTTCGCTTTTGACATATGACAGAATATCTTCTATGAAATATATATTCTTAATGATAAAATATCAATGTATCTTCTGATATGTTTTCAATTCTGGTATAATATAACTAATATTTTAATCGACATTTGAAAAATTTTTATTTGAATATTAAAAGTACGAAATAAATAAAAAAAATTGTATTTCTTATTTAAAAAAAAATATTTCTTTATTTAAACAAATACTTTTTAAAATTTTTTTATTTTTTTTATATTTAAAATATTTATATACTATTTCATTATATTTATCATTATATTTATATACTATTTATATCTATGTTCATTCAAATTTGAATCTTTTCTCAATTCAAAATAAAATATTGAATAAATTTTGCATATTTAATAGTTTAAAATAATCATAATAATCTTAAACTAATTAAATCAATTAAAATAATTATCATCATTTATTTCTATCACAATTAACTTATAATTTTGAAATCATTATTTTTATTCTTCTACTATTTTCAAGTATATCAGCTATTTATGTATTTATGTATAATACTTATACATATAATCCATTATTTACAAATAAAATCCTGCTATTTCTCATAATAATATGAGAAATAAATAATAATCAATTATTTTAAACTATAGAATTATTTATCAATCCTGAAAATCTTTTAAAAGCTAAATAAGTTATATAAGTTATAAAAGCTAAATAACTTATATGTAATTAAAAAAATAAGCATATATTTAAACTAATTAATTAGAAGTGCCTAATATTAGCAACAGATTTTCTCTGGCAAAACAACTTCGAGGAAGAATTTCAAGTTCATTGACATACTAAGATAAGTCTCATTAACTAATCAAATTAACTTGAACATGGCTATGAACAACGATCTGTGGGGCAACTAAATTTATCTTTGATGTATATTTTCACGTTCTATCTAGTTGGCACACACTAGTTCACTGACTCGCATATATCATATTTCTCAATCATTACTTCATATTGTTGTTGGATATAATGGTTCATTCGACTCCAAAGAATTTCTAGGTATCCTTGCGTCTTATGAACTACTTCCATTCTCAATCGCTCGATTGATAGAATCGTGTAAAAATTACGATTCTTTTTCTTCTTTTATCCTTGTTTTCTCGTTTTCAATCGGTTTTTTTTTTATGGTAATTCAAATATACGCTGATAAAATGAGAAAAAATTGAATAAATTAATAAACATAGAAGATATTGTTGATGCGTTTTAATTATACATTAATTTATATATATATATATCGTTACATACGTTGCTGATAGGTCGCGATAACTATATAAGTTGCTATACTAAGCTATACTATATATGTTGCCTTATATTCTCAAGAAATTAAAAAGTGATAGTCAGTTTAGTGTGATTCACTATAGTTTGCAGATTTCTTCTAATATGAGGTGAGAAAGAAACAGAGAAAAATTAAGTAAAAAATTGAATTCTTTTTTCTCCAATTATTAATTATTTATATTTATTTATTATTTATATTAAATATTTATATTTTAATTGAAAACTTTAACAAAAAATGTTTAATGTTATTTAAAATATTCTCAATCATTTAATTCCACTTAGAATATCTCTTTTGATAAAATTTTCATTTTAACAAGAATATATTAACCATATTAATATATAATCATTAATTTTTATCGTTATTCTTAAAAAAATTTACATTTGATTTTATTCCAAAATGTGAAATAGAACATCACCATATGGTATCTGGGACTCCATAAACAATGGGGCTATCGTCTTCGAGTCTCTGACCGATGATACCTTCGAAGGTGCTCTTAATGTGATAAGGAAAAGTTTTTTTTACCACGAGAATGTATGCAAAGCTGTAGACTTACTCTCAGAATCCGGTGCAAGCAAAGAACTTGAGGAACTCTGTTTTGATGCAGCGAAGGATGGGGTTAGTGTTGTTGCTGTTGATACAAACAATAGGAAAGTTATTGGAGTGGCTTTCAACAAAATACAGGTGAAGAAAAAACATTCAGTATACGTATTTCATTGTTTAAAATAATAAAAAAAGACCTACTTTCGTTTTTCAGCTTCTCAAAAATTCATCAGAGAAAAGTACCTTTGAAATATTCAGGGATAATTGCAAGTGTAAATCTTCAAAAGCCTTGATAGATTTCATGATAAATATAGACAGCAGGATAGATTTGTTCAAGCACTATAACACCGATTGTATCTTTGAAATCATGTTTTTGGCCACTTTGCCTTCTAATCAAAAGTGTAGGATAGGAGAGCTGCTGGTAACTTCATCGATAAAGATAGTAGAGGAGTTAAAAAAGGGAAATCCTGTGAAAACACCAGTCACGATAAATGATTCTAATATTATAGAAAACCTAGAAAAAATACCTAACGTGATATCAGCAATCATGACCTCCAATTATTCGCAGAAGATAGCGACGAAGTGTGGATTCGAACATTTGTTTTCAATCAGCTATGATGAATTCCATTTCAATAATAAAGTTTTTAGCGAAAATATAGGAGATGAGCATCGAAACTGCATCTTGGTTGCTAAAAAATTGTCTTAGATAAAACTTAATTGTTAAGATTTAATATTGATAATATCGATTGATTTCTACTCTTAAAAACTATAAGATTTTATATCATAAAAAAATATATTTTCTCGTATTAAATTCTATAATGAAATAAATAAAGAAAATCATTCCGTATTTTTGTAACCGTATTTATAAAATGTAATTTTATGTTATCAACTTATAGTGAATGAACTAATATGTAAACGCGCGATAAGAAATAACACTGTTTATCGATAATTATAGCTGAAGAAAAACCAGCAAATACATACAATATTGTTGAGAAAACAAAAGGTATTATTGAAGTGTTATTATTCGAGAAAATTCTGTGTAAAGTTAGTGAATCTTTTTTTTTTTTTTTTTTGTCAAATACATTCAAATATCCAATGCAATTGTTAATATTTTCTTGAAAATATTTAAGGAAATTTAAAGTGACAGATAATTGCGTTTTATTCATAACTTAACAATGTGCAGAGATAACAGAAACGTTTTCTCAATATGCATGGATTATTGGATGTTGAAAAATGAAGACTGCTTATCAAGACAGTAGAGCTGTACCAACAAAAGCTTTAATAGAGCGTAGGTCGCTCGAAACTAGCTTCACTCTATCAGAGTATCTGCAGACGGGAAGATCGTTTTTTTTTTCTCTCTTAAATATTGTTGTACCTTGTTGTGCAAACGAGTTGCTCTTTATTTGATTCTTCATTTGTCATTGTTCATCAATCTGTTAAAATAAAAGGTTTTTATTTTCGTTTCTTAAAATAAAATAAAATAATGGAAAAGCTGAAACAATGCAGTTTATTTATAAAAAAACGTGTGAATGACATTTTGATTTTCAAATATTTCAATAATTTTCCAGTTATTTTCACCATGTCTCTCGACTGTGACGATGAACTGGAATATAAATTACTCACCAGAGATAAGGTAGAGGATACTTTGGCTATACAGGCGGAGACTATGAAACAGGAAAACCTGGCTATAGGTTTGGGGATGTTCGAAGAGGATGGAGCTCCAGAAGAAATGAATCTGCTCTTCAAGGAAGTTATCAAAGATGGAATGACGTTGATTGCTGTTGACAAGAAGACTGATGAAGTGGCAGCAGTGGCGTTTAACAAGCTTCACGTAAATTTTCATACCACTTTAATGGAATTACCTTTCCTTGAAAGTTTCCTTTTCATTTATTTTATACCTTTAAAGGCGAAACCGAGGAAGGATGAGAAGAACGAGCTGGATACGTTCATAGAGGAGAATTTGAAGCATCAGACGTGTAGAAAATTGATCAAGTTTCTCGATGACGTGAGTATTCGTTGGTTATTGGCTGAATTGCCTCGTTTAGATCAAGTGTCACCTCCAATTTATTCAGCCTCAGTTGCTTGTATCACAGACTTTAATTAGAGACTCGAAGAGAGACCTCTGTGTACACTACGATTTTAAACTCCATTAAAAACTACTATTACACAAATTTTCAAAGAAATCAGTGATCGAGATTGCTCTCGTTTGGCCAGATTGACAATGTGGATATTTTTGAGAGGTACAATACGAACGGAGCGATGGAGGTGTTCTATCTTGGCACCAATCCACGGTACCAAGGTCGTGGGATCGGCCGTCAAATGATGCAGAGGTGTATCGAGTTCGGTCGAGGGCTACTTAATGGCACAAGGAGAAGAACATCGATCGACGGGATTATTCTGGAGCAGAGCGTTACTCCAAAGATAATATTCGGTGTGTTCGCCTCGAATTACAGCCAACGAATCGCAGATAAATTGGGATTCGACGTTTTGCAGGAAGTTCGTTACGATGATTATGTGTCCAATGGTAGAAAAATGTCCGAGAGGATAGGAAGCGTTCATAAAACGGCCAGGTTACAGATTCTAAAACTGTAAGAGACATTTTTATAAAGTATTAAAATGAGTGGATAAATTACAGTAGTGCATTTTTATATTTTATAAAAGTCGTATGGGAATTGTAATATTGAATGAAAATGAGAAATAAATAATATACTTATTTCTGAAACGTGTCTCATGAAAATAAAAAAAAAAAAATTTTTTTAAATATCAAAAAAAATCTTATCACCATTGTATATCATTCTCCAAGAATGAATAAAAATAGAAAGAAGGGATCCAATCATTTATTTTGTACCATCGTGCCAAGAATTTCGTCACTACCTAAAAATTCAAGATCTTTTGATAAAACAATATTATACAAAATATAATAAATATATAACGTAAATATAACATAATATATTTTGATGAAATGATTGATATAATTTTTAGAAAGATATCTTTCTGAGAAAAGAAAAAAAAAAATTCTAGGAAAAAAAAAAAAAGAAAAGAAAGAGAGTGGTGGCTAGAAACATAAGGGTTCTCAAGATGAATTTAAAAAAACTCGTCAGTGAAGAGATTGTAAGTTATCTCACGAGTGTCTGGTTGTTGGTGCATAATTAACTTCGTTAGTTGGCCTTTGCTTTCAGTAACATAATTGATCTTGTTATATCAACGAGTGGACGACTAGTAACGAAAAGATAAATGTTATTCGGCGACTTTTTTTTTTTATATAAGTATATATATATGTATTAACACATTTACAATCTGGTACATAATTGTTAAATATATATATATATAGTGAATATATTGAGCGTAATTTACGAAATCCAAACATTGACAACGGAGATACATTTATTTCTTTTTTTTTTTTTCTATTTTTATCAAATTTTTTTTTTTTCTTATAAAATTGCCTCTCAAGAATATTTTGTGAAAGAGAAAATATATATTGCGATACTGATAATACACACTTAAATTTTACCAAAATATTTCACTTAAAAAGATTTAAATCCTTTCCAAGTTTCGTTTCAAAATTAATAAAATGCAATTTTTCCAAACAAAATTTTGTTTTTATCATAAATGTTTAAAGAAATTTTAATTTCGTTGTATTCCGTCGTCAAAATTTTGGATTTCTTTTGTTTAAAAATTTCGATCTCTTGGTTGCCAAAAAATTCCAAGGAAAATGAAAAATTTTACACGATAAATAAATTCCAGATACATAAAATCATTCTAAAATGAATTTTCTCAACTATGAGATATGAAGTTGGAAAATTTCAATAAAATTCCAAAAAAAAAAAAAAATTCAATGAAAAGTGTAGGACTAATTTGGCAAACCGGAAATCGAAAATTCTACTGTATACGAGCTACGGAAATATTATAATTAACGTTATATTTGCGGGGAAGACACCCAGTATAAATATATATGTATATATATATGTCGTGTATACATGTCGGCACTGCTGATCGCTGGTAAATAGTCCTTTTTTTTTTCCCCCAAATTTCATAAAGCGTCTATCTGAAAGAGAGATGCGAGATACGCGTTTCTCGTTTCGCATTGCGTAGCATGTTGCGCACTAATTTACCATTGTAATCAGTATTGGAACGTACTACGATCTTTTTATAAAAATATTTAATACCACAACCAACCAGATAAATGCAACGATACCTCCATTTCACTTCAAACAGATGGATTTGGCGCGTGCAAAGGAAATTTTAATTTCATCTCTTTTGTTTTTTTCTTTTCTTCTTTTCTTCATTATCTAGTCAGTTTTGTTTTTTTTTTTTTTTTTTTTTTTTTTTTTTTTTTTNNNTTTTTTTTTTTTTTTTTTTTTTTTTTTGATTAGAAAACGTCAACCCTTCAAGGTCGTAAGCATTTGGTAAAAAAATAAATCACTATCCCAAAAAGCCAGTGACTTTGAAGACAATTGTAGAAAGAATATATTTCTCGTTCTTTTCAACATTTGGCAATAACAACAAGCGCAATTGAACAACGTCTTATTGGATAAATATACAGGGGAAGGCCCGAAAGGGTTGACCAGCTATAATGATTTTATAATTAAAACAACGATTCATATTGGACGCCGAGCACAATGAAAATGATTCCTCGAAAATAAATTATTCGAAATCAACGATTTAATATTTTTTTTCCCTCCCTCTTTTCATTTTCTTTCTTTTTTTTCTTTTTTCTTTTTTTTTTGTAGATTTCTTATTAATCTTTTCTAAGCGTAACATTTCTGGTTCATAATGTTTTTTTTTTTTTTTTTCAATTTTTATTTCCCTGTGAATTAGGGTTGAACTTATTTTCTTTGCGTTTTTTTTTTCTTTTTTTTTAAGTTTAGAATCATTTTCTTTGTCATAACTTTGCCTATAATTCAATTTTCCTACAAATTGAAACATATTTCCTCTTTGTTATTATAATTGTATAACATGACTTACTCTTAATATATATATATATATATGTATACGTATATATACGATCAAATACTGCGACTATTATGTAATAATATAGTAGTACATTTGTTATTGTTTCTTTCATTTTCGACGATTATTATTGTAGCAACAAGAGCAGGATTAAAGAAAAAATGGACCGTGATAACATCCTAAATTTTCTTATGGTCTTACAATTAAATAAATATACTAATTAAAAATTAAAAATTTAAAAAATTCAATAAAAATTTAACGTAATGTGTTCATGATATGACAGATTATATTAATATACAACTTAGAATGGAATTCTCCATTTTTAAATTATTATTTCTTAAATATACCAAATCAAAAATATTTAATGAAGAGAAAGAGTCTGAGATTGAAATAAAATATTCTAATATAAATAACAGAAGAGAATATTCAAAGTCCATCCTTTCCATAATCCTGATACAATTACATTTGGAATGTTTATTATCAGTGTAAAAAAGTTGTGGACGTATATAGCTTCTGCGATAGAATATGATTGACATATTTCCAACAACGAATATTCCTTTACCGCTTACATTTCTACCATCTTAACATTGGCCAACAATAAACTACACTTAACTCACAACGTCTATGTTTCTGTGTTTCACTATTCTCAGTACGAATCTAATAAATATTTATTAACTATCGTTTACACGAGTCATTATAATCACTAGAGAATAGAACTCGGCTTCTTTTCTCAGCCACTTTCGAAGGTTTTTTCTTTCTTTCTTTCTTTTTTTCCTTTTTCTTTTTTTTCTTTTTTTTTGATTTTGCGCGGAAAATTTTTGATCTTTTAGGATTTTATGTGATAGTCCGGGGAGAAGGAGGAGTGGGAATGACTGTAACAGAGAAACGATTCACTTCAATGAATATAAAATGAAACGCTCGTAAAGTACCAAGGAAAACAAGGTTTTTAAAAATAGATAATTTGACAAAGCCATAAGGCTTTGTTAATTAAGTATATGCACGTAATGATTAAAAGTGTTTCTAAAATATTTGATAAAATTACAAAACATATTTGTGTACATTGTAAAATATCGTTTCATATTATGTAATTTCATAAAAATTAAATGTAAATTTAACTTTATATCTTAATTCGCTATTTAATTTCGAAACGAATTTTATTCGTTTAAAGAGATTCACATGAATCTAATTTTTTAGAAACACTCTATTTTCATATCATTATATATCATTGAATGTTAGTAGAATATTGAGCGCAATGAGAAAATATTTGCTATTAAATACAATAATAAACATCAATAATAATAAATGATTGAAATTGTCACAAATGTCACATAAAAAAGGATCACACATTTATACTGGAAAGACAGTCAGACATTCTATCGAGTAAAAACTTATTTCGAACAAGTTCAAATTTGTTCGTGCATATTTGTTTTACATATACTTGCACACGTACACACGCATTTTCTTGTACTTGACTTTGTAATACTGAAAAATTTGCTTCTTCTTTTCTTCAAGTATGTCTTAAAGAAATTGGCGTACTTATCTCAATATTATTTGCGTGTACACAAAGCGGATACACAAATGACAGATCACAGAATCGCGGGAAACCAGAAATTGCTTTATTGCCAGATAGTAAAGTCTCCGTATTTTAAATTTCAGTAATTTTATAAAATCGAATCTCGCAAATATTTTCTAAAAATATGCAAACATGATGATTCAATGATTTTTTTTTTCTTATAAATTTTATAAACAAAATGTATCTAATGATTTTTTTAAAAAATATTCTAGAATTAAAATCTATATATTTTTAATTAGAAATTTGCGGATACGGAGATTAAACTGTTCTATTTTTTTTTTTTTTTTTTTTTTTTTTTTATATTTCTCTGCAAGAGACATTAGATTCTCAATTTTACTTGCTAGACATTTATTTAACATAGCAACCAATAACAAAGACACCTTGCCTGTTTCATTATGATGCAACTTTCAATCCAGTGTACATTATGATACTTGATTATATAAAATATTTTCTATATCTTTGTTCTTTTTCTTCATCACACTCATTTACATTTATACATACATTTATTCTCAATATACGTAATTCGAACGTTCTCTATTTCCGAAAATTCCGAAATATTTTCGTTATCAAAATAAAATATAAATTGGCAATAACGTTGTGTAACTAGACGGATGTTCGCGGTGATAAATTACATAGGAAACATTGATCGCTTCTCTCCTTCCTCCTCCTTTCTCTCATTCTTTCTCACTCTTTTTTTTTGTGTATTTTATGTGCACCAAATAATCAATATTATCGTTTCTCTCGACTCCACGCCACCACTTTTATCACAACTGTGCACAAGAAAGCTTTCTTCCAATATAGAAGAAAGAATACTCTGTCGATTAAGGATAGTAAAAACCAACACGATCCGTATCTATGTTATCCATATATCTATATTAAATATTGAATTATTAAAACATACAAGGCAAATCTGTACCAAAATTGGAAATTATTTGGATTACTATCCCCAATCAATCTTAAGTTATTGCACAATTCTCTTTTACACAGAGTATTCAACTTTCTTCTTGTTACTATATTTAATTTTTATAAAATATTAATGTCAAATTTTTTTTTTACTATGCAAAAATTTAAACAAAAATTTATAGAATGATTATTATATACTTTTTATGTTCCAGAGTTAATCGCAAAGACTCTAGATGGAGATTTTGAAGATCTTTCAAAAGAAGGCTTTTAAGATGGTCTTCTAAGGGATGTTCATCTTTGACAAGATTCACATTGTACATTAGGTGATTGCATGGT